CGCAGTGTTACCTGAATAAAATTACAGATTTCTCTGGGTTTGAACATTGTTGGAAACATTTGGGATAATGTAAGAACTCAACTACATATAGAACATAGAGCCAGAGTTTATAGACATTTTAACGTGGGCATTTAACATATTATTTCGGAGCAATGGGTGTTTGTTTTTAGAACAACACACTGTTGGAATAATGAAGTTTCGGTCCAATGGGACATTTTTCGGACTGTTGGGGTTTTGTGAGTAATACACCATCAGAACAATGAGATGGCGTCAGTGTTGACGTTTTTGTGCCTCGAGATTTGAAATGTTCAAAAGTTTTTGTGTTCCTGTCATGACGTTGGTTAGGAAGGTGGTGTCATTTCTCGAACATTATCCTTGAACCAACCAAAGACCTGTCAGAGGCACTCATGTAAGTCACTTAATTAGCTCACTGATATCGGTGCGGCGATGCTGGAGGTGATCTAATGTGCTGTGACATGACTGCTCGTCGCTGGTAATGTGTTTTGACAGAGAGGCAGGACACGGTGCTATGAAGACAGGGTGTCCAAGTAGGTTATAACCCAGAGGCATCATGACACTCCTGGAAGACATGACCCTTTGATAGAGCTGCAGGAGTGCGAGCACCTCCACAGGACGTTAACAAATTTGTTTTAATGCCAACCAAAGTCTTACTTTTTCCAAATCTGTTTTATATAATATTACAACTCAGTAAGAAAACCAGCCTGTCAAATCTTTTGAAAAAGGTAATCCTCTACAGTTAATAAACTAGCCTTATAATCGGACTAAAGCCTGATTCAGACGGGATTAACGTTACAGAGAGAGGTGGGGAGTGAAATATTCTCTGTGCTTCTCCGTAACTTAACCTCAGGACGGCATTGTAACCATCTGGAAATTACGGGATATAGACTAGACATGAATGTTTCAACAGTCAAGAGAGAAAGCCAGGAGAGTTTAAGGAGAGGCAGTGATACTGTGTGAGGGGAATTAGAGTCAAAAATCTGTTCAAATCTTAACACACGGACATGAATCAAGTATCTTTAGATTCAATGTGACTTCCTGAGGATATCATTACCACTGATGTCCATTGCGACTAAATGTCATAAATCTGCTTGGAGAGAAAAGATTGTACCGAACTTTCATCTAGTGTGCTAAATGTGGTATAAAAACAGGTTATAAAAGAGAATACCATCACCAGCCATACCCGTCTATACAAATGGCTCAGCAGGCAGCTATTTGTGTTTGAAGTTATTAAGTTGTGATTGTTTCTGTGGCTTTCGTTGACTTTTAATAAACTTTGAGTGACCAGTGAGACACTCCACTGCTAGATTCATAAGCCAGTGTCTAAAGGCTCTGCTCGATAGAGACTGAGGACTTTCTCTCAGCTTTTGTTGGCAAAACTGGATGGAAACAATCACATAATTAAAAAACACTGCATTGCAGAACCAGTCCAAAGTCTTGTAGGACAGGACATCCATTTTTTGTGTTTTAAAAAGTTCTCTTCTTGTTATAAAGTGATTCGCTATATCTCCAGTTTGTTTCAGTACGGAGGAGAATGGCGGGAGGTCGTTTCAGGTGAGATGTGTGCTTGAAGTAAGGTGCGTACGCTTGTTAGTGGCCATTCTCGCCATCGTTCAAGCAACTACTTAGATTGGTGCGTGCTGAGAGACTACTCCTATGCTAAAATCTACTGATCCAGACAGTGACAGTGGTGATTCAATAAAGTAATTAAAGAGCAACTGGTAAAATATCTGTTTACATTTTTGTCAAAGTTACCTTTTCACTGCATGAAAACGGTGCTTAAAGTTTGGACTGATATCTATCAGGTTTCATAATGAGAGATCTGAGAGCTGCTGAACATTACATTGCTTGTTGTCAGTGAACACGTTGAATAATAATGCATCAAAGTTATGGATGTCTTGAAATGGGTGCAGGCAAATCTGCAAGGATCAAATTACTGTATTAACTTAAAGTGGGCAGAGTAATGCGATATAATGCAATAGGCATTACAGTCGCAGCAGCTAAATCGATCCTGACTGTACTTCTATCAGTGCCAATGTTGAAATGTTGATATTTGCACAGTTTTGTGAGTTCTGAGTGCTGTGACTCCACACTTTGTTATAAACACTATTTAAGTTTGACCCTGGGAGTCAGTGCTTGTGGCATCGATTGTGGTGTTTGTCGGTGATGTAGATGTTTAAGTTCAGGTTGTTGAAAGTAAAATGGCTGATTGTTTAGTGTCTGTGCCAAGAGTGATTGTAAATGGACACAAGTGATGGAGGAGAATACTGGAAGTGTCATTACTGAAAGTGCAAGCGATGATGGATAAATCATTCTCCCTTTAATGAATCAGGCTGCTGAGTGTCTACAGGGGCAGTTTTAGAGGTGAGGGATCGCATCGCTTCCCAGCATCAGATGCTTGTTGTTGACCAACAAAAGGCCGCACCCTCCTACAACCGCTCAAACACTTCCTGGCTGCAACCAAGTGTGAACATATTGTGATGTTACCCAACGGTTTGTGGTGAACTGTTTTGAAGCCTTGAGTTTGGTGTTATGGTCATCGCCAGCGGAGGTGACGTACTACGAGTTGAGCTGCTCTCATTGGCTGCTCTTGGTTTGGAAACAATGGCTGCTCACACAGGATCTCGTATTCTAGATAAACAGTAAAATGTGGTTGTGAACAGATTTGAGGAGAGAAATAGTCAACAACAGAATCTGGATCCATATCTGATCAGCACTGTTTGAGAGTTTGATCTGAGTTTGGTGCGTTGAGCTGGACGGACTCACTGAGAATGAGCTGTCAATCACAAGGTAGCCCCACCCTAAAGCATACCCTGCTTTATGGTCTGTTTTACTCTAAATGGGACCATCAGTTACTAAATGAACATCATGCTGTATGGAAGAAGACTGAAACTAGAGACTGAGACCAGAAACTCACCAGGAAACTGTTTACTGAGCTCATCAATCATGTCAAAAGTCAGGTAATTTCTTCATAAGACTGAATGGTATCTGTGTTTTATTGCAGCCAGTGGAGCCGCCCCCTGCTGGCCTTTACATAGAATGCAGGTTTAAGACACTTCACAGACCCAGAAGCTCTGTCCATTATATAAACTGTCAATGGCTGCAACTGATTGGACGAACACGTTCTGCTCCAGGATTTCAAACCGCACCAAGAAATAACCCATCCAGTCCGTCTTTCTTAGGATTGACAGTCGTAAGCTTACAAGTTTTTAGAGTTTTCTGCCGGACGCCCCTGATTTCAATTAAGTAGCCTGAACCTCAACTTTATGCAAATGAGGAGCAGCCAATGTGACACCAAGCACGCCTCCTCAAAGCGTGGAAATGACTGATCCTGTGGGTCATTAGTCCTCATCCCATTATTTACATCAGATGTGTAATTAAAATGTATTAATATTCAATAAAACATTGCATATAAAAAGGTATAATCTCACTGCTTTATTATGGTATTATTACTGGAATAGTCCATGACAATATGTTCTTTTTTCAGAGCTTTAGGAAACAGTATTTACACTGATTATTATTTCAATAGATTAATTTAATCTCTGAGTTATCACCTTCTCTCATAGGCTAGCAGGAGCTGTAGTGTTTCTGTTTGCTATTTTAGTTCCTGTTGGCTCCACTCGGGTAAGATTTCTGACTAGAGGAAACAGGAAATGCAAAGTCTTCTAAATGTACAATGTCAGCTGCTGTTATCAGTGAAATTAACGTTTGTCTTACAGCCTGTGGTCAGTTCACGTTAAAGGATGAGTCTGATATTTAGTACTGCTAAAAGTATCGTGTGCAGCCTGATGTATGATCTTCTTCCTCTGTGTTGTCCATTAAAAACACATGAGGTAGACTGTTACACTGGGTGACATCTTCCTTCCTCACCATGAACACAGACACTGTAGTTTATTTTGACTCAGTCCCACACACACACACACACACACACACACACACACACACACACACACACACACACACACACACACACACACACACCGGTCCTGCTGCCCCAAATACTCAGTAGAGCGCCAAATGTGGGTTAATGCGCCGTTGAAAATAGTCCCCAACAAATGCACCACTATTTCCTCCTGTTTGAATAACATTTGATAAAACCTGCAGTGAACAGCTGTTTTAGGAAACTAAGGTTTATGTCTTTAATATGAGCTTAGAGTTGAATGGATTAATACACTTGTTTTGATGTTTCAAAATATCACAAATATAGAGAAATTAAAAACATACATTATATTGCGTATTGTGAGTTCCAGTGGGGGAAGAAGTTCTCCGATCTTTTACTAAAAAATACTTAAAAGTTGTAACACCACAGTGTAGAAGAACTCAGTTAATAGGGCTGCTGTATTGGCGATTAAATATATTGTAATTTTAATTAAAAAAATCTAATTTCAGGAAAACTGTCGCATAGTATAGTATAAAGAACACACATTTGCATTTATATTTATCACAGTCGCTGTAACATCCTCAGGTTATGCTGACAACACTGCTATCTAGTGGTTGTGGGTTTAAACACAAATCAATACAATGTTTTTGAGAATCGATACAATATCACATAATAAAATATCGCAATACGATATTTGTTATTTTCTTACGCTCTTTTATGTTGTAAGTAAAAGTTCTGCGTTCAAACTTTTAAGTATAAACACCAGTATTAGCATCAAAATATGCTTAATGTACCAAAAGTAAAAGTACTCGTTATGCAGAATGTCCCATTTCAAAACAGTTTATATTATTAGATTATAATTATTGATGCATTAAGGTTATAAATGCTTATAAACTGCTGGGTAGTGAATTTACCTTTCCGGGGATCAATAAAGTCTTATCTTAACCTCTAATAATACATCAAAATTAATTTGTTGTTTATATTTTTTATTAATTATCTGATCTGTACAAAGGTATCAAATAAATGTAGTGACAATATTCTAAAGATAACCCGTATAAATAGAAAATAAGGTCTGATTATAGTGTCTCTTTTCGCTCTGCAGCACTACTTCCTGGTCATTTTTGGTCACGATGGACAGAAACCTTTGGAGCTCCGGACAGAGGAGGAGTCAGACTGCAATGAGTGGGTGGAGTTCATCCAGCAGGCCAGGTAAGAAAAGACTCAAACCAGCATTTCACTGCTGTTTTTTAATGTTCAGTTTGCAGTGGAGTGCATTTCCTCGAGACATTTCCTGACTCTTAAACCCACCCTGTGTGTATGCGTTACATTAATGCTCTTCTGTTGGTGTTTGATGTCATTATATCTCACACTGCTAACTTGGAGACTTCTCAGTCAATTTTTATGCACATTGCTATACAGCTCTTTACTCATTTATTTAAATATCTGGACATTTTGTACATATTCTTTATCTTTTTATCTTTTATTTATATTTTTCTAGCTTGATTGGGATTCCTATGCACCAATACACCGAGGCAAATTCATTGTATGTGAAAACTTACTTTGCAATAAACCTGATTCTGAAGCACTGTACGTTTTGGGGTACATTTCAGAGGGAAATATTGTACTTTTTACTCGTATATTCATCTTACAGCTGTAGTTTCAAGCTTCTTCTCAGATTTAACATAACATAAGATGATACTCTTATAAAATATGATGCATTGTTAAAGATTAAACTAGTAGTTCCCAACCTTTTGACCTCTTTCACAAAGCATTGCTTGAGGCCCGAAGAGGTTAAAATAAGATAATCCCCCCCCCAAAAAGCAAAGATTAGAGAAAAGTCACAAAAATTGCAAGCTGATTTATGTATCAGTGCTTTGTTTTTTTCTTCTTTCATCTCCCATTAATCTTCTCATGACCCTTCAGATTTATCTGGTGACCCTTTGGAGGGGCCCGACCCCTATGTTGGGAACCACTGAACTCAACTAGCTAACTGTATGTAAAGTAGTTCAAACTAGCTCCACCTGGAGCAGCTGCAACTGTAAAATGCTGCTCTAACATTGATGCATCAGTATTAGTGTTGGGCAGTAACTGATTATTAGGAATTATAATAATCATAGTAATTCAGATGATTATACACTAATGAAAACATTCCTATAAATATTATATTGGATTTCTGCCAATAGATCCTCTTCAGTGTTACACACTGGACCTTTTAAGTTGTTAAATAACTCAAACAGTTTCTCCACTTTGTGCCTGCTTTTTGTGCTGATGCACATTTGACATAACTACCGTGTGTGTGTGTGTGTGTGTGTGTGTGTGTGTGTGTGTGTGTGTGTGTGTGTGTGACGTGTTCTGCTCGCAGCGGTTCACATTTAGGTCACACTGGTGTTGTATTGCCACACTGGTTACATCACAGACTTGATCTCGCCACTCGACCTCTAATTCCCTCCTCGCTCCCTCTGTGTTGTTTTCTGTCCTGCTTTCATCTGAACATTGAGTAGAAAATATGATTCACATCAAACCGTGATAACAGTTTAGTGTTTAATAAGCACATAATGTCAGGCTGTTGAGTTTGTGACTAACGTGACTCGTCAGATAACTGCTCCTGTCCTTTTCCCATGCTCCCTTCAGTTACTCCGACATCATCATCGAGCGTGAGATCCTGATGCAGAAGTACATCCACCTGGTCCAGATCATGGAGACTGAGAAGGTCGCAGCCAATCAGCTTCGTACTCAGCTGGAGGACCAGGACACTGAGATCGAGAGGCTTAAAGCCGAGGTATGCATGAGTGCACCCACATCTGCGTGTGCATGCATACATAAAGCCACACTACTGCCACGCACACGCAGATCAAAGCATGTAAATGCTTCTGGCATGATGGGAAAACACATGAGTTTAGAGCGCGGGTGTGTCTTAAATTAAAGCCCAGCAGGGCTCCAGTGACTCCAAGACCATTACTTCCTTATCATGCGAGGAGGTATTTGTTGTTTTGAACCTTCAAAGTGGTTTCATGAATATTTTAACCTCTGTGCCAGCGTACTCACATGGAGACTGTTGTTGTGCCAGATTGTAGTGTTGAACAAAACCAAGGAGAGGATGCAGCCTTACCAGAGCAACCAAGAGGAGGAAGACCCAGATATTAAAAAGATCAAAAAGGTAAATTGTTGGTTTCACATAATAATGCGCAGAGAAACAAAGAAAGAAGAGCAAACAGAGACACCTAGTGTGCTGTGGCTGTGCAGGTGCAAAGCTTCATGCGAGGCTGGCTGTGCCGGAGGAAGTGGAAGATCATCGTCCAGGACTACATCTCTTCCCCTCATGCCGAGAGCATGAGAAAGAGGAACCAGATTGTCTTCAACATGGTGGAAGCGGAGACGGAATACGTCCACCAGCTCTCCATCCTGGTGAACTGCTTCCTCAGGCCGCTCCGTATGGCTGCCAGCTCCAAGAAACCTCCCATCAGCCACGATGACGTCAGCAGCATATTCCTCAACAGGTGCCATGAGCTTCTTTTTATCTTGTATAAACGTGAATCAGTTTTTATCTTCTAGTTTTTAGTTACGGCAAAAAAAAAAATCTCATTCAGAGTGATTTGAGACCAGTTCTTCTTCTCTAGTGAGACCATCATGTTCCTGCATGAGATCTTCCATCAAGGTCTTAAAGCTCGAATTGCCAACTGGCCCACGCTCGTCCTGGGTGAGTAATAGAGATTACAGTCATATTTTAGCTGATTAGTTTAAATACTTACTACGATTGCTGAAGGGGAAAGTGGGAACAGGTGTGCAGGTCAGGTGCTGGTGAATGCAAGTAGAAGCGACTCCTTATCTCATCCTTTCCATAATTCAGTTCATTATATGATTGTATATTGATATTGTTGTTTTTCATCTGGATTTAAATTCCGATTTGCATTACATTAACTGGAACAAGAAATAGTTTACTCTGGTAGTTATTTAGTTATCAAAGGATCGTTGCCACACTGTTCACTATGATACCTTTTGTCTCAAGGTTAGTGTGTGTTTGTCTTTTTCTCACCCAGCGGACCTGTTTGACATCCTGCTGCCCATGCTGAACATCTACCAGGAGTTTGTGCGCAACCACCAGTACAGCCTGCAGGTTCTGGCCAACTGTAAGCAGAACAGAGACTTTGACAAGCTGCTGAAACAGTACGAGTCCAACGCTGCCTGCGAGGGCCGCATGTTGGAGACGTTCCTCACTTATCCCATGTTCCAGGTAGCCTTCACACCTCCACACAAACACATTTCATGTACCAATAACTTATTTTCCACTTCCTGCTGCTACTTTAATGTAGGCACAGTGGGGGGGGGGAGAGAACAATACTCTGAGGAACAATTTTAGAGGAAAGAAGAAAATTATTTTTTTTTTCTTTAAGTATTTTTGCAAAAAACAGGTACGTACATGATTCAGTACAGGAAATGAGAGAGAGACCTTACCTGTAATGAACCTGAAACCCTTCATGAACATCATAAACCCTGCATCATTTAAAAAAAGAGGAATAAACTGGATTAAATGTGTCAATACTAGTAAATTATACTGTCCTGTTTCAAGATGTGCTTCTTTAGAGTGGGAACCTTGATCATTTACTTCTACTTTACTCTAAAAAGCCCTATTGTTACTACCTTGTTCCCCATAGTCTTACCTTCCACTGTACCTACATATTATGAGTAGGAACTGGTGAATATTTTATTAGCAGCTGATTCATACAAACATACATACAAAGTATATATCTACGTTTCAAACATTCAAGCATGTTTATTTTTAAATAAAGTTCGCAATAAGACACTTTTTTACAGTTTTTCCTTGTTTATATTCAGACAAAGCTGTGTCACAAATGTGTTTTTTATTCTGCGTTTTAGATTCCACGATACATCATCACTCTCCATGAGCTGCTTGCGCACACGCCTCACGAGCACGTGGAACGCAAGAGTCTGGAATTTGCCAAATCCAAACTGGAGGAGCTGTCGAAGTGAGTGTGTGTGTGTGTGTGTGCGTGTGCACGTTTTAATATTTGCGTGACGGATAGAGTCGTTGATAATGTTGACGATAACGTCGGTGGTTCGTGTTGTCAGGATGATGCACGACGAGGTGAGCGACACCGAGAACATCCGGAAGAATCTGGCCATAGAGAGGATGATCGTAGAGGGCTGTGACATCCTGTTAGACACCAGTCAGACCTTCGTCCGGCAAGGTGAGCCCCCTCTACAACACCTCGCTCTCCAACTCTTTTGCTCCATCACTTTTCACTCACTCACTCACTCACTGACTCACTCGCTCACTGTGGCTTCGTGGCCAGGCTCTCTCATCCAGCTGCCGTCCAGCAGCGAGCGGGGCATGCTCAGTAAGGTCCGCCTGGGCTCCCTCTCACTGAGGAAGGAAGGAGAGCGACAGTGTTTTCTGTTCACCAAACACTTCCTCATCTGTACCCGAACATCTGGAGGAAAGCTTCACTTGCTCAAGGTCAGTCTCAGCTGAGTTAAAAATCACCCTAACAAGCTGTTTAACTTTTATTTATTCAAATCTTTGTCCTGCCCTACAAACACTAACTGCAGTAACTACGCTGACAGATGCATCAGAGGTAGAACAGCAGTTATGTGCTCATTAAATATGGATTCTCAGAGTAATTGTCATGTCTTAAAAACCCTGACCAATAATTTGATTTACAGTCTCAGTGTCCAAGAAAATCTAATTGTAATTTGATGTCTTATTACATATTTAATCCTTAATTCACAGACGTAGATGAGAAAAAACTGCAGTTTCAGTCGCTCTGCTCAACGCCAACCGGATCGGAGAACTAAACAAAGCTCGGGAATCAACACAGGGAGAAGATAAATAGTTGTTTGATGCTGAATCTAAAAACATCTGCTGCTGCCTACATTTAATATATATTTGGCATAATTAATAATAATTAACATTTAGTTTTGTTATATGTATGAACACCGAGCTGTAATTGATTAAATAAGCCGCTTAATGAAACAACTTCCTAAGACAGCATAGTGGACACATTTAGTTTCTTCAGATTTCTGTAGATAAATATAGGTTTTACTGATTATGCTTAATGTACTGATTGATTAGTAAGTGGTCACTGTGAATCCAATAAAATATCATAGATTATCACATTTTTTTTCTTATAACAAGTGAAGCAACTTGTTAGTGAGTTTGTATTTCAGTGCAAATATAATATTTAATTTCCACTCCCCTTTTTTGTCCCCCAACAGCAAGGAGGAGCGCTGTCTCTGATAGAGTGTACTCTCATCGAAGAACTAGATGCCAGCGATGAGGACTGTGAGTATCTTTATATCAGATCATATCCAACCTTTGATGTCTTTGGCTGCTGACTGAGGCGAGGACCGTTTGTGTTTCCCCTCGCAGACAACGCAGCGGGTCAAGGCTTCAACCATCTGGAGTTCAAAATTGTGGTGGAGCCTCCCGACGGTCAGTCCTTCTCTGTTGTCCTCTTGGCTCCGTCTCGCCAAGAGAAGGCCGCGTGGACCAGCGATATCAGCCAGGTCAGTGTTTGAAGGTTCAGTTTGGTGGTTTGAACTGATCTGAAACGGTTGAGAAAAAGTTTTCTGTTCCTGGATGTGGGATTATGTTTCTCCGCCCTCTCTTTCAGTGCATCGATAATATCCGATGTAACGGCCTGATGACCAGCGTGTTTGAGGAGAACTCCAAAGTTTCTGTGCCGCACATGATCAAGTAAGAAAAGAGGGTTTCTGACAGACTAAGGGGTTTATAAAGGAAGATTTTAAACTGAAACAGTGAAGATTACATAGGTTTATAATCTGTTTCTCGCATTGCGTTCTTCCTGAAGGTCTGACGCCCGACTGCACAAAGACGACGTCGACATTTGCTTTAGCAAGACACTCAACTCCTGCAAGGTGCCACAGATCCGATATGCCAGCGTGGAGCGTCTGCTGGAGCGACTCACAGACCTGCGCTTCCTCTCCATAGACTTCCTCAACACCTTCCTCCACACGTACAGGATCTTCACCACAGCTGCCGTCGTCATCGACAAGCTGGCTGACATCTACAAGAAGCCGTTTACCTCCATACCTGTTAGGTACACGTCACTGTGTTTCACCTGGTTCCAACAACACTGTGGCCCTGTTTCTGATCCGATCTCAAGTGGACAGCTTTAATGCTTTAATATGTAACGTTTCTGCATTAATAAGTCTTTATTATATGTCTATATCTTGGTTGTTGGTAACACTTGTATTTAGAGCTGCCCACTTGTGATCTGATCATAAGAAGCGTGTAAATACCAGGCTCTGTTCGTTTGCACATCCATCCTCATTGTCCCTCTCCTCTCATGTAACAGACTCATGCATTCAGTCCATCTTTCCATTCCCACATTTTCTTTTCTCATTATTCGCCTCCTTTCTTCATCTATCACTCTACCATGCCCCCCTCCTCCTCCTCCTCCTCTGTCACTGTCCCAGGATCGAGCAACATTCATGTGATCGTCTGTCCATCATGTCCCTCTGTCCCGACTACAGTCTGAAGATCACACAGCTTGCACTGGACCAGTCCAAGTAAATACCGTCGGCAGGAATGGTGATTCACTTGTACCCACATTTGTCAGAGACCGCTCTACAGGTCAATTCTCCTCCTGTCTCTCAGGTCTCTGGAGCTCTTCTTCGCCACCAACCAGGGCTCGTGGGCAACCGACCCCTTGAACAACAAATCCCCGAGGCTGTGCCGCAAGTTTTCCTCTCCTCCTCCTCTCACCATCCCCTCTCGCACCTCCTCCCCCGTCCACTGCCGCAAGCTCTCCCTCAGTTCCCCGGTCAGCGGGAAAGCAGGAGCCTTGGACTTGTCCACCACCCCTTCCTCCTCTGCAGCCAACTCCCCCACCTCCAGCCACTGCCCCTCCATCTCCTCCCCCCCTCCTGGCTCGACCAGGCCCCCCTCTGGCTTTTCCTCTCCTCCACCCACCGCCACGCGCTCTCCCAGCCTCCCCCAGGCCTCTGGGTTGTCCTCGCCGCCCCCCATCTGCACCAAAGCCCCGCTGGACCTCAGCCGTGGTCCCAGCTCCCCTGAGCTGAGCCCAGCTGCAGGGGAGGACGTCAGCGGAGAGTTGCCTCGCCTCGACGCCTTCTGTGGGAAGCTGAGGCGCAGCATCCGCAGGGGTATGTAGCTGGAACACAAAAGCATATGATTCACACTCTCGTCGGTCCCATATGAACATCAGCACATGTGTGGGCACACGCCTCAGTGTTGGAGTGTTATGAAACTGTTTAGGTAGTTTTTCTTTGTTCGCTTTATTTCCAACATCTACTGCAAAGTGACTTCTACCAGCGTGAATAGGATTTATTACTAATATTATCCTTCAATCTGACACATCACTGATAATGAACCCGAACTAGAGAAACTAGAGAGACATAAATGGGTCACCATTACCCAACGGAGGAATAATCGTGCTCTTAGATCACCATCTGGCTACCGGTGACAGCTTGTTCACTATAAAAACGGCTAGGGAGCGCTAGGTCACAAAAACAAATTTGAGAGGAGGGAAAGGAAATGAAGAGATAAATGGAGCTCTTGATTGGGAGCCGGAGTGACTGCTAAGAGGAAACTGACGTATTGAATTGAATTTTGTCATTATACAACACAAGGTTGCGGTCCCAGAAGAAAGTAGTAGCAGTTCCTTCATGCTGCACACAGACAGAGCAAAGCAGATAAATAAGTTAGGATAACATAAATCAGCAGTGCTTTGTTGTGAATGTGTGTCTGGTTGATTGTAAACAGCAGCAACGGGATAGTGATCATAATATGGTTTCATCTTCACATAAAAAAGAAACGGTGTCCATGCTCTTTGACTGCTTTTGAGCACCAAGAAAAGCAGATTAAAGCAAAAACCGTTTGAAGGAGACGCAGTATCTGAATGTCAGAATCTTCAGATCCAGTTGATTTGAACAATTTTGGCTTTGCTCTTTTTTGCTTTTTTACCCTTAAGATGTACAAATGAATCCCCAAAGAGCACTGGGTGTCGCAAGGCCTCCTTGATTTTAAAGGGTGTAAGAAAACTTAAATCTAAGACTAAATCAAATAGTTATTTGTAGATTATTATTTAAGATATAAACTCTGACAGGATGAGGGCACGGTGAAGACTTGAACACAAACTATATTCGCTCTCTGATAAACTGCCTCGTCCTGCATGAGAAAAGTTAAAACAAGAGATAACAAGAGCTAATGAGAAGAAAACACTGAATTTGGAAAAAATAACAGAAGCCTATTAAGTATGTATAATTATTGAAATTGTAAAAATGCATAAAACAGACAGAACATTGTATAAAAGGTTCCTAAAAATATCAGGAAAAATGTTGAAGCACTGCCATAGAGCGTACCTCTCACTCTACACCCCAACATATAGTGTATTCAAAGCTAAATCAATATCTAAAATGTTACCTTACCTTTTTAATATCAGTCTGGAGGATCTGAATACTTCCTCCACTGCTCGGTGAATCCGAGCAAACCTCACAGAAGTATACAAAACTTACATAGTGCTACAGACATGTGAGTTGTGGCTTTTATTTCCTCTAACAGCTGTCCTGGAGTCAGTATCTCTGGACAAGTTCATCCCTGAATCACCAGCCACCAGCGAGCCGGGCGACATGTCTCCCTGCCGCTCACCTTCAACGCCAAGGCACCTCCGCTACAGGCAGACAGGAGGTACACAGACAGACAGACAGACACAGACAGACACACACGTTATCCATGATGTGTGCATGCAGAGCAGCCAAGTGTTGCTGTTCCTGCTGATGGTGTTTTCATGCTGTGTTTTTGTGTCTCCGGTTCCCACGCAGTCACATCGGGGGAGAACTCTCGCTGCACGATGTCGCCGGCTTCAGCGTTTGCGATCGCCACTGCTGCTGCTGGACATAGCAGCTCCCAGGGTGAGCACGGCAAGCCATGAAGGTCAAAAAGACACACAACTGAGGGAGGGAACTGTTGTAAATGGCTTTTTACAGGTAGCTAAATGGCAAGATTGACCTCAGACGTTTAAAACTGTCTGCCTAATCCTTCGCTTCTTTCCCTCTTAGGTTTTAGTAATTCTGAGAAGTCCTGCGACAAAGAATTCATCATCCGGAGAGCTGCGACCAACAGAGTTCTGAATGTTCTCCGGCACTGGGTTTCAAAGCACTCGCAGGTGAGTCCACAACAAGTGTGAACCTATCGTCACCCATTGGTTTGTAAAGTCCAGTTTTAAAAACCTTGAAGTTGGCGTTATGGTTGTTGCCATGTTGGTTTGTTGGAGCCAGCGGAGGTGACGTACTGCGAGTTGAGCTGCTCTCGTTAGCTGCTCAGTTTCAACTCGTCCGTATCAGGAAACGATGGCGGCTCACTTGGTTACACAGGATCTGGTATTCCAGATAAACAGTAAAATGTGTTTGTGAACAGATTTGAGGAGAGAAATAGTCAACAACAGAATCTGGATCCATATCTGATCAGCACTGTTTGACAGTTTGTTCTGAGTTTGGTGTGTTGAGCTGGACGGACTCACTGAGAATGAGCTGTCAATCACGAGGTAGCCCCACCCTAAAGCATACCCTGCTTTATGGTCTGTTTTACTCTAAATGGGACCATCAGTTACTAAATGAACATCATGCTGTATGGAAGAAGACTGAAACTAGAGACTGAGACCATAAACTCACCAGGAAACTGTTTACTGAGCTCATACATCAACTCAGAAGTCGGCTCATTTCTCCATAAGACTGTATGGTAATAGAGCTGCCCCCTGCTGGCTGTTAGAAAAAATACAGGTTTAAGAAACTTCATAAAACTTTATGCAACTACATAAATAAATAACTGATATAAAAAGGCAAATAAAGGGAGACATTTGTTCCATATTTTCTTTTTATAAATACAGTCCGCTTAAAAGACCAGTGTGTAGGACTTAGTGGCATCTAGTGGTGAAGTTGCAGATTGCAAGTAACTGAACACCGCTCGCGTCTGTATTTAACGACCTGGAAATGACGAGTGATGAGTATTATATTTTTATTTCTGCCAATAGATCCTCCTAAATGTTACACACTGGACCTTTAAGTACAACAATAAAGGCCAAACAATAAATGTTTCTCCGTTATGAACTCTTGACAACTTCTTGTAAATAAATACAAAGCGTCGAGGGTAAATAATAATCTATCTCTGCACTGAAAATGTTGTACAAAGTGTCATAATCAAGGCCTGATCCTGGTGCTGCGCCTGCTCCACAACCTGTAAAATCGTCTCTATGAATCCTTCGAACCGGATTAGCAGGACTACTGTTCCTGAACCCTGACTGGACACTTTCAGCCCACCTGAAAGAGTCTGCTGTCTGTTTCCACTGCTGTCAGCTCCTGTTTGTCTCCTCTCCTGTCACTCTTCTCCCTGATGGAGGTGCTCTTTGCTCTGCATGTCTTTTCTCTCACCCGGGAAGCACGCAAAAAGGTCAGCATCCTCCCCAGGGACACTAAAAGGACTATCATTTTCATTTCACATTATGTAAGACGCTATTTTTGTACCTGGACGCTGAGGCTTGAAAAGTGAACATTTTGATATTTGGTCCTTTTGATTAACACAGTTCTGGTCATTGATGTTTTTTCTTCAAAAATGTTTTTTTAAAACCTAATTTAAAAGCAGAATGTTCTCTATTATCACATGTTCTGTCTTTGAAAGCAGTTTTATCTTCCACTACTTTCTTGCTATTGGTCCTACAGCACCAACACCAGCACTAGCAATGTTTTCTGCCTATTGATATTAACAGGGACAGTGTGCATCCATAAGCTGTGCTGTAAATGTTATGTTTTCCTATATTTATAAAGAAAAACCTGGAACCAGAATCACAATGCCTTCATTAACTTGCCTTTTTATACAGTAATATATTTATATAGTTGTGCTTTATTTCTTTATTTCTGTTTTATCTATAACAATTTGTGATTGTACTGCATATGTAAATGTAAATGTCCTCTAGGGGGCATCCTTTTCTACACTGCAGCCGTAGACATGAGAAGAGCAAAGTTTGGGACTTTGCATATAAACGATTTTAGAAATATACTTTATTCATACTTGTCCTGTCGATTATATAGCAAATATTTAAGATCTGAATAATTAACACCAAAATGTCTTTGAACAGTCGTATCAAACCGTAACTCAGCTGTATGTAATGTGAACTATCTGTTCATCCATCAGGACTTTGAAATGAACGGTGAGCTGAAGATGGGCGTGATCGGACTCTTGGAGGAGGTTGTACGAGATCCAGATCTGCTGCCACAGGAGAGGAAAGCAACCACCAACATATTAAGGTACAAACAGACAGAAATGGTCAACGCAACAACAGAATCTGGATCCATATCTGATCAGCACTGCCTAGTTTGACAGTTTGATCTGAGTTTGGTGCGTTGACCTGGACGGACTCACTGAGAATGAGCTGTCAATCACAAGGTAGCCCCGCCCTAAAGCATACCCTGCTTTATGGTCTGTTTTACTCTAAATGGGACGATCAGTTACTAAATGAACATCATGCTGTATGGAAGAAGACTGAAACTAGAGACTGAGACCAGAAACTCATCAGGAAACTGAACTTACTGAACTTGGTTCTAACAAATTGTTGAGCTATTTCATAACTATAATGTTCATTTTAACAGCAGCATTTATAGCTCAAAGCTTTAGGGTGCAGTACCTCTTTAATCTCATTGTATTAGAAACATGTCATGAATCCAGCATTGTGAATTGTATTGAATCATAAGTTCAGTGTATCATTAGGTCCATAATGAAGTCTGTTGTGCTCTTCAGTGCCCTTTCTCAAGAGGAACAAGATGATGCTCAACTGAAGATAGAGGACATATTACAGATGGTCAGTATTACCGCCGGTTATCACCACAAAGTACTTAACAGAAGGGGTTTTATTATAGATTTTAAGCACATTTTTGAATAATTTATCTCCAGAAAAGCTGTCCACTACTGCACTTCATTGTGGTAAGAATAATATCAGTCTGAGGACCAGCTGAGCACTAGCTACTGTGTGTTGTGGTGAATTCTGTCACAACCAGTTACACCGTAGGAGGATTCTTAGTATGTAGAGTGGACTGTGGTAGATCAGTGGTTCCCAACCTGGGGTTCAGAACCCACACTAGGGGTCGCCAGAGCTTCATGGGGGGGTCACGAGGCCTTTTTGATTTTAAGCGTGTGAGAAAACTTAGAAAATATACACAGCAGGTCTGTATCTCAGCATTTGGTTCACCTCTGTGAAGAAAAGTAAAAGTAAATTGTCTTATAGAGCAATGGGTCAGGGACAAAACAAAACACTGAATTTGTCAAAAAAAGAAGCATATTAAGTCTGTATGATTGTTTAAAACTATCAGAATACATAATACAGACAGAGAAGTATATAAAAAGTTCCCTAAACAGGAAATAATCTGCTCAAAATTCATCTAAAGCACTCATTTTACACAAACTTCCTGCAGTTACTGAGTTCACTGTTTGGGTTCATTGCACATATAGTTGTGAAAATATGCCACTTAGTCAGGCGTCATCAGTTAACTGAACTATAGAAAAGGGGTCCCTTAAGGAAAAAGGTTGGGAACCACTGCTGTAGATCTTTGAAACAGCCTTTTTATAAATTCTCTCCTCCAAGTTGTTTGTGTGTGTTTCCAGGCGGAGAGTCCGAAGGTGGAGTGTTTTGATTCTCTCTCTGCGATGGAGCTGGCAGAGCAGATCACACTGCTGGATCACATCGTGTTCAGGAGCATTCCCTACGAGTGAGTACTTATTACTAATTATTGAGGAAACAAATACTGTGGTCAGTTGTTGTAGCAGTGGTTCCCAGGCCCCCCACTAGGGGTCGCCAAAGCTTCACAGGGGGTTGTGAGGCCTTCCTGATTTTGGCAGTTGGCCTATATCCCAGCATTTTGTTCATTTCTGTAAAGAAAACTTAAAATTATGTTGTTATTATTACTTAAGATGTGAACTTTGAAGATCTGAACACAAGTTATATTCCCAGAGCTTCAGTCTCTGATAAACAGCCTTGTGCTGTGTTAGAAAAGATACAACAACCAAAGAGCTGATGGAGCAATGAGAAGAAAACACAAAATTAATAAAATAAAAAGTCTGTATAATTGATGAAACATTTAAAAATACATAATATAATATAAATAAAGATAGCTTTTCATACAGACTTTTCTAGCTGGTATTTTATGTTTATGTTTGGATACTGAGGTTGAAAATCACATATACTGTATGTTTGTCCTTAAATTTACCAAACTTTATGCTTGAACCACAACAAAACCTCAACTTATCAGAAAATATATATAAAAAAGGTAATATTATATTTCCACTAAAGGGTAAACACTGTTCAGCTTTGTTCTATCCTCCTGCACACATTGTTCACATTGTTCAGAGAAACATGCAGCACATTGCTTGAATGTGTACGTACCATTAACTGTATATAAAAGGTACGTACGCACCAGTAAAGCTGATTCTGATGACGCTGAATGTCTCTGATCCTGCAGGGAGTTCCTCGGTCAGGGCTGGATGAAGGTCGACAAGTCAGAGAGGACTCCGTACATCATGAAGACCAGCCAGCATTTCAATGACGTGAGACTAAACAGTATTATTTGTTTATAGATTATCCACGGCAGTGGGGCAGTAGAATTACTCTGTGTGTACACATGTATTTATAGTCTATAATAATATATAACTTATTTGCTTTAACCTGTGTTGACCTTGTATCGGTCTGTGCTGAAGCTGCTTCAGTATAAACTGAACATTATTAGGCTCCATTAGTTAGCATTAGGTGTACTTAATAAAGCACTAACTGCGTCCTCTGACCACAGATGAGTAACCTGGTGGCGTCGCAGATAATGACCCACACTGATGTGGGCTCCAGGGCCAGCTCCATAGAGAAGTGGCTCGCAGTGGCTGATATCTGTCGCTGCCTCAACAACTACAACGGCGTGCTGGAGATCACCTCTGCTCTGAACCGCAGCGCCATCTTCAGGCTGAAGAAGACCTGGGCGAAAGTCTGCAAACAGGTCGGAGTCTACGGAAGCTTAACGCAGTCGCTGGAGAAATGTTTGCCCAGTTTTTCTGAATTAACGAGATACCTCCAGCGAGTTCAACCCAAATCCCTTAACCAGCCTCAAGCATCTTCCAGTGGGCCCAGGCAGGGATCTCAGCTGCCTAAGCCTGAACCAAAGCCCCTAACCCTGGCTCTCCAGTCAGCACCAGCGGGCCCCGTATAACCTGTGCAGTTTTACACACTTACAGCTGCATCTGATAGACGTTTGTGCCCCTTGTAGTCTGCTGGAGAACCAGAGGGAGGGAGGTGGGGCCCGTGCACACAGCTGAGGTGTAAACATTATTATTTTTTGGTGTTTTCAGTTTTTTAAAATCTTGATAATTCAGAAAAACAGAGCAAACTTTTTATTTTATGAATGAATGCATTATGTTTCTACTATTGTTTTTCCATAGGAATACATTTATTTAAACTATTCTCCACACAGAACCTTTCTGATGATGTTTCTTTGTGTATTTTTCAGACAAAGGCGCTCATGGACAGGCTGCAGAAGACGGTGTCATCTGAAGGAAGGTTCAAGAATCTCAGAGAGACACTGAAAAAGTAAAAACTGCAGATTACCAGAGAAAAATATAGTGGTAAAGTGTTTAAATCCAGTCAGTAAAAACTGTCTAATGTTTGTGTGTGTGTAGCTGTAACCCTCCATGTGTCCCGTACCTGGGCATGTACCTCACTGACCTGGCTTTCATTGAGGAGGGAACACCCAACTTCACGGAGGAGGGTCTGGTGAACTTCTCCAAGATGAGGATGGTAAAGATTTACTCTCTCCCCGCTCCCGTTCTTTTATCGTCCTTATTAAGCTCTCTGTTCGCTTGAGCCCTCCACTCAACAAAAACCTTTACAAAACCAAAAACACATAGTACAGTGTATAAGGAATTGATTAAACCACTAGCTTTCTAGAATATAATAAGCTTTATTTATAATAATAAATAAAGAATATGTATGTTAAGCATCCAAATAACCTTATTGTACTTACAGCTATAACTAAGTCTACACAAAATTGACCTCGAAGTGTGAAGTCAGAGCTGGAAATGAAGTTGTTTAGTGATGTGTTTCTGACACAGAAGTGCTAAAAAAACTGAATATTAGTACAGTTTTCTATTTAGTTGACGCACGAAGCAGCCTTCTTGGATTATGCAGGTGCCGTAGTAAAGTAAGGGAATCAGGGCTTGGCGAGCAACCAGTTATTTATTTCTGGTTTATTTGATTGGCACAGATACTGTCAACACAGACAGGCTGAAAACAGCTAATCATAGTGTTTAAAGTGGATGCTAAAAAAAAGTAAACAGAATACAAAAAAACCACATAAAACACAGTTGTCTATATTAACTCTCTCTCTGCTCTCTCAGATTTCACATATTATCCGGGAGATTCGTCAGTTCCAGCAAGCACCTTACAGGATAGAGCACCAACCCAAGGTGTGTCCCTACCTGTGCCTTTTACCACTAAATGATTCATTCAATAAAAAGTTTTTAAATGTTAGTGTCCTCTCTGTCCTCCCCCCCTCCAGGTGACTCAGTTCCTGCTGGATAAGACACTAGTGATGGATGAAGATACCCTCTATGAGCTCTCACTGAAGATTGAACCCAGAGTACCACCTGGCTAATAACAACTAATACACACACCACACACACACACACACACACACACACACACACATATACATATTTTGCCGTCTTACAGTATCGATCACGAATTACCACAACTTGAGATTCTTTCTTAATAAAGCAGGGGTTGTTCCACAGGACGCCGCCGGTTATTGTGCTCAGGAAACTCAGGAGACAACGTGCCTTTGAATGAATATCTGATGTGTATATTTAGTAAAGCACAATGAACTGTATAACAAACACAACTCTGCCATACAATCGTACAGTTATGACTGTAGATACAACCATGTTAGCTCTACTGTAAGGTAACCAGTTGCTGCTATCACACTGTAAATACCAAACAATCTGCCTCCGTAGTCTCGCACACCAACGTCAGATGAGTTTTACATTATTTGTACGATGACGGTCGGACTAACCTGGCTGCGGTCCCCCGGAGGCTGAAATGAGCCCTGAGGTTTGCTGTGTGGTGGTTTCCAAATTAATATAGGAATACACAAGCTGCTTACTCCAGTGGTTCCCAACCTGGTGGTGTGGACCCCCATTAGGGGTCGCCTAAGCTTCATGAGGGGTCTTGATTTTAAAGGGTTTAAGAAAACTTTTTCACAGTTGATTCACTTCTGTTAAGAAATGTAAATTGTCTAATAGAACAATGTCCAAGTGTCAGGGACAAGAAAACACTGAATGTGTCCAAAAAGAAGCCTTTTATGTTTGTATGATTGTTTAAAAATGATAATAAATATATAATATAGACAGAAAAGTTCCCCAAACAGGAAATAATCAGCTCAAAATTCATCCAAATCACTCAATTTACACAAATTTCTTGCAGTTACTGAGTTCACTGTTTGGGTTAATTGTACAGTTTTGTATATAATTTGAAATATCCATAAAATATGTCACTTAAGGGGTCGTCAGTTTAATAAATGATAGAAAAAAGGGTTGGTAACCACTGATTTACTCGACTGTTAGGGGGCAGCGCTGCATTGAATACAAAGAGTTATTTGTACTGAATGTAATGCGTCCCTGTTTTAACCCAAAGACGTCTTTTAGTATCTTATCATGACAGTTAATATTGATTCTGATATTCCCAAACACAATATCAATGAATCAAATGACCACAACCAGTTTCCACACAGTGAACCTGAAGCATTTTGGAGCCTCTGGCGGGGTTCAGCTCCTGTGTACGATGTGTGTGTGTCACAAACCGCTGGAGCACAGTTACATTTAATCTACCTTAATACTGACTCACCTGTCCGTCGGTGGTTGTTGATGCTCACAGGTGACGTCTGCTCAAGCTCCATGTAGTTTTCTATCTGTCACTCTGTTAACACTAGCGGTTCATGCGGTCGCTGTAATCTTTGTAGTTTACACACAATCTGCACAAATCTGACAATGTGCACATCGCAAATTTAAGATATTCATCTTTCTTGACAATCAGAAGAGTCTTTTTCAGTTTTGTAATATTCATTTTGTACACAATAATCTAATTTCTGCTCTTTTCTCAAGAGAATCGGCCTGAAAGGTTTCTTACGAGCTACCGAACCCGACAGTTAAACTTCTTTTACGTGTGTCACTGTTGTTATTATTAATATTATTATTATTAGTTCCTCGTCAATGTGATTATTTAATCATGTTTTAAAGCTTGTTGACTGTATTAGTGGTAATATATTTGCACTATTGCTTTGTAAAGAATGTCAATAGACTCTAAACTTTTCCATAGCATGACTATAGCATGATGTCCCCTCTGTTAGGTTACCGTTATCCGACTGTTTCATTAGTTTCAGTTCTACGTGAGGAATCTGAAGAAAAGGCTTCCGTGCTTTAGTTTGTAAAACCCTTGTTTTCTTACATTACTTTGAAATTCCAGTTTTGATGTATTTTTCCATACGTTTCTCTGTGTGCTGTACAGATATTTACACACAATAAAAACAAAACAATGTGAATCATAATGTATTATAAGTGTTTTTATGGCAGGTAGAGGGAGGCAGTGGTTGGCCCCCAGAGCTCAACACACATCTTTAACACATACGCATAAGACCGGAGATATACTTGTTGTTAACCACGCGTTTGTGTGATGGTTTCCTCGTGTATCCTGCGTCAGTTTGGACCGTTAACGTGATACAAATCTGTGGTTGAGAAGCGGGTCCAGCTAAAAGCTAATAAATAAGCTAATCAAGATAATACACAGACCTTTTTCACAGCAGTCATTTTAACATGAAATAGTAGGGTAAACATTATAATACATAATTAAAGTTCTGTTCCATTCAGGATAAACAGAGTTGAGGCTAAAATAGACGGCTTTATTTTCTGTGTACAACCCCACATCGACCATGGATGTGCCACCACGTGTCGACTTCACGCCATTTTCCCATTCCCAGCATCGCCACGCCTGAAATGATAAATTATAATGGAAAAACAGACATTGCCTGGAGAGCTGTATCTCTGGAGCTCTTCAGGTCTTGAGTTTACTGTTTACACATGATTTTAAGCTAATGACAATGCTGATGCTCGATTTTAGTATAAAACAGCTGAACAGGTTCAGGTTACATCTTGCTGAATGTCTTCCATATTAATAACTACGGATCATTTGTCATCTCTGCTTCCTATCTGTGCTTGGGGCTGCATCATATACAGAGCTGAGGCACAGGGTGTTTTAACCTTTAACCTGAGTTTTTAACCTTTTCCAGTGAGCCAACATGCAGAATAGCTACTATTTCATGTCAAAATGTCTGCTGTGGAAAAGGTCTCTTACAGAAGAAGAAACAACCGAATACAGAAACACTAGCGAGACGTTGGTGGTTGCACAGAACACTTATGAACACGCTCAGACACACAGGTTGAAGACTGTCCCCTTGAAGCTATTGTGTGTATATATATATATATATAATTAAAATTCAGCTGTTTTCTTCTGTACAACCTCTTTGTTTGTTTCAAGTATTTTCTTCATTTCTATTTGTATCTGTTTTGTTAACGCTCTGTATGAGGAGTTCTCAGGGTCAGAGTGTGTGAGAAGTAGAGTATCAGGAAGAAAGCGTGTGTGCGTGTGTGTGCGTGTGTGTGTGTGTGTGTGTGTGTGTGTGTGTGTGTGTGTGTGTGTGTGTGTGTGTGTGTGTGTGTGTGTGGCTGCAGTTGTAAATATCAAGGTCAAACTGGACAGTGATATCGGACCCCCGGTGGTCATGGTTAATCATGGCTCAGCGTGAGCGGTCGGTGCTGTTGTAGCTCATGTTGGAGGCCCTCCATTGGTTTACAAAGGTTTCTTTCTGAACTTATGATTGGCCTCCAGTTTTTAATCCCACATGAGGGGGAGGAGCCCCCCCCCGGGAGAGGAGAGTGAAAAGCTCAGAGACCTTTGGCGAGAAGGCAGAGCAGCTTTTCTACAGGTACTGTACCTTCTTCTTCCTATTTCTCTCGTAGAAAGGCTTCCAGTGTTTGTACGTACGTCTCAAACTGTTTGTGAAATCATTCGTAGAGTGTTTCTAAAAGAAGACCCCAGCTTGATATCATGTTTTTTTTGCATGTTTTTTGACATTTATAGTGAATCTGAGGGGGATTATCAGTGAGTGCATGCTTTAAAAGTCAAGTGTCTAACAGAAGAGGTGGATGGACGCTAGAGGAAGGGTGTGATGATGACTTTACTGTGATTGTAGCTGAGCAAACAAAAGAAAAGATTAATAGTGATTATAACTTTATTTATGAATTTGATCTAAAAGAAATCTTTGCAGTTTTTTTTGTGCATTTTGCATGAAAACATTTATATATGTATTTTAAAATCTTTCCTAAATGTTTAATCTGAAATACCTGAGGAGGCGTTAACTGTCCTTCGTCCTCTGGTGAGGGCGAGCTGCTCTTACACGTACTCCCTCGGAGTTAAAAGGTCACATTGGTCAGGGGAGAAGGAGGAGGATGAGTAGGAGAAGGAGGAGGAGGCTGATCCCCGGGTCAGTAGTGGTTTTGATGTAATCCCGACCATAAGACCATGTGATCCAGTGTCAGTTAGCAGTGGAGGCTTTAGTAGGCCGGAGCACAGAATTCCTCGGATGTCTATTGATTTCTAATTTTGTCTGAACTTTTCCTTCCTCCTGAGAAATATTGCATTCCCATCATTGCTGCTTGAACTCTCACCTGATTTTTATCCTTACATCCGCTGATCCGTGTTCTCCACCTGCCTTTCCATCCCTCTGCCCTGCTAACGTGGCCTCACGAGGATCTGGTCTTGTGACTGGTCCAGAATGTCACTGCGTTGTCAGCCAGAGAAGTTTTGCCTGTATCTTGGCACTGGATCCTGGCAGCACAACTGCCCTCCAAAGATCTATAAATAATATTTCCAGTGACCCAACGAGCTCACAGACTTTCCCCTCCGCACAGTGAGTGGAAAAAAGGATCAGTGGGGTAAATTCAGTAGATAAAAACCTTCTGACTTATTGGGTGAATGGATTTGGTGCAGGCGACTGATCGGCCATCTTTCCAGGATTAACAGTAGGAGTCCTGATGTCCTCACAGCTTCCCTCTATATTAAGATACTTTCCTCCCTCTGTGAAGGACAAGCTAGAATATGACCTTCCTCTCACATTCAGGTTTTATATTTTAACATTTTAAATCCATTTAAACAATAATGAATGGCAACGTCTGGAAACTACAGACAGATTTCTCTCTGTGCATTAGAGCTGTCTGCAGTCCCACTCTTTCCTGTGAGCTTAAGACGGACTTCTTTGGGTACCTGTTCATTACTGAAGCATTAGTGGACAAATGAAACCTGCCATCCTGTGGGTGGGAGACTCTGATAATGCTAAGAGGCTAAGAGCATCTGCCACGGCCCCTCCTGCTCTAAGCTCGTTACTGTATTAAACAAAGGTGCATGTGGGACGTCAAAGCAAGTGTGAAGAACTGAGCACAAATGCAGGAATTGAACATTTATAGAAGTTAAATGTGATGGAAAAAAGGCTCTGATTCCCATTTAATAAACTCATACAGCAACTAGAACGGCAGTCGGAGAGCACAGACCTCCGCTGAGGCCAACAACAATCACTTTTTTCTTTTTTTAGTAGTTTTTTTTTTTTGTAATCCTGCTGCTGCAGAAACAAAACCTTGTTGGTGAAGAAATTAAAAATGCCGGAAGTTATTGAACATAAGATGCCTGGTGACACCAGAAAGTAACTAGGACTACCAGGACTACTAGCTGGTAAAATACCGTAGCTAACCTTTACGATAGTTAGGGAGTTAATTTGGGAATGAGACTCAACAATCAGCTATCTTTCTTGGCTTTAATTGGTTGTTTCTGTTCGGCCCGTTGGATTCCCATCAATCCCATCAGGAGCACCCAGAGGAGCCAGAGGAACCTGCTTATCTGTCTCATGTTCTACTGTCAGGATGTAGTGAACGATTCATTCAAGTGTATTCTGTGTGTTTAACCTCATCAACACGACTAAAACTGTCTTTTCTCTTCCTCTCCAGCTCTTTTGCTTCTGACAGAGATTTACAAACTAGCAGAAAGATGGCGAGCTCTTTCACGCGTCTGATCTCCGGCCGCAACACGGCTGTGCTGTTGGCCAGTCTGGGTGCAGGAACGATGGCGACCGGCTTCTTGTTGAGCGAAAACGGCTCCCTGGCTGCTGAGATGAAGAAAAAGCTCTATCCTCCCAGGTAAGACATCAATCAGTTCAGATCCGTTACCTAAACGTACCACAAAGAGACCATCAGAGAGAAGATGGGCTTTCACGAGTTTCGCAGCCACTGTAGTTTCTCCCACACATTTCTTATTCTCAGATCGTCAAATACAAGTGATACGAGGGGTGTTCAGTTAGTTGCAATCTGCAGCTTCACCACTAGTTGCCACTAAATCCTACACACTGGTCCTTTAAAAATTAGGATTTTCTCAGCCCATTTAAAAATATTAACTTCATAGTTGACCACTAATCGATTGATTGACTAATTGTTGCAGTTTTACTTCAGTTTATCACAAACATTCACTTTAAAATCTCCAAATTTGGAGATACATGAAATATTGTAATGTGAAAAGTAAGAGACAAGTGTATTGAAGTATATTGAATTTGTACTTCTGAGTTCATGAAGAATAAGGAAGGAATATGTAGACTGTGGAAAGAGGTCCTTTCTCAGCGTTTATTGTAAGTGCAGTGGATGGATGACCTTGATGAGTCAGTGAACGGTCCGAGCTCTATAATTATCTTCCTCACCAACACAGGAACCGACTACGTGCTCCACCTCACTGCCACATTTCAGAAGAATGACTCATTGCTTTGTGTTTCCAGCGACAGGAGACACGAGTGCAGGAGCTGGGACACTCTGTGAGCCCGACAGACAGAAAGTGTACAGCGTTAGTGAGTTAGTGAACCTCTGAGAGTATGAAAGAGCACAGGAGGTCACAGCAGCCACACTGGCACCGTCCCGCGGTATCTCTGACGCTCTCGGGTTTCATCTGCGTTACCTTTGACTCACTCTCTCTCACCTTCTCGTCTTTACTACTACCTCTCTTTAAATATAAGCAGAGTAACGACCAGTGACAGTGGATGTGTCCCAAAAACGTGGTTTTATTTCCTTTTCCTTTCAATGATAAATGATAATGATAAGAAGGAATAAAATCCACAAAAACAAGTAACTTTTTACCATTTTGGACAAATATAGCTGTTTCTACTTTGTGACCACACCCAGCAACCCCAGTTCTTCCTCTCCCGCAGCTCCGACTTCCCTGACCTGAGGAAACACAACAACTGCATGGCCTCATGTCTGACTCCAGCCATTTATGCCAAACTGAGGGACAGGCTCACCCCCAACAACTGGACCCTGGACCAGTGCATCCAGACTGGAGTCGACAACCCCGGGCATCCTTTCATCAAGACCGTGGGCTGTGTGGCTGGTGATGAGGAGAGCTACGAGGTAAGAGAGGGCCCAGTTTGTTTCTTTATGTTTCTCTTTTCTATCTCTTTTACTTTATATTAAAGTATCCTCTGACTGTCCAGCTGCCAGAATCCAGATAAGAGAAGATCTGAGTTTATAAAAATGGAAATGTTTAGATTTCTCTTTGGTTTATAATTGGAAGATTTGGATTTGTGGATGTGGAATTCTGCAATAAGGCGGCTCATAGTGACATAATCCTGGTCCTTCACAATGGTCCTTTAACACTGCGCCTTCTGTTCCCTGCAGGTGTTTGCTGAACTGTTTGACCCCGTCATCAAGGACAGGCACAACGGCTACGACCCCAGAACCATGACACACCCCACTGACCTGGATGCCTCCAAGGTCTCTAACACCCTAACACCCCCCCTCCACCATCTGCTGCTGCTTCATGTATTAACCAATATGTTCTCTCTGTCTCTGTATCTTCCTCCTCCTCTTCCTCTTCCTCCAGATAACCAACGCCATGTTTGATGACAAGTACGTCCTTTCGTCCCGTGTCCGTACCGGCCGCAGCATCCGTGGCCTGAGCCTCCCCCCGGCCTGTTCGAGGGCCGAGCGCCGTGAGGTGGAGCGGGTGGTGGTGACGGCCCTGGCCGGCCTGAAGGGAGACCTGGCCGGACGCTACTACAGCCTGGGAGACATGACGGACAAGGAGCAGCAGCAGCTCATTGATGTGAGTTTCATTCGGCCTCATACATAGAAAATAACTCACTTTACATATACTTCTTTGAGATTTGAGGAATCATGTTTTGTTTCTCAAAGTCATAATTTGGGAATCTTAAATATTTCTCTGAGCTGTCAACTGTGCTGTAGGTCGGTGGTTCCCACCATCATTCACACTGTGAATCTCTGGGATTGTTGATAGCATTTGGTAAATGTTCAATAATGTCTCTTGCATATTACTTTAGAAGCTGCATATTAGCCTCACACTGAAAGCTGAGTGAGGACAGCAGACGTCGAAAGGTCGATAATAAAAACAGGCGATTCAATGAAAAATGGACAATTAATTTGGCTTTATTTACTAATCCTAAACCTCTGAGTTTAATATGACAAATGACAATATAAGGTATATAAGGTTGCTAATATCAGGTAGCTTCAGTGCAGCGTTCTCTAAGTTGTCTTATTCTGCCACATCAACAATCTTAATGTTTATCCATTTAATTTTTATTGATTTATAAGTTCCCTTCCTTTCCTAAAACATTAACACTATTCATTTCCAGAACATCAGCTCTTTATCTTGTTTCAACCAATCTGACAGCATCCAGTCAAGTTGAAGCGCCAGTTGGAAGAAATTATACCAAAGATGATTTTATTTGTGCACAAAAACTACGTGTCAGTAACATTATGACTTGTTTAGGATTTAAAAGTGTCGAACTTGGACTTGGTCCCACCTGCTAATGAGTGACCAACCCGTGCACACACTTTCATTGATCTCTCTGTTGTGACTATTTCACGCTGCGCCACATAAGGATCACTTCCTGTTTGACAAGCCTGTGTCTCCGTTACTCACCTCGGCCTTCATGGCCCGAGACTGGCCCGACTCCAGGGGGATCTGGTAAGGCCCACGCAGTTCAGTGAGATCCTGTCACAATGCTGTTAGCGCTGTGATGAAAGACCAACATATTGGGTCAGTGTAGGTCACGGCTAACGGATTTTAGTTTTGAAATTAGAAAACAAAAATCAACAGTAGGAGTCATTTTCCCTTTTTATTTACAAAACAAAAAAACAGTTGTTTTTTCATTTTTTGTTCCCAAATTTAAAAAAAACTAAAATCCGTTGGCTGCACAGGACACTGACCACATTCCCCTCTCGTAGTCTAGAGTCCCGGCCTGTGAATAACCTCTCTCCTCTCCACTAAAGGAAAGGAAGCAGTAGTTTCTCCTCAGATTATCAAAGCTTCTACTCCTCTTTGACCTCCTTCCACCTCTCTTTTCTTCCCTGTACCCCTCCCTCCCACCTTCAGGACCACTTCTTGTTTGACAAGCCCGTCTCTCCGTTGTTGACATGTGCCTTTATGGCCAGAGACTGGCCAGACGCCAGGGGTATCTGGTAGGGTCCATTCAGCTCTCCTGCATGTCTGCTGTGTGACCATTTAGACCTCCGACCCTGATCCGTGATAGAGTTAAAGTCCCCCTCCAGGCAGAAGTCTTCTTGTTCCCACAGTGTGTGTTTGAATGATGTCTGTACAGTCTGACACTAGAAGGAGGTTTTAGTTTGGATTCTGGTCCAGTATGAAACTTATAGCAGTGCACACACACTGAGAATGGACTTTACAGTGAAGCAGGAGACATCTTGTGTCCAGCAGCAAAGATTTGCATATAGCTCGTTTGCCCTTGTGGTTTCTCAGTTGGATATATCTGAGCAACTGTAAACAGCGTGATAAGAGCAGGTAGAGAATGTAGATAATCGCTTCCTGCCTTCTATCTGCAGTTTGCTCCACATGAACAAAGTGACGTGACGCCATCCGCAAACTATTCATAGATTCATTTTTTATGAGGTAAAACGAGTAGATGCTTTTTGAGGATTTTAATGTGGAAATTTTCCTTTTTTTGTGGGAAAACCCTCATATCAGACACACATTATTGCTCCAAGCAACTATATGTATCTGTGTTTTAACGTCTGGAGGGGATCTTTAATATATCTTTCTACATCAGGTGAAGCTCAGCAGAAGAACTCAGTTATTACTCTGGCTTTGACGCATGCGGGTGTGGAAAAAAAAATACCAACAGGAAATTATTTCTGTTTCCCCATTTGGTGTGTATTGTCCTTTACAAATGCATGTGTCTCTCACAACGCTGCTGCACAGATTAATTCTGCACAGACTCGTCGCATGAATATCAAAGTGTCTGCAGAATCAGGTCCTTTATGAGCGTGAGTCATCTCCTGTAATGAAAGAGAGAGTTCTACCTGGAGAGCTCTTTTATTTAGTTCCATCAGCTGGTTCTCCTCAGGCACAACAATGAGAAGACCTTCCTCATCTGGGTGAATGAGGAGGACCACACCAGAGTCATCTCCATGGAGAAAGGAGGCAACATGAAGAGAGTGTTTGAGAGATTCTGCAATGGACTCAAACAGGTGCAGTGGAGTCTGATGATCTATTGATGTAGGATATAAGTGCTTTGTCATGAACGTTTGTTTCTCATACACCAGCTGGTTTTTCTGGTCATGTGATGTCTCGCAGGTGGAGCATCTGATCCAGGAGAGAGGCTGGGAGTTCATGTGGAATGAGCGTCTGGGCTACATCCTCACATGCCCCTCCAACCTGGGCACCGGCCTCAGGGCGGGCGTGCACGTACGCCTGCCGAAACTCAGCCAGGTAACACACACACACACACGCACACACACACACGCACACACACACACACACACACACACACACACACACAGTTTTTTATGCAATTGCAGATGTTCTGAACAATTTAAGGAATAATTCTGGTGATATTTTGTATTTTTCTCATCAACAAAATCTGTGTGTTTATCAAAGCCTGATATATCTTCTTCCTCTGTGCCATAGAGCTCCATTGATGTAGAAAATTAAGTTAAATTAAATTAAAAACACCTCAGTGAGCCACCATGAACACACACACTGTAGTTGGCTCAGTCCCACATACACCGTCCTGTTGCCCCAAATACTCACTAACGCACCAAATACAGCCCCCGTACAGTTGTCATCGAGGGGGAAGTTAGCTGGCTGTAAACGGGTTTATTGCTGCTGTAAATTTGGGCATTTTAATATGAGGCCTTATGGGGATAGAGCCAGCCTCTAGTGGCCGTTTGAGGAACTGCAGTTTTTGTTGCTTTGGCTTCATTTTAAAGCCACAGAAGTTGCCCCTTGCTTGAAAGTCAAAGCCAAGTATTAACGTTTGCATATGTGCTCTTGTAGTTTATAAATAAGCAGCATTTTCTGTAGTTACAAATGATTGAAAATCCTTCCGCAGGATCCTCGTTTCTCCAAAATCCTCGACAACCTGCGGCTGCAGAAGAGAGGCACAGGAGGAGTGGACACAGCCGCCACCGGAGACACCTTTGACATTTCCAACAACGACCGTTTGGGCAAATCTGAGGTGAGGATCAACCCAGCATATTCCAAATTATCAACGATTTTGGCCCCTCGGAGCCACCGTTGTGCTGCAGGAATAAACTGCTGGGTGTATTTTATAGGTGGAGCTGGTCCAGATGTTGGTCGATGGGGTCAACTACCTGATTGAGTGTGAGAAGAAGCTGGAGAAGGGACAGGACATCAAAGTCCCATCTCCCATCGCTCAGTTTAGGAAATAAAAGCTGGACTCATGTTGCCATCGGTGTCAGCAGGAGGAGGGCGGCCCTCTTTCTCAGCGCTCCCTCCCAAACTGAGCCCCCGGAGGCCCTCGGAGCGACGCCTGTCCACCGCCACGGAGGAGGTGGTTTCTTTAGGGTAACCTAATCTTACACATGAACTGCAGTTAGGGGACGATTCTACCTCAAGTTAAGGTCTTCACTGTAACCCTAACTCCAATAAAACAAACAGAACTAAACACTGTGCTGTCCTTTACTTCTTTAAATTCAAATTATTTTAACTCATTTAACCAACTATTTTAAATTAATGAGCTTTTCCTGGTATTTTGTGTTCAATGTTTACAGCGGGGTGCACAAACCTTTCCCCTCATGGTGGGTCAAAAGCTAACAGCAACAGCTAATAATGAATGATCCTATATATTTAAAGAGCAAACTAATATTTATTCATTTATTAATGTATTTTTCTACTAGAATAGAGCCTGAATCAAACCTTGTGGCGGACCAATTTTGGCCCACAGGCCCCACTTTGGTTAACAGCCTTCTGGTGTTTTTAGGTGTTTTCCCGAGATTTGATCTTAAAGTTGAGAAAAAGAAACAAAAACTAATCTGGAGAAAAGTTCTTACAAAGTCAAACACTGTTGCAGCCTCATAGATCCTAAATTAAATAATGAAACATCCTGCGCCGCTATCTTAAGACCCTTCGGAGGGGCCCGACCTGATCTGATACAGTCACTATTTAACTGATAAAAAATGTTTTCAGTAACCTAATCCAAGTAATTTGAGTACTTTCTGTTACTTCTGGATTACTTCAACATCAACTATACAAATAAAAACAAGATAAATATCATTAAGAAGTATTATTGTTTTCTATCAGACAACAGAACAATGTGTCCTCTGTTGTATCGCTGTGTATTTTTAAAGAAAAACTGATTGTAATCCTGCTAAATATCAACATTTTTACTAAATGTAACTGTAATCTGTATTTTTTCTGTAACTAACAGATTAGTTACTTTTTTGTATCCTGTAACTCAATTACATGTAGCAGTAAAATGCTGCTCTGACGTTCTTTAAAATAACTTTCTATCAAATATATAATAATATATAAATAATTTAATTCAGTTTCCTTCAGATAAATGAACCAAATGCTGAGATAAAGGCTTACTGTGGCCTCCCGACCTCCCAGTGAGGCTTTGGCGACCCCTGCTGGGGGTCCTGCCCCCCAGGTTGTGAACCACTGCTTTACGTTGTGTTAAATTACGATTTAAATATATTCAAACACTCCAGTGGGTATAAAGAGTTCCCATCATCCTCTAGTGAAGAATCTGAGGTTAATAAACACAACAGTACAGGTTTGATTAAGCATCCATCGCAAATCTTTATTCATTAACAACCTTCTGTCCTCCACCTGCAGTTGGACGTATTGCCTTACATGTGGAACGGCGTAGAGTCTGCTGGTGCGCTACCGTCTATAACAGAGTATACTCACTGGCTGATGGGGGTTTACTGATGGAGAGAGGAGCCAATTGGAGCGGGTTTAGAACTGCAGTGCTAGAACCAATCAGTGCTTTGTATTTCTTGTTCTCAGAATGAAAGTATAGTCGGCGTCGGGATGGACAGAAAACAAAGAGAGAGAGAGTAACCCTGCGTCGTAATGTTAAAGCCACGCTTGATTTGTTTCCTTATTCCTGAACATGTGTGTGTTAATGGCGCTTGAACTTGATAGAGAAGATACATTTACAAGGTTTAAGAGAAAAACAAGTGCCTGTGGATCTACTGTGGATATAATGCTCACTGACACTTTCCTGGGAGGCCAACGGAGGTGAAAGAATTTTAATTATTATAAGAGACCTTTTACCCCCCCCCCGCCCAAAAACATCTCAAAATACAAAAACATTTCCAAAAGGACACGTGAAAGTCGTTGCATTTTTCATGAACTTCTGTGTTTACATGTGGATTTCTGCATCAGTAACCAACTTTAATTTCCATGTACTGCAACAGGTGATTTCACAAAGTACAGTGTATCTTAAGGGGGGAAGGGAGGGGGGCGGGGGATGAAGAAAACAGATATAAACAAACAGCATTGGATGCTGCAGATGTTAACTTTTTTTTTGAAAACGAAGCTTAAAAATCTGTAAACAGGTCTGCGTAAGCTATAATGATTAATCTGAGAAAAACATTCAACATTTAAGTAAGCAGAACAGCACTTTTAAATTTTTTTTAATTTTTCTGACATTTTACTTTCCAGGATGCCACCTCCGACAATTTTCTCATTTTTTTCTAAAAAGAAATCAGTAGAAAGAAGTCGAAACAACCCAAAAAAAAAAAAAAAAAAAAAAAAAAGAAGGTGACACCTAGAGACCAGAGCCTGCCTATTCACCAAAAAGTCCTACTTTTATTTTGTTTGTTTTTGGCAAAGTGAAACAGAAACACAAGCCTCTATGAAGGAGTGGTTGCAGAGTGCTAAAACAATGCAGGTTTTTTTTGCCAGAACAGGGCATCTCTGTGTAGTTTGGGGGGGATAAGAACAGAGAGTCAGGGTGGGCTCTTTTTAAACAGGAAACAGAAAGGAGGCCGGGGAGGGGGGGGGGGGGGGAACGTCAGTGTTGTGTCGTCAGTCGACGGGTCGCTTCTCACTGTGTTTCTTTGTAAACTCCTCGGCGTTCTTCATGAATTTCGCGCGGTCTTTACTGTACTCCTCCGCCAGGTCGGCCCTCAGCGGATGCTCCGGCTGGGGGGAGCTCACCAGATTGATGAGACTCTGGATCACTGCAGGAGAGAGGGAAGGGAAGGGAGGAGGGAGGGGGAGACGTGTGATTTAAGTGTCACCATTTCAAATCATTAAAACACGAGCGAGATTCAAACATACCGTCACAGGAAAGAGTCAAACGTGTGACAGAACAGCGTTATAATGACGTACTGTAGAGACCCCCCGCTGACCTACAAATCTCCACATTATCACGATTTTAAGCTTTTCTCGTGAAATGTAGTGAATTTGTGATACAACAATGATCATTCCCACACTAACTATATTGCAATATGATGTTTCTACCATATCATGCAGCCCTTAATATCCACCGTATCCAGGTCTGTTAACACACCTGTGGGCCACCTGAGTAAAGTCTATGTGAGGAAACACGGTGAGATCAGGCTTTAAATGTCTTCAATTCAGAGCTGTCTGTCTGTCTGTCTGTCTGTCTGTCTGTCTGGGTGAGGATGTACTGACTCTCATTTATGGGCTGGGGCGGCTGACTGAGTGATGGATGACTCTGTAATGTTCCTTTCTGTTCTCACACAGCTCATATACAGTTTATTCTAACCATCGAACTTTGTACTAAACGTTTTAAAGCGTGAGCTGTTTGATTTCTGGCTGTCGGATTTGAACGTCGCCACCTGAAACAACAACAACAACTGTCTGCAGGAGATTTTAATCAGCTGTAGCTAATGAAGCTAATGGGAGCTTAAATGAGTCAGCTACAAACGTTTCCAGCTGATCATTTTTAGAACAAGAGCCACATAAAAAGGGCCCTTAAATAGGCAACTGATGGCTACATACATAGTACTGTGCTCTAAGAAGGCTTTTAGGACGAAGACTAACTGAACTAACTAACGGAAATTTCTCTATAAATCATATTTAAGACATTTTAAAGCCTGAAATTCAGATGATTGGATTTTAGACTTTTCCAGATCCCTTGGGGCTTTATCCATTAGCACTTTTGGCGCTGAGTCAAACAACGTTGCGCTGAATTGCCTTTCCATTTCCACTTTTAACGTGCTGAGTCGGGCCAAAGCACGGCCGTAGCCCGACCGCCGTCGACCCGTGACGATCGCCCTTCTCCCCCTCAAGGAGAGCGGACAGACGTTGAAGTGTTCAGCTCTCAGTACTTTTAGAGTTTCTAACTGACTCTCTGTGGTTTAAAGTTTCTCTTTCTCCGTCGTTTCACGTTCTCGCTTTGAGCTGTCGCGTCGTGTAACTGCTGATTAAAACCCAAACACTTCCTGGTTTCGCTGCTTCATAAAAAAAGAAAGTGTTTAAATAACCGGAGACCTTTATTGTGAAGAATTTATAGGAAGTGAACTGTGGTTATCACCGGAGCGGAGCTTAGTTAGCAGCTTTTCTGGAGCTCTCCGCCTCTAACCACGTCACACCGGCCAGCACGGGTGTGTGGGAGAACGCCACCTGCGTGAACGCTTGTGTTCTGGTTGTGGGAAGTCTACGTGGATTCTTATCGAGGCTCACGTGGACATACAAAGCCCGACAGGCACGCAGCGCCTTGTTATGGTTGCTAGGATAAGCTGAAGCTATGACAACAGCTGAGTTCAGGAGGAGGACAGCAGCCATAAATAATGATGTATAACTTTAAGAAAAGGAAACCACACCCCTCGCCTCACCTTGGTCAGTTTTTGTGGCGGGCTTCCAGTTCTCGACGCTGATGATGGGCAGACACACCTGGCCTTTCTCGTCAACGTTGGGGTGGTAGATTTTTGTCTTGAACGTGATCTTGGGTGGCTTGAAGGGGTACTCGGCGGGGAAGATGAGCTCAATGCGAAATGCTCCTTTGTCGTACGGAGGACAATCCTGGGAGAGAGCGAGAGAGGTTGCAGATTGTAAAGAACTTTCATTAAAGCTTTTTTTAATTGACATTGTTTAAACACAAGTTCTGTTAACACCAATCAATACTTACAGGAACAATGAGTCCTTGCCAGCTCAAGAAATTTGACTCATCCACTTGAATATTGCGGAAATTCTTCATCCCAGATTTGCGGATTTCATCGAGCTCCTGAAACAAAACGTTGATTTAAAATTTAAAATGGAGTGAAATCATGACTTTATTATTAGGTACACCTGTACAATCTAATACAATACGATCATTGTTAGTGGTTGTGTATTAATATTCTGCCCCATTCATGAATGTTAACCTCTCAGTATAATGCAGTCCAGTACAACACCACCTTTAACTATGGCCTCTATAAACAGGGGCTGCAACTAACAATTAAAACTATTGATATCAATTGATCTGGTCCAGAAAGCGGTGGTACTGTGAACTGCTACAGAGAACTAAAGAAACTAAAGATATTCACGTCTGAGGAGCTGAAACAGAGAGAATCATCGGTGATTCATTTAATAGTTGACAACTGATTGATAAGCTCTAGTTAATAATGAATATATTCAATTGAATTTGCACATTTACAACAATGCACAGATAACCAGCTCGACCTCGCAAAAATAAAACACTGAATGAAAAAGGTGAACATTATTATATTTATATTATATTTGCTATTTCAACCTTTTATAGATCATTTTGATGAACCCACGATGTTACTCACTGCTTTGTCTTGTTGTTGGTGGTTCGTTTTTTACATGTATGTGATAAAAGATGTAATTATATTCACAAATAATAACTAATAAACAGAAGTAGAGCGCAGAGTTTCTGGAAGAAGAGTCGTATTGAGTCACTCAGTGTATATAACAATGGTGAAGCTTTAAAACCCCAGCGGGGGGGGGGGTGAAGGTGAGGGCGACTTACAGGAGCTGCGTAATGTGGCCCCGATGGACCGAGTCAGACAGTACACAGTTACATCACTCTCTCCACGGTGAGTCAGATCCACTCTCAGTCTATCCTCCTTATGTAACTTTCACACGAGCACCGTTAACATCACTTATATCACATGATTCAATTAGTGTTCAGTGTTTTTTTATTTCAGACTGATCAGAGCTTCCGGGTTTCATTACTTCCTAGTATTATATTATATATATATTATCTATTATTAGGGATCATTTCTTCTTGATTCCAGTGGTTCCCAACCTTAAATCATCTCTTTTCTATCATTTAGTAAACTGTTCAGTAGATTATTTCCTGTTTAAAGAATCTTTTTATACAAGTATCTGTCTGTATTACATATTTTTAACAATCATACAGAGTTAATAAGCTTCTTTTTCACTAATTCTGTGTTTTTTTCTTCAGAGAAGTGAACCACGTGCTGAGCTTTTGGCCTGCTGTGTATATTATCCTATCTTACACCTCCTTAAATCCAATAAGGTTGGTCCATGTGTTAAAAATGTCGGCGTTCGGCGATATATATTCGTGTGTGTGTGCGCTGCAGCAGCGCCCTCCCCCGACCCCTCCCTGTAGTTTCAGCTGGGAGATGAGCGGCGAGTTCCCGTTGTGCGACGAGCTCCAACAGCTTTAAGAAAGAAAATAAACTCACCAAACTATTTTCACAAGTTCATTCACTCGAGTTTCTGTCTCTTACCGAACGAACACACTTTATTCAAATTATAAAACTGTTCCAACTATCACAAACTCTGCTGTCTAACCATCATACAGAATATCGCTGCCTCTCTGACCTCCCTCCGTCCTCCCTCCGTCCTCCCTCCGTCCTCTACCCACTTCCTGCCTCCTGTCTCCTGTCCCTGCTGTGTCCTCACCTCCCCCAGAGTTAGAGTCTTGTTGGGAGCCTCTGTGAATCACCTCGTACCTGTATTCCCTGCCGTCAAACTCTCGATTTGCTGCAGTTAGATGTGAGAATACAGCGACTCCACAGCGCGGCTCTCCTTCAGAGGCAGACCTTTAAATTATTAAACTGTTCTACATCCACACTGGTAAAGTAAAGTCGGGTTTGTTGTTACGGCAACATAATCAATGCAGGCTGAAAATAACTTTATTAATCCAAATACATTTTAAAAGACCTTTCATAATCAGATTTAAGAAGTTTTAAGTCTTTAAAAATCAAGATTTGGGGGATTTTGGACACCCTGCATTAAAAAATAGTTGCCAATTATGTATTTGTCTGTCAACTAACGGATTAATCAGTTAATCATTTCAGCTCCAGCAGCGGTACAACACGGCTCTACGTGCCTCTTAATCTGCCAATGTGATGAGCTGGTAATCCTAGCTGCAGTTTGTGCCTCTCATGTGTTACCATTACATTCGAGTCACGGAGCGACAGCGTTTGATTTTCTGAGGGGGGGGGGATGATACAACTGTCACAGAAAAAAACCCCCAGTAGGTTAATACAACAGGACTTACGGCTGTTCTCAAGGTATTTCTGAAAATCCTTAAAGACCATCTGGACAGGAAGAAATTAGTTTTTATCCAGGAAGACGGACGATTACACGTCTGCTTGTTCTTTTTGTTCGATATGAAATAACAGAGAGTTTGAGACGTTGTATAAAGTGAGCAGAAAGATGTGTAATCTAGCTTCCATCTCTGGTTGCATGAGGAAATGGCGTCTCAATTTAACAAGTTATTTATATTTTTTAATGGAGGTAAAGACTGAATACATTCTATAAAGATGGTTAAAAGTCTCTCTGTGAGTCGATGTAATGGTCTTCTACACTACGCAGCAATCGGTTTAATTGTCTTTATTAGAGCTACAACAAGAAGTCGATGGAAAGAAAATGAATCAACTATTTGGATGATCGAATAATAGTTGAAGTTGTTGAAGCTTCCTCGTTCTTAAATGTGAGAATTTGATGTTTTTCTTGTGAATATTCGGCAGTGATAAACACTTTGAGCCGCGTGTGTGCTACATAAATAAAGATTAATAATACTATTATAATAATAATAATAGATCAGGGTCGATAAATAATCGATTCATAATGAGATATAATTATTTTAAGGAGTACAGTCTCACCCTAACTGTTAATTGTTCATTAATAATAATTAGATTTAATATTTAAAGAATGAAATTTCAGCCGATAAATTATCGGTTGATGTTGATTTATTTTGAATTCTTATGTAAAATGTTTAACAGACTTTATGTTCTATTAAAGCAACTTTAACATCATCATCAAGAGCTTTAACCTTTCCTAAATGTACATATTGTCTCAAATAAAATGTTTAACAGAAGAAAAACAAGAACCTGATAAACTCAATATCTTTATTATATTTCATTTATTAAAGTATTTAAAATGTGGATTATTTCTCTGATAATACGAGGAGGTCTGTTACATTAACTTAAATCCATTCATCAGGTCTTATTTAACCTATATGTCTTTAAAGAAACGGCTGCTTTAGGTCCAAATAAACACGACGTGATGCATCCCAATTACTCTGTCCCATGTAATCTATTACTCTCCAGGCCCCCAACAGATTACAGAAGAGCACATATCATTATAAATCACACTGCTAACTTACAGCTTGCTTTCTGTTTCATCCCTGCACTCGTTTATTCAAGGATCCGGCCATATTGTACATACTGTACTCTCTCTTTTTACACTGGCTCCTCTTATCTAATCGTTACCGAGGGAAATTCCTCCTATGTGAAACTTACTTGGCAATAAACCTGAAACCCTGAAAGAGCAAAGTGAGTGAGCTGAGCAGTAAAAGGGAGTCTACTTCCTGACTCAACCTCCCAACTGTCATTCACCTGTAACTGATAATAACATCATCACATGGGGAGGAAGGGTGTGGAGGATGATGAGGGGGATGGGGGGGGAATTCCTAAACCCTCAGAATCACATATTTAACCAACAAAACCAAAACCAAAAATGGTGGTGGTGTCGCAGAAACGAAAGTGTAAGTGTGAGACGGCACACAGACAAAAAAAAAAAAAAAAAAACCAACAACTTTAAACGCCATATTTTAAAAAACAAAAAAAAACCATTTTCCTCCGCCGTTACCGGCTACTCTCTTGTCAGTTATCACAGATTATTTACTCTTTGATATATATATATATATATATCGCGGCTCTGACGTCACGTCCCAACCCCAAAGTCTCCATGTTTTCGCGTCTGACGGTGACAGCGCGTAAAAACACACACACACACACACACACACACACACACACACACACACACACACACACACACACACACACACACACACACACACACACACACACTTTAACGGCCACCGGCCTCCATTTAAAAACACCGACCACGCTCTTTACCGACTTCCCGGTGTGTGTAACCGGGTTGTTTTCCTTCCGCCGGTGCTGAGTCACGGCCCCGGCGGCGGCTCACAACTACTTAAAGTAGTTCCAGCCGGTCGGTCACCGTCTGTCGGACGTCATTATCCTTTCATTTTGTCCCGACAGATCGGCGCCGTAACGCGGTTTAACGGCGGTTTTCTGTCGGTCGACGGGCCCGTAGCTGCGCGCGGAAAGCCGAAGCAAGTAGTTAAAAAGCCTCTGAAAGTGGCGGAAGGTTTAAATGTTGGTGGATTGTGTTCCTTTACCTTGTATAGTCTCTTGGACGAAGTCATTGTGGTACCGATGTCGTCTTCTTCCTGTTTCTTTCCGTTCCTCCTCGACTTCTTATTCTTCTTCTTCGGGTTTTAATGGCGGTTGGTTAGACCCGCCGGAAGCTGCGTCAGCGCCACCTGCTGGTCTGGAGTGCGCAGCGGCGGCTCGAGTCACTGCAACACATCATGATAGATTACATCGTTTAATTAATTAATAAATAACATAATATAATATATATAATGACAATAATAATAGAATAGAAAAAGAGTTTTATGAACAATCTATAAATAAATAATAGATAGTATAGATTAGTGGAAATATAGGCTATAGACATAGGGCTATTAATATAAAGTCTGTAAGTAAATAAATAAAATAGGTCAAACAAGATATAATGATAATAATAATAATAGCATAGAAAAACAGTTGTATGTACACTATACTATCTATAAATAAATAAAAGTATAGATTAGTTGAAATACAGGCTATAGACATAGGGCTATTAATATAAAGTATATAAGTAAATAAATAAAATAGGTAAATATAATACATAATGAAAATAATAATAGAATAGTAAAAGAGTTGTATGAACACTATATACAGCTTTTTTATATACACAGATGTGATTGATATGTAACAGCAGGAGGTAGTGGCATGGTGTAAAAATAAATAATAGACATAGGGCTATGAATATACAGTATATAAATAAATAAATAAAAACTAAATTCTCTCTATTATTGCTGTTATTTTTAAATAATAAAAAGTAATAAGTTTAACAGGCCGAACAATTAACAGAGAAAATAATCAATAATGAAAAATAAGCATTAATTGTAGGGCTGCACGATATTTTGATATTATTTTTATAATTTCTTTGATAAAGGTAAAATGTGTGACAGGACAGCATTTTAATGAAGTAATGTAGTTCTGAAGAGAAGCTCTGGCCTAAAACTTACCGCCACCTGCTGGACTGGAGTGTGGAGCAGCAGCTTGGCAGGAAATAAATATATAAATAAATAAATAAAAACAAGATAACTTCTCTCTATTATTCTTGTTCTTTTTAAATAATCATTTAAACGATTATGTTCTTTCCAAGTAGATTCTCCAGTGTAATATAATGTAGGGCTGCATGATGTGGTAAAAACATCATAGATTCACCATTATGTGGAAATAATAATTTTTGCATCACAAATTTAATTTTCACCAAAAGAAATCCCATTAAAATGATAATGATGTGAAAAATGACTTATTATACTTTATTATATACTATACTAAGTCAATATTTTGAAAATGTTTCTCATTATAACACAATGGCTTCAATAGTAATCCACCAATACCTACATTGTTTGTATATTGTAATGGTGTCTTTCAGTGTCACATAAGTCCAGAGTTTCCTCCTCGACTTTTCTTTTGAGTTTATCTAAAAATCCAGATTAAAGCAGCAACAAGATCAGCTTTTTTTATCATGTGGGTTTTTGTTTTTGCATTACTTAACCCTTATATATGTTTATATTGTCTTATTTTACTGTCAGAGTACATTGAATATGAAAACATTTAATGCCATCATGTGTATACTAAACGCTATTAGGGGTTTCTTGGCCCCAATGACACAATATCCAGTATGAAGGAATCAGAACGCAAACAATTTAAGAGTAAAAACAGAACTTACAGTTTAAAAGAGTTATATAATAAACTGATAAAATACTCCACAGTGTTTTGTCCTGTTAAAAAGAGTTAGCTGTGGGTTATTAAGGCTTTGTTATAGAAGGATATGCAGTTGGTTAATGGAGCAGGTATGGCAGTATGTGAAACATTCAGATCACACAGGAAATTAAAACCGGTTCATCTGGTGTGTCACCCAGCACAACACCACGTTACTAAATACAGAGTTCCATATAACTGCTAAAGACAGTGAGGATTATGGTGGCTGCAGGTGAATTTATCACCGTGATAAATCAAAGAAGAGCCAGTAAAGCTGCATTTCACACCAGCTGGAGCTTCAGTTCAAAGCTGATTATGCTGCCATCTCCTGGTACTGTTGTATTATCACAACAGCTCAAAATCAAACTACAAAAGGCTCAAAATAAACTGATACAAATTATATTAAAAGTTGATCCAGCTACACTTCTTTCACTGGTTTTATCACCTCAATCACAGCTTCTCTCCTTTGGATTCCTTTTTGTTTTAGATTTTATTGATCCTGAATTCACTACATTAGAACTGTTTCAAATGTTTATTGTGGAAGTATGAGTCAGTAGTTTTAGTGTATGTGCATATCATTTTGGACTTTGCTTTAGTAGATTGTAAAACTGAGGAAGTAACAGCACAGGACACAGTTGCCACCAGGTGGTACTGAAGTGTTATTACACAGGACAAGAAAACTCCCTCAGAGTCACTCTGTCCTCTTTATGCTCAGACTATCTAATATAATTAGGAATTGAAAACAGCAACTCGAAGGCCTCTCTTTGGGCAGCTCTGCTTTAGAAGATACTTCAGTTTAAAGAAAGAAATCATAAAACTCTTACAGAATCTTATATTAATGTCACCTCTCGGTTGCAAGCAGGGGTGTGATTTCCCCTGAAATCTGATTGGCCACCCCATCATCCTTACCTCTTCCTCTCCGCAGTGTCTATCAGAAGCCGTACGGGGAGTGAACGTACTGTATCATATAAAACTGGCTGACCTAACACATCCATTGGTACCAACCATCCCCATATATAAAGATGGAAGACATAACAGATCTCAAAAGTGAAGCAAAAACAGCTCTATGGCCCCCTGGTGGCTGAATGCAGGATAGGTATCAAAAACATATTTCCTAAAGATGGTTTCTTTTTTCTTCTTTTTTCTTGCCTTTATTGATAGTGACAGCCAAGGATGGACAGGAAGGGGGGGCAGATTTGAACCCAGGCCACTGCAGCAGCTCCATGCATGGGTTGCCAGCTCTACCGACTGAGCTAACCAGGCACCCCTAAAGATGGTTTCTGTCATTTAGGTTCTTATCACACTGAAGTTTTTTCAAGTGTTAATTTTTCTGATCAGTTTGGTTTTAATTAGTAATTTGAAGCTATAAAAATGGGGTTTCACATCATTGTAAGTGAACAGATACTGTATGGGGTGTTTGCAGGGCTATTGCTCTGGATTGCATTTGATCAGCAGATATCTGTGCGGTTGAGGAGCTGTTTGGACTCTGGATGTCATTTGCGACAGATTCTGTTTGAAAAGACTCAGCTGGAGAGAAATGAGAGAGTTTGAATGATGAATCCCAATGCAGCTGCATGAAATCAACTCATCTACTTCTGAGAGAAGAGGCTCCACAAAGAGACGTCCTGGTGTGATATGTGTCATATTCAAAGATAAAATGAGGCCATTCATTTATTAGTCTCTCATCAAACCAGCTGCTTATCCAGCAACATGGAAGGAAACATTTAAGTAAATTTATATTTTTTTCTAAAAATACTTCAACTTATTCTGTATTTGCAGAGACCATCGTTCACAATCAAAGTTTCATTCTGATTCTAATCTACTGAATGAAGATATTCTTGCAGGTTTTTATGCAGTTTAGGGGGAATAAATGGAAAATGAAAAGTTTGCTGTTGTTTAAATAAAAAGCATAATTCCAGTGGCATTATTTGACTTTACATTAAATACTACTGTTTAATGTTGTAAATCTAGAGTTCACTGTAAAGAAACATGAAAATATGACCACATTTTTTAACAGGTAATAATTGTATCCGATTACATCTTTAAAGTTGTTAAATCGTTAAAGTTGTGTGGGCAGCTAGCTGTTTGATTTGTTTCAATGAAAATTCTCCACACAAGCGAATTAAAAACTCTTGAATTAAAAACCCATCTCTTCTCTGTGGCCTAGTAAGATGTCGACTTTATTTACTTGATTTATTTTTTGTATTTGTTATTTTTACTTTTTGATTGCTTTTTATTGCATGGTTATTATTTTTACTCATGTTTTATGTCTTTTCATTTAATTGTTGTATTATATGTTACTTTGCGCCTCATGTGAGCTGTTATGTCTTTTATTTATGATGTCTTATTTATTCTCACTTTGGTCAACTTTGGTTGTTTTAAAGTGCTGAACAAATAAAGTTGGATTGGATTGAAGAGTGTTTACATGTGGGTTCCATGGTGAGGAGGGACATTCTAGAATACAAACAAGGACATTCTAGAATTTTGATGTGTCACAAAAGGACACATTCTCGAATCTTATGAATATCCAAGAACCTGAGTGAGAACAGTTCACACATCGAAAGATACACAGCGAACACGTCAAGTTTCCTCGTCAAGTTTTCTCGTCAAGTTTTCTCGTCAAGTTTTCTCGTCAAGTTTTAACATAAAGTTTTAACGATGGAAAACCCAGGAAGTCCTAACCCAACCAAGACACAGCCTAGATATCGCATCCTCAAAAGAAAACCTGAGGATGCACAGAAGAAGGGAGCTGCACCCAAAGAGGCTCCATTAAAAGAGCTGCAGCGGCCTGCCACACCACAGCCAACTCGTGCTAAGCACCTGGTCTGCATGGTCGGTGAACTGGAGGTGAAATTACCATCACCCTACATCACAGACATAGATTTTGTGAGGGAACCTGTCCGGAGCAAAACACTCCAGACACCACAGTCAACATATGGCACCCCTCCGAGTCAACATACAAGTCAGATGAAGGACTTTGAAAGGGGCCCCGTCCAGCACAAAAAGCTGTGGACAGCACCTCGCCCCCATCATGCACCTGCCAAACAACTTCCAGCTGGCAGGGTCCAGGCCTGTCAGAGGTTTGAGGAATCCCCTCTGCAGGCCACCAAAGAAACACAGCACACAGCCGAGCTCAAGGCAATGAATGAGGGCTTAGCTTCTCTGTTGAAGCAGTTACAGAAAACAGAGGGCAAGGCCAGTGGTGGAGTGGCCCCCCTCAGGAGGGCATGATTTGCATCTCTGAGCTCCAGTTACATGAGCTCATTGAGCGTAAGGTGGATTTAGAAGCAGAGGTTGAGCAGTTGAAGATCATGCTCGAAAGCAGCAAGGCTCTGAATGAAGATGCAGAGCTCAAGAAGCTGAACATGATTGAAGGGCTGAAGCTGGAGCTTTCAGCAAAAAAGGCCGGAGAAGCTGAAGCCTTTTCTAGAGCACAGCAGCTCGAGGAAGAACTTCAGAGGGAAAAGGAAGGTCGTGAAGAATGCAACGTGGCCTTGGCCAAGGTTTCAGAGCACAACAATGCTCTGATGGTTGCCCAGCTCCAGGGGCAAAGTGAGCTGGAGAACAAACAGCTGCAGTGGCAGGAGGAGAGGTCCACTCTCCTGCAGTCCCTTAGTAGCATCCAGCACACCCTGCAGGAGGAGCAGGCTCTGCATCGTGAGGCTGAACTGAAGAAGTCCAGTCAGCTTGAGGAACGGGAGTTGGAGCTTTCAACCAAGAAGGCTGAAGAAGCCAAAGCTCTTTGCCAAGCACAGCAGCTTGAGGAAGAGCTTCGAACGGAAAAGAAAGGACGTGAAGAAAGCGACATGGCCCTAACCAAGATTACTGAACAAAACAACGCTCTAATGGCCACCCAACTACAAATGCAGAGCCAGCTGGAGAACAAACAGCTGCAGTGGCAGGAGGAGAGGTCCATCCTCCTGCAGTCCCTCGGCCGCATCCAGCACACCCTGCAGGAGGAGCAGGCTCTGTATCTTGAGGCTGAACTGAAGAAGTCCAGTCAGCTTGAGGAACGGGAGTTGGAGCTTTCAACAAAGAAGGCTGAAGAAGCCAAAGCTCTTTGCCGAGCACAGCAGCTCGAGGAAGAGCTTCAGAGGGAAAAGAAAGGACATGAAGAACGCGACATAGCCCTAACCAAGATTACTGAACAAAACAACGCTCTAATGGCCACCCAACTACAAATGCAGAGTGAGCTGGAGAAACAGCAGCTGCAGTGGCAGGAGGAGAGGTCCACCCTCCTGCAGTCGTTCGTCAGCATCCAGCAAACACTGCATGAGGAGCAGAAAAAGTGGGAAGACCTCCAGGAAATGCTGAAATTGGCAGAGAAAAAGCCAAAGAAGCCTTCCATGTGGAGAAGATTCCTCTGCTTGTCCAAATGAGCAGGCTGTTTGTACAGGTTTTCTCCGGGGTGCTCCGGTTTTCCTACTATCTTCTCAATGATAAAAAAAAACACAAGATTACTGAACAAAACAACGCTCTGGCCACAGGTTTTCTCCGGGATGCTCCGGTTTTCCTACTATAAAAAAACCCACTTAAAAACATAAAAAATAAAACAAACAAAAAACCCTCTACATCGTGAGGCTGAACTGAAGAAGTCCAGTCAGCTTGAGGAACGGGAGTTGGAGCTTTCAACAAAGAAGGCTGAAGAAGCCAAAGCTCTTTGCCGAGCACAGCAGCTCGAGGAAGAGCTTCAGAGGGAAAAGAAAGGACATGAAGAACGCGACATGGCCCTAACCAAGATTACTGAACAAGACAACACTCTGACCACAGGTTTTCTCCGGGATGCTCCGGTTTTCCTACTATAAAAAAACCCACTTAAAAACATACAAAATAAAACAAACAAATAACACTAATTTTATCTGAATCTGAATGGATTTTTCCTTTGATATTTCCATGTTTCTTTACAGTGAACTCTTGATATACAACAGTAACCAGTAGTATTTAATGTAAAGTCAAATAATGCCACTGGAATTATGCTTTTTACTTAAACATCAACAAACTTTTCATTTTCCATTTATTCCCCCTAAACTGCATAAAAACCTGCAAGAATATCTTCATTCAGTAGATTAGAATCAGAATGAAACTTTGATTGTGAACGATGGTCTCTACAAATACAGAATAAGTTGAAGTATTTTTAGAAAAAAATATAAATTTACTTAAATGTTTCCTTCCATGTTGCTGGATAAGCAGCTGGTTTGATGAGAGACTAATAAATGAATGGCCTCATTTTATCTTTGAATATGACACATATCACACCAGGACGTCTCTTTGTGGAGCCTCTTCTCTCAGAAGTAGATGAGTTGATTTCATGCAGCTGCATTGGGATTCATCATTCAAACTCTCTCATTTCTCTCCAGCTGAGTCTTTTCAAACAGAATATCCAGAGCAATAGCCCTGCAAATATCCCATACAGTATCTGTTCACTTACAATCAGGGGCGTTTCCAGACTTTATTGACTGGGGGGCGGGGGCATAAGGGGGGCATGTGTTTATAGCTTCAAATAATTAATTAGAACCAAAAAAATGTACACTTGCTCATACATCAACATGATAAGAACTATCCATCTTTGGGAAACATTTATTTGACTTTGATTGTTTAGTTCGTCCCATCTGCTAACATGGAAGAAACAGGCTTTATGACCTATAAAGCAGTCAGCCACCAGGGGGCGATATGTATATGTTGACTGTTGGTACCAAGGGATGTGTTAGGCCATCTCGTTTCATATGATACCAGTATTTTCACTCCTCCTACAGCCTCTAAAAGACAGTGTGGAGGGGAAGAGGTAAGGTACGGTGGCCAATCAGATTTCAGCCCTCTGGACACACTCTAAAATCCAGAAAGAGCTGTTTAACCACAGAGATAACAGCCTATATATATATATATATATATATATATATGATGCTATAAGGGATTTCCGAATCATTATTTCAACTGAAGTATCTACACAAGCAGCGGTGCCCAAAGTAGGGCCTGCGGGCCACAGTTGGCCTGACATAAGTTTTAGTTTTGGCCCTCCAATCACCTCCTCTGTCTGAGTGTTTTCGTAGTAACACTTCAGTACCACCTGGTGGTAACTGTGTCCTGTGTTGTTTACGTCCTTGCTCAGCTTTGCCATCTACTGTACAACAGACACCTGTTTCATCCTGCTAATTGCATGCATTTGCATAATACACCAGCTGTTCCAAATTAAAAGCACAGTCCAAAATAATATGCACATACACAAACACAACTGTTCAGTTAGTTGCAATCTGCAGCTTCACCACTAGATGCCACTAAATCCTACACACTGGTCCTTTAAAATGTTTTTTCCCCCCCAGGATATAATGCAACAACACTTAGTAATATACAGTCCATGCACACTAACTCTACAGCTGTTTGAGGTTAAACTTATTATAACAATTTAACTAAACGCTCAACTCAACTTTATTTATGTATAGCACCTTTCATACAAACATGCAGCTCAAAGTGCTTTCGCAAGGCTAAAAATGAATGCAATAAAATGTAAAACATCAAAAAATATAAATGATTAAAACCTGAAAACTGTAACTAGGCTATAACATTACTCCAAAGTCATCAAAAATGAACATTTCTTTTTTATTTTGACCTTTATTTAACCAGATAAGTCAATTGAGAACAAATTCTCTTTTACATGTAAATTATAAATTAGATAATACAACAAGTAAAACATACATACAACTAATGCAAAAAACAATACAGTTAAACCGAGTTAAAACAGCACAATATATACAGTATATACACAACAGAGATCACAGTGCTGTGTTACAGAAGAGTGCAATAATCAGCATGTACTGAGTTAATAAAGGAGGATAAAGAAATAAAGTAGGTATGTATGTATGTAACGTATATGTGCCATTGCAACGTAATTTCATTTTGACGCAAATCCAAATGACAAATAAAGTCTGTCTAAGTCTAAAGGTGTACATAATGTAATAATATAACATTATGTTTATTAAAAAGTTTCAAAATATGGTCAAGAAAATTCATAATTTAGTATATAATGTGAGAAACCTTTAAAGAAGGTTTACTGTTTATTGTTTCTATTATATTTAGCTAAGAGTTTATTGCTTATCTTATATTCTATTTTTTTTATACCCCTTTTATTTTCTATACTACTTTTCTATTCTATATAGTGTTTTTGTAAACTGCTGGAAATTCAATTTCCCTGAGGGAGTCATCCCAAAGGACTCAATAAAGTGAAGTCTAACTCTAAGAAAAGACCCAGAGAATAATCCACAATAACGTGTGTTAAAGTAATGAACACAGCTGAGTTAAAGGAGTTACTGATCAGCTGTATAATCCTGAATAAGTGCAGTTTGCGGGTGAAATTACACGGCAGGCTGCAGACTCTCGACAGCCGAGGCTCAGACTAAAAGCAGGCTGCAGATTAACACACCCAGGCTGCAGACCTCTGACAGCCCACTCAGACTAACACCGACCGAGGCTGCAGACTCTCTAACACCGACCGAGGCTGCAGACTCTCTAACACCGACCGAGGCTGCAGACTCTCTGACAGCGACCGAGGCTGCAGACTAACAGCGACCGAGGCTGCAGACTAACACCGACCGAGGCTGCAGATTAACACCGACCGAGGCTGCAGATTAACAGCACCCAGGCTGCAGACTAACAGCGACCGAGGCTGCAGACTAACAGCGACCGAGGCTGCAGACTAACAGCGACCGAGGCTGCAGACTAACACCGACCGAGGCTGCAGACTCTCCAACAGCGACCGAGGCTGCAGACTAACAGCGACCGAGGCTGCAGACTAACAGCGACCGAGGCTGCAGACTAACACGACCCAGGCTGCAGACTAACAGCGACCGAGGCTGCAGACTAACACCGACCGAGGCTGCAGACTAACACCGACCGAGGCTGCAGACTAACACCGACCGAGGCTGCAGACTAACACCGACCGAGGCTGCAGACTAACAGCGACCGAGGCTGCAGACTAACACCGACCGAGGCTGCAGACTAACACCGACCGAGGCTGCAGATTAACAGCGACCCAGGCTGCAGACTAACAGCGACCGAGGCTGCAGACTAACAGCGACCGAGGCTGCAGACTAACAGCGAGGCTGCAACTAACAGCGACCGAGGCTGCAGACTAACAGCGAGGCTGCAGACTAACACCAACCAGGCTGCAGACTAAAACGAGGCTGCAGACTAACACCGACCGAGGCTGCAGACTAACAGCGACCGAGGCTGCAGATTAACAGCGACCCAGGCTGCAGACTAACAGCGACCGAGGCTGCAGACTCTCTAACAGCGACCGAGGCTGCAGACTAACACCGACCGAGGCTGCAGACTAACACCGACCGAGGCTGCAGACTAACACCGACCGAGGCTGAGCGGATCCTGTGACCTCCTCCTCCCGGCAGTCTGTTCAAGATGGCCGCCTGAGTGGACAATTCACACATCCTTACTAAAACTACTCCAACAGCTAACTCTCCTCAACCCAAGAGGATGAGACGACGGTACAGGCGACGGTCGCTCCGGTTCTAACACAACGGACGATTGTTGTTGTTGTTGTTGTCGGGAGTTATGGAGTAAACAGAAACAAACAACCTCGAGAGCTGGTGAGGAAACACAAGTTAAACCCCACTGTGAGCTAAGCTACGTTAGCCTCGCCATAATACACCGACTGGCTAACTTTACCTAACACCTGACGGGCTGTTTGCGGATTTAAGAAGGCGTACACTGTCCGATACCCCTGGCAGTTTGTTGTTAACACTTTTTGTTTGTGTGTGTTTTAATGTTTAACCGTCAGCGGCTTCGCGTTAACGTTAGCTCGCCGTTAGCTTCTCTTTAAACGTTCACAAACGTCTCCAGCCCTCAAGCGGCTCTCTTTGAGTCATGCTGGGCTGTTGTAGTGATAGTTAGTCGGTGTCAGGATGAAGGTAAAGTGTGTTAAATCTGCATGAATAACACGAATTAATGCGGTTGCTATGGGTGTTCATGTTAGCAACCGTCGTATTCTGTGACCCCGTACATCCGGGACATCAGCTGTGTTTTAACTGTAAACATCGAGACCAGGCGGCGGTTGAAGGTAACTAAGTACATTTACTCCACTACTGTAATCAAGTAATGTTGTGGTGCGTCTCACTTAAACTACATTTAGTAAGAAAAGCGTGTACGTTACTCCGCTACGTTTATCTGACAGCTTTAGTTACTGCATGAGTACTTTTACTTTTGCTTAAGTTACATTTTAAATGGACCTTTAACTTGTAACACAGTATTCCTGCACTGTGGTATTGTTTATACTTAATATATATACTTAATAAATACGTCTTCTACCAAACATTTAATAGCTGTGACAGCACGACACGTGGCGAGTGAGCCATAACTACTGGTTAAATGTAACTGAGTACATTTACTCAAGTACTGGTTCTTGTGCTTCACTTGAGCATTTCAACTCTCAACACGAATTGTCTGAAAACTGTAGTTAGTTACTGATTACTTTGATTTTAAATACAATACATAAGATCAACTTGTAAACTAAGAATCATCGTTAGAGGTTAAACTAATTAACAGCCTATAAAGTCGTTAAAATGAGCTTTTAATCAACCAGTCGTCATAGTTAAAGTCTGTTTATGTGTGATTGCATCAGTAATAATAATATATATCTCTTGAAAGGGGCTACTTTACCTCTTTGTGTGTACTTTAAATACTGTAAATACATTTTGCTGATGATACTTTTACTTAAGTGAAGAGTACTTCTTCCGCCTCTGACCATAAAACACGTTACTGTGAGGTCCCTCACCTAATAATTAGTCCTTCTTTTACATAGTTAACACAGTAACTATTTCACAGATTTCCCTCCCTGTCACCTGACCCTCCCCCCCCCAGGTGATAGTATGTTAACTTAAAACCGCAGTTCCCAGTGTGTTTGTCAGAGAAACAGCCGACGACTGCCCGCTGGTAAGTGTGTGTTCTGACTGATGATGATTAACCATAAGATGTTGGCTGACTTCCTCATTCCTCATCCATATTTAGCCCTTTCCAGTTATTGTGTGACACAGCAGCACAAAGAGAGTCAGTGAGCGACGAGGAAGGAAAAAAGAGCCGTTTGTTACACTTAAAGTAACACACACACTGAGTTGTAGGAAAAAGGAGGTGTCTCTATAATGTTAGCTGTCTTCTGTGTTGTGTCACTACGGCCGGCTGCCTCCTTATTAACGCTGCTGTGGAGCCTGAATCAGCTGATTTCTGTGTAATACAGGGTTGTCTGGAAATCCTGGAAATTTAGAGACTATTTTTCCAGTCATGGAAACACCTGGAAACAGATTAAAATGACCAAATAACCTGGAAATAATCTGTGTTGTCCTGGGAAATGTTAATTTTATTTATGTCCGTGCTGGGGCCAAATTAATGTTACGGTTAGAGGAAAGCTGTAGTCAGTAGACCTTGTTTCACAGCAGACATTTTCACATGAAACTGTAGGGTAAACAAAGGTGTTAAGTTCCATATTGAAAATCCACTATTTCATGTCAAGGTGGCTGCTGTAAAAAAGGTCGGCTGTGGTGCGAACAACCAATCGCGCCATGAAAGCGAGCTAACCGCCGTCCTGTATTTGTCCTGGAGAATGTCCTGGAAAGGTCCTGGAGAACAATTTCTTAAAAAAAGAGCGGCAAAGCTGAAGATGAGGATTTGGCTTGTCCCCCTTTACCTCGATGTCTCACCGTGGTGGTATTGGTTGTGAGACTTTAAGCACCTGTGGGTGTTGTGGTGTTACGACGTGTTATTGCAGGCGGTTAACTAGCAGACATTATACTACACATTTCTCTTTTACTGTGAGTGCTGCAGGTATCATCCCTTAATGTTCTTCGTGTTGTGGCACTGATGTCCAGATTGGGACATTTGAGAGTTTTGTATCACAGAAACACAGATACTGATAATTCCTTCTGGTAAAAGTTTGTTTTAATTCCTGCTTTACTCGTGTTAGTTTGCTCTGCCGAAGAGCTGCGGGCCATCTACAACTGGACCGCGTGACTCCTGAGAAACACGGAGATAGGGGAAAGTCATGACATTGCCCTCAGGTGGTGGTGGGAATACGCCTCGACCTTTATATAGGGAATCAATGGAAATTGTATTTTAGATTATACAGAATGAAATGAGCATGTCCAAAAGCAATACAGTTAATTAATCAAACAAAGTACAAAACCATTTTATACCCAGAAGAAGTTACTTAACTAGTTGGTTTCACTGTGTGCTGGCTGATGGGAGGAAAAAAAAACACTAATCACATGATGCAGCAAAACATGTTTGTTTAGAAACTGGTCCGTGTGAGGATTGTAGTAGTTCCTTTCTGATGCAGGTTGTTTACTGCACTTTAAACCCGTGTCTTTGCTCTTGAATTCAAGGATACACGGACGTTTTAGAAGCAAACATCAGATGTAGTTCATGCAATAGTGGTTGCACTGCAGAAGGTAGGCTTTGTGTTGATGATAGTCTGCAGTGATGTACTAACAGGAGCATACTTTTTTCTTGTTTTTGGCCAGTATGGATGTAAAATAGGTCTTAAATTACATTCATGTCTTAAATTTAACCTGTAGAAACACTCTTGCCAAGAGCAGGGTGATGTAGCAGTACAGTCGCTATCAATATTTGACACTAGTTACAATATATACTGTAGTTAATGTAATACAGATTTAAAAAGTGTGTTTTTAGCCTTAAATTTTGCATTACAGTTAAGTGATAACATTGTCTGTGCTTTACTTTTCCAGCTACTTGATATAAATAAAACCATATCCACATGATCATTGAATGTTAATCAGAATTCTCATTTAAACACTTTGTTGTGCATAAATATCCTCTAAAAGTTTAAATAACTATGCCCCTAACATGTACTGTACACATTTAATTTCACGATCTAGCTTTGTTTTAGAGTAAAGTCCTCGTAAATGTGCTCCCAGTAAATATTTATACACTTTTAAGGTGTGGTTTGTACCTTTGAAGCCTGATTATGTCCTGGCGAAGCTATCGCCTGCTTCAGTTGCTAAGGCTGAATATATTTTGGTATTTCTTTGTTGTGTTATTGTTTGCGTTATTCCTTTACAGCTGTTGCTATGACGATATCCAGTCCGCAGAACGAGGAAACGAGAATGTCTCAATGGGTTAATGTGTCAACAACTGACCCAGATTCTTCCTCTTCAGGAGATTTTTACACTTTCTCCCGCCAGAAAAGAGAAAATACGCTGTTTTAAATGATGATCTCTTCTTTTTTTCTCTTCTTCTCTGTAGGAATTGGAGGGGCGTTAACGGGCCCTGTGTTTTAACCCAGCATGGACAGCTTCTTCAAGGCAGCTGTATGTGATCTGGACAAACTGCTCGACGACTTTGAGCTCAATACTGGTGAGATACAGAGCTAATGATGACTTTCATTAGGCCCGGGCAATAAAAGCAGATGGCAGTATGTATCGGCAGCAGACGCTTTGTCAATAGCGATAAGAACGTTGCTCAATAGAATATCGATGGCTTCACTTAAATGCATTAAATTCAAACCGCCATGAAAGCACTTAACGAGTACACCCTCATATCAGAGTTATTAGTGAATCAACATAGTCCGACCTACATCTGTTATATCTTAAGAAACAACTCAGCAACAATACTGTGTGGCAGAACATTAACATTCATACATAAAGTGGTTAATTCAACCCTTTTTTCCACGAAAAAAATGTCAATAATTCTAATAATATTGACTGAAATTAAAGGTTTTATTGTGATGCATTTTTCTGCTATATTGAACCAACAGTCCAAAACTGAACGATATTGAAGTTACAATAAAACAGAACAGAGAAAAGCCTCAAATCCTCACTTTTGAGAAGGAATCAAAGATTTTTATTTTTATTTTATAAAAGGAAATTGTTTTTATCATTATGTAACACAAGATTGTAAAACAAAAGGAAAGTTCCTTCATGCTAAACACATAGAAGGGTTAGGGTTATTTCTATACATATATATGCAGTGCATCTTTTTAATTTGCGTCTGCACGGTAGCTTTAATTTTCAAGTCAGTCGATTAATTGACTAATTGTTTCAATTCAAGTTATGATCCTTCACAAATTCATATAAGTTTTTAGATACACTCTTTTTATAGTTTGTGTGTCTTATTCTTGCAAAGCCGTTTAAATCAATGTGAAAAACTGGTTAGTTTTGTTTTTAATTGTGCTACTTAGAATTAGAAATGTAGTTTGATGTCTTAAGGATGTTTTTGTGCCTGAGTTTAACTTGTTTTTTCGTTGTGTTTTTATTTCAGAGGAACTCGAATGCAAATCTGTTTTCCTGAAGCCGTCTGTGTACCCCTTCTCCTCACTGGGCTCTCAGTGTTTGTCCTCAGAGGCGTCCACTGTCCCACCAAACCTCCCTGACCTCAACTCTCTTCATTACGGTTCTGCCACCGGCTGTCTCGACCGCTCCGGGAGCCAAAACCGCAGCACCGCTGACGACAGAGAGGTCAAAGGTCAGCCCCTCACCGCAGTGGACCTCCTCTCCTCTGTGGACCGCAGGCCAGCTAAAAGTTCTGCCCCTCCCTGCCCCGACAGAGCTCTGAAGCCGGTGTGCGACCTTGTGAACGACACAAGCTCGGCCATCCTGGTCCGAGCCAACAGCCACGATGCTTTCAGCGAGCTGGACGTGGTGGAAAAGCAAATGGAGGAGGAGGAGACGCTGCTTGTGGACTTTGACAGCCCTGTGGTTACCGTACACGGAGAGGAGCAAGGACTGCCGAGCCAAAGTGCCGGTAGAGACGCCAAGGAGGAGCGAGCCTCTGCGGGGAAAGACGAGCTGCTGGGTTTAGATTCCCACGAGCAGAGCGGCGAGTACTCGGCCTCGCTCAGTCTGCTTGACGTCATTCTTCCTGCTGCAGTGGAGCGAGGCTGTGAGTCCAGTGATGATTCACTGTCACCAAGGGCCACTGAGTCAGCTGACAAAGAGGAGAGGGACTGTGAGGAGGCAGCTCGCACAAACCAAGTGGTGGTTAACTCCTTAGACCACTGTGAACCGCAGGGCACTCCGCCTATTGATAGCATTAAAGAAACAACAACAACGACCTCAGCGAATAAAGAGGATGAGTCACAAGAAGCCTCAGATAGAGGCGAGGCAGAGTCTCCTGTGGGTCTGAATTCGGGGGCCTCAGACAGCGAAACGGTGGGCCTATCATGCCTGCCCTTAGCTGTGTCCATGTGTGGCGCTCTGGTGAACTCAAGGACCACAGAAGATGAGTTGGGGGAAGCCGCTGAGCAGTGCAATGAGGCAGACGTCTCTGAGAGCACAGAGGCAGACTCCCTGTCAGCCTTGGAAGCCAGAGAGGACAGGTCCCGTTTAGAGGAGCTTGTGGAGTCAGCGGTGTCCCAGCAGGTTGCAGAGGGCAGGCTGTCACCAGAGGGACAGCATCTGTCTCTAGAACCTGCTGCCGCTGTCCCTCCTGCTGACCTTGCCTCCTGCGATCGCCCAGAACCCAGCCCAGTGGATCCTCCCGAGTTCGGCTTTGAATACCTGCCTGAGAGCGACCAGGCCGAGCTGCTGGTTACAGACGAGGAGTTGGATGCTTTCCTGCAGGCGCACACTGAAGCAGAGCAGGGTAGGGGGGTCTCCTGTTGCGCCACTTCTGGAGATCAACCTGAGAGTCTGTCAGCATTAAATGGAGATCTGGAGGGCATGCTTGTGGAAGAGGAGCTGAGGAGCTGTGGTCGAGGTAGACGGGAGGATCTAGAGGGTCTGGCTTCTCCAGAAAGTGACAGAACAATGTGTGTGTCTGTAGAGGCGAGTTTAAACCCTGGTGCTCCATCACTACTGCAGGACTCTTGCAGACCTTGCCAAGAAGAGCCGGAGCTCTCCTCTGGGGTAAGCCATTCTTTGGACAGCAACACTTTCCAGTCCCAGCACAGCAGTAGCCCTGATCAACAGCCCTCCTATGGAGGTGCAAGACCTAAACAGCTACACTGCCAAACTGCTAGATCTCCACCAGCAGGGGAAGAGGGAGAGGAGCAAGCACAGGCACTCCCAGGTTCCTCAAACACAGCAGAGGATGAAGAAGGTTCACCCACAAGCCCCATAGAGGAGCATTCCAACATTAGGGATTTGAGCCCTATGTACACCACTCAGGAGCCTCAGGAGTACAGTGTGGGGTACGATGAACTCTCAGAGCCCCCGCCTTACCCGGGGGAGCCACCCACGGACGGTGCCCGGCCGGTGAACTGGAAGAGAGAGGGAGTGGAGGAGCTGGGGAGCAGACAGCCTGCGTGGGTGCCAGACTCTGAAGCCCCCAACTGTATGAACTGCTACCAGAGGTTCACTTTCACCAAGAGGCGGCATCACTGTCGAGCCTGTGGAAAGGTAGGCGTCATCGGAGCAACCCTCGAAAATATTCAACTTTACAGGAATGTGTGATTGAAGAAAAGCAGCAAATTCTTGAACCGATCGACTAACTGTTGCAGCTCAAGTTAAAAAGGTTCAGCAGTGTTATAAAATGAATCCCTCTGTAGTGCAGCCCTTTTCGTCCACTGCTCCAGGCTTCGTTCGTAGCTCAGCTGGTTAAATTAACAGTAAATCAAGTGAGAATTTTAACATTTATACTTGTTTTGCACCACAGTCCCACATAAATAACCAGACGATGAAAGAGTAGTATTCAGGATCTGACAGCCAGCTTCCTTTCAGCATAAATTCTCAAGGCCAAAATATAAATCAGATTTCTCTGCAGTCGCATTCTTTAAAGTTAGTATGTTGTTGTATCACTTCCTCAATTTCCATCCGCAATATTACTGCAAATGGCCACTTTTTTTATCAGTTAACAAGCAGTCAGATAAATCTTTATTTAGAAATAAATCCAACTACAAGTCTAATATAAAAAGCTGGATCTTTTCGATAACGGTGTGTGTGTTGTTTCATATGACAGAAGTCCAGCAAACATTTGCGATAGAAAAGTAATGCCCATATAAAAAGGTATAATAGAGCCATCAGTGTCTGATTTATTGAACAACCTTGTAGCTGTAAAAGCACAATGCTTCAGGAGGGTTGAGGAAAATCCCATTCAAACTCAGTTTTGGATTTCTTTTTCACTTCTTTCTCCGTTTCAAACCACAAATCCATTTTCTTGATTAACATTCGGTATCGAAACTGGCTCACAGTGAACAAACATCACTGCCTTTATTCTAATTCTTGTGGCCAGTTAAAGTTTGTGGAGAGTGTAAAACACACTGTAAAAACACTGTAAAATACTGTAAAAACACTGTAAAATGAAACAATCTGTAAGTTTACGGGTGTTTTTACATTTATTTTACATATTTTTTTCTATATTTTTTTAAATACATGGATATATTCATCAAATGACCAAGATAGCCTGTGAATTATCTGTGAAATAACATAAAAAATCTGTTAATAATCATTACATTTACAGTTTTTATTGAACTTATTATAGTATAATTATTTTAGGAATCATATATGACTGAAATTTCCACACTTGTACTAATCAGCCTCAATTATATATAAATATATGTAGATATTATATAAATATTTAGTTTTCAAGACTAAAATCCCAAGTAAAATGAAAGTCAAAGTTCTCATGAAGTGTGTGTGTGTTAACAGAAATAGATTAAAATAAAACAGATTACGTCCCCGGACCAAATATAGCACAGTGTCTTCGTGGATGCAGAGAGCATGAGTCAGCGGTTCTTTTCCCAGCTCCTCTATAGATCCCTACTGAGCCGTGTGTCCTAAAGATGAAGCTAAGTCCTTTAAAGGCCAGTGATTAAAACAGCATTAGAGGGGACTGTGTAAGATGTGTTTTTGTTTACAGCGTGACTGCTTCTACTTAAGGAGCCAGATAGATGAACATGTTTCAATATACTGTAATTTGTTTCTTATGTACGTGGTATGTATTTATTGTGCATGCTTGTTGCTGTGTATCTCTGTGGTCACTGTCTCTCCTCTGTGGCAGGTCTACTGTGCGGTGTGCTGCAACAGGAAGTGTAAGCTGAAGTACCTGGAGAAAGAGGCTCGTGTGTGTGTCATCTGCTTTGATACCATACACAGAGGTAAGGGCCCTAGTTTGGTCTGATCCGAGATTCACTTCCACATATTTCTGCACACGTGAGCACAAACGAGATATATAGTATCAGTATTCTGAAAGGGACTTTTATTTTTATTTTAATTACTGCTGTATGATTGTTAGAAGAAATGCAGAGTCACTGAGGGGTTGATTGATGGCTGAGAATCATTTTAGGAAACTATAGAGATGATTTATTGTTTCTATCTGGGTTGTGATCAGGTATGAATTATTGACAGTCCCTTGAAATGGGGTAAAGCTGCTGCGTGTGCTCGAGTTATTTATGTGTGTGCATCTCCTGGAAGGTTTTTCATTATTGTGATTTAAATGATATTATAGTTTTTATGGTGAAAACCTGCGAGTGCACAGCAGTTACTTCCCGTTTGTAGACAGAGAAGTGCTTTTGGTTGGCTGAGTGTGTAATGAAGACGTAGTAGAAGAACAATAGAATTAGTTTTTGACAATTAGATACTAATACTTTCGTAGTTGCAGTTGCCCAGTGATTCGAGTAAAGATTGTGGACTAACTCAACTAATTTAAAAAACATTTTAAATAATAAAACTTTTAAAATATATATCAACATATGGAGTCAGCTGTAACCCCTGAACGGCAGTGTGAGCAGAGAAGCCTAAATAGTTTACTAAAAGTAACAGTAAATGTTTGAAATAGCAAAAAGTAACAGATAAATTACAAATAAGCTAAGTTAAAAATAGCTAAAAAAAAAAATTATAAATGATGGAAAAAATCCTGTAAAAATTGATAAATAGCTAAAAAAAACAATTAAAAAAATATATAAATGATTTGAAAAAAAATCATCTAAACATGGAAACATAGCTAGAAGAAATGGGTAAATGGTAAAAATGGATTAAAGTAACAGATAAATGGTTGAAAAGGTTAAAGCTAAAAAGTGGTACGAATGCAAAGTTTGTATTTAAAAATATCCACTTTTATATGGTCAGTAGTGTTAAATAACATCCAGTTTAAAATCAGTGAACACATTTGGAACATGATTTTTATCTGACAGAACTTTCTTTGATTTAAAACATGAACGAAATCGATTTACACTTTACAGCCACACTAATCAATATATTTATATTACTGATGGATCAAATGACTCTGTAATTCTCCTCACCTCTGCTGAGCGTTTTAGTGTCTTTCAGCTTATTGTTTTGGTTTTACAGTGGAAGACAGTGGAGTGTTTATTTAGTGTTTATTTAGCAAGGACGATGCACAATACACGGACCAGATAGAGCTAAAAACTAGGCCACTTGTGTTGCGCAGGTTACAGAGACAAAAGATCAGCAATAAATCAGAACCTTACACTTTCTAAAAAACAGACACAAGATAACAAATGAAAAACAACAAAGAGAAGAACAAAATACTAACAGCTCAATAGTTGTTAGAGACTAAAAACAGCTAAAAAAGAGCATAATGGAGCATAAAAGAGCATTAATATTGGACTAATATTTATCATATGGCCAGAAACATGACTCCAGATGGAAGTTGATGTTGTTCTGTGTAAATAATCTGTTCGCCATAAAAACATTTATTAAGTGATAATATGCCAATGCTGTGTTTACAGCTGGCTTTTCTGCCCCCTAAGTGGACAGCTAGTGCAGCTTTAATATATTAATAACCCCATTTTACTGCTTCTGTGTGGGGGTAAATGTATTAACAGGGCAGAACTGATTTGAGTATATTCATCCTCTCACAGGAACAAACTAAACCTAAGAGTCACCTTTAAGTCCTGAAATAGAAAGAATTCACTAGTTGTCATTAAAACTTAATAAGTTCACAGTAACATTTTCATTATGCAGTTGATGAATATTTAAGGATCAAAAAATGTCCCGTACTAGGTGGCTCAGGGGCTCTCTGAACATCTATAAAAAATTCAAACATTCATTTAAGGAATTGTCTTTTTTAAGGAACATAAACAGCATGTTGGTAGTTTAAAAAATGATTTTAAATCTGTTGTTTACTTGAAAAGGCTCTTCAGAGAGGCACCTTTCTTTGGTTTAAAGACTGCAGCGTGGTCATGGAGAGAGAGACGGGAGGGGGAAGATGGATGGAGAGGGCAGGAGAGAGGGAGGAGATTTACAGCAGGACACTGGCATTTGTCCTTGGTCGTGTGTGTGTGTGTGTGTGTGTGTGTGTGTGTGTGTGACCCGCCTAACGCAGTGGACATGTGATGCTCACACACAATGTCTAAATTAAGCCGAAAGAGAAGGAGGTGATCCACTTTTTTTGCGGCTGGTGGATGCTCGAGCGGTGTGATGCGATCCTTCTCTCCTCTCCGTCACCTCTCCCTCTCTCTCTGTCTCTCTCTCTTTCCTTCCTTCCCTTCCTTCCTCCTCCTTTGCTCTCCGTCTCTCATATCAGTATGGTGAGCAGCATGTGAGGCTTTCCACACACACACTCTCCAGCCTAAAGCAAACAGGCTATTACCGCTAACAACAGACAGACTCGTGGAAATAAGCGAGGAGCAGCTTCAGGAAGAGCAGTGATGGGAGTGTCTAAAGTCAGACTCAGGAATAGACTCGCGGTGATGTGGACTGGTTGAGTTTTAGCAGAGGGGATGATGAGGTAAGATGCATCCGACTTTTTAATTAGTAGACTTTTGTTTTTTTTAATTGTCGTTGTGTTGCACTGCTACCGTGTTTTGCTGGTTTGTTGTCGTGTTTATAGTCTGTGCGTACCTTGCAGTTTGACTTTAAAGAGGAATATTTGTGCATATTAGGGCCAAACTTAAAAAAAAAAAAAACAGTGGATTTTGTACTTTTAAGTAATTTTCCTCAAGGCCGGGGTGACTTTTTTTGTGCCTTGTCATCCTTTCGTTGCAGAACAAGGTGAAGCAGCTCTCCTTGTAGTCATGCTGTGGGACTAACAGGACACTTTTTCCACTTACAAGGGTCTGAGTTATTGGAATTTCTTTGCTGTGTGCTTCCTCACGATGTGGCTGTGTTCCTGTGCTCTTGTTAAGCCGTTGTCAGTACACAACAGATCGATAAAGATCTATGATGCTTAATCAATATAATGTAGACGAGTGCCACGTCAGCGTTTTCTGGGAGTGCAACTGGGAGACTGAGAACCGCCTCTGAGAAGTAACAAATCACGTCTGTGTTGTTTGCAATAGCCCTCATTCATCTGCGCTCATATAATGCACTGCAGGTTAAGCCGAGCTGTCATTCGGGTATTAAATATGTCCGGGAAAACAGATCCATCTACAGATCTGTGACTGAACCACTTAAAACTAAAGCTTTGTCAAGTCCTCTGATTGAAAACAATGACATGTCGCTGCAGGAATGTGCTGCAGTATTGTACTGTGTTACACATCTCTTCCCAAAAACACAATTAGTCATTACAGTAATCATCCGCCTCGTGGTCATTGCAACATGGCTCATACACTGTGTGCAGTTCTGCCGTCAGGCTCATGTCCTCTGAGCTTGCACAGTCACGCTCGTGCTCCAATTCTGCCTCTACATTATCTAATCTGATATCTGATCACTTGGGGCTGAAGTGTAATCATCAGTCGCTTTAGGCAGAGCTTCTGTCTTCAGGTTCCTCCTGTATCAAAAAATGCCGACATACAGAAACGTCTTCATCCGTGTGTTCATCCTGGACAACGAAACCTGCGTTTCCTGCTACCTGCATAACTCTCAAACAAACCTTCGGTGTCTAAAGAACCTGTAAACATTAGAAAAACAAATAGAGTGTAATATGGTCCTAGGAGCTACTACTGTGCTGTGTTAACTAGAGGGTAGGAAATAGATTCACAGCAAACCAGCATTGATGTCAGCCACTATGTTACATTTTCATGTTATGTTTAGCATGTTGGCAAACACGTCGTTCATACATATACAGCAGAAACAGCAGCGTCCGTCAGTTTCAGACATCAGTTTAGTTTAGATCTCCTCCACAGAGTCAGAGCAAGGTACAACTTGTGAGCAGAACACCAAAACCAACCATCTATTGGTTCAAATCTCACATAACAAATTGAGACAGAAGTTTATTTCACAGAAAATACTAAACAAGACTAAGACCCGGTCCACACTGCCTGCGTCTGCAGTGCGTCTTTCAACGTCTTGTTTTTTATTTCGGCGCCCATGTTAACAGATTAGAGCAGCCACGCTTACCTCAAGGTGACGTCCTCAAATGTCTTGTTTTGTCCATAACCCAAAGATATTCAGTTTACTGTCATAGAGGACTAAAGAAACCAGAAAATATTCATATTTGAGAAGCTGAAATCAGAATTTGGACATTATCTCTTGAAAAAATTATTAATTTACTTACTTATTGTTGCAGCTCGACCTGTACGTTCCTGTGTCAGGATGTCAGGTTGCTTATTAGCACTAAACAAACAGCTGAGGCTGCTGGGAGTGTGATTCGTTTTCAGGTATCTGGTCATAAACCGACACTATAATTCATCCTGACAGGAACATGAACGTCTGTAACAAATTTAATGGCAGTGCGTCGTATTGTTGTGAAGAAATTTCACTAAAATCACAAATATCAACCTCTTGGTGGCGCTAGAGGATAACTCAGAGGATCACCAAAGTTAGTAGGACACATCGTCTGGGGACCCTGATGACCCTCCATCGAGCACCCTCCAACAGAGTTACACTGCTAGTACAGCTGTAAAACATAGTGAGGTGAACTTGCATCAGGACTGAGTTAACACTGGATGGAAATGATTTCATTAATCAACTTGAAATTTGTGCTAAAATTAACACACCTCTATGACATCTTTGTCATTGTAGCTCAGGCCCTGGAGCGGATGATGAGTCCTGCGGGTCCCAGTCCGAACCCCAACGTCCCATCTGAGTACTGCAGCACCATCCCCCCTTTGCAGCAGGCTCGCGCCGCCGGCACTCTTAACTCTCCTCCACCGACCGTCATGGTGCCTGTGTCCGTTCTCAAACACCCAAACAACGACAGTATGATGACTCTTAAACACTGCACACAGTCGCCACTGCACTGTTAGTTTGTCTTCCTGGACGGTACCCTTGAAAAGACATTTTCTGTGTGTTACCAGGTTGTCCTCGTGAGCAGAAGCGCGTGTGGTTCGCTGACGGCATCCTGCCCAACGGAGAGGTGGCAGACACGACCAAGCTGTCGGTGACGAGCCGCAGGAGCTCCCAGGAGTTCAGTGGTGTCACTCCAGACCAAACGACAGTAAGACCACACGGCCTAACGACAGAAAACACCAGATTCTTTTCAACAAAACATGTTGCTCTCGCTTGTTTTCAGAAAGTTAGTTCTTCCCCAGGTGGTTAATAGGCTGTTGGTGTGCTTCCTACAAATAGATAATAAATAATGAAGTATTGTGAGCAGCAAAAATAACCACTGAAGTTTAATGGAAGTGGTATAACAGTGACTGACCCTCTCATTTCAGCCTGGCCCAGCAGGGTCAGAGGTCGGAGGCGGTGGCTCCTCCCCTCCCGAAGCTTCTGTGGCCGTAGAGGTGGTTCGGCCTCCAGTGTCCGGACCCTGGGATTACGCCCTCCTCTCCGGACTCAGTTCTTCAGTGAGGAGGGTTCCCAGTCTGCTGCCAGATAACGAGGATGAGCTTCCTCCTCTGCTCATCACCACCGGAGAGGATGAAGCAGGAGGTGTGTGTTTAGTTTCACCTGACGTGAACCTCTTTATGAAAACGTGTTGGCAGGTTGGTCGTATGTCTGAATAAGTTCCAGAGTTGCTTTTATGTCAAAGCCACATAGCCATCTTAATATGTCAGACCTGTAACATTTCCATAACGCTTTCAACACACCACAAGATTCACAAGTATCGTCTCGTATGCTAAGTTTAATAAACGATGAAACGTTGTGAATTTTATATTGTTTTATGTTAGTCAGGTCAGTCTTCAGATCATTTTGTCATCTTGTACAACCTCCAGTAATAATCTGTGCAGGTTTCTTCCTCTCTTGTTTCCAACTTTGATCCATGCAGAGTGCACAGATGAATTATGAGCGAGAATTAAACTGAACATGTCGTCGTTTTGTCAGACTTTTGTTAGCAGCAGAACTCTCTAAGCAGTGATTAAGTTGATTAAAAAATGTAAGAGATTCAGTCGTAGGAGTCGAGTAGTAAGAGCTCACAATGCAGCCCCAAATTCTGCTAGCTCCCTCAGTAAATTAAAGAAATGCATCAGACTTTAGGGGGCGTTGCCTCGACACAGACCTGTCGGACTCTCCGTATGAGCGCTGGGAACACGGAGTCTGCTGGAGCTTTTATAGTCACTGGAAGCACATCCGAGGCCATTTTTAAAAGTTACCTGTGTGTTGTAGCTAAGATAGCGTTTGTGTGTGAGTCGAAGTCCGGTGGTGCTTCTGCAGCCGTCAAAAAAACTAATCTGAACCACTGTGTCAAAATACCAAGTAGTGGGTTAGCAAAAACTTGTCTTCCTTTAAATCATCACTCTTCTACTCACTCATGGGGCTCAGTCTGTAAACGTCCCATTATGTCGAAACAAAGCTTTAACAGACATTTATGTGAAAGTCACCTAAGTCTGAATGAACAGATGGAGCAACGTATTCACACTGTTGCTTTGGATTGCATGTATGTAACGTGCTCTGCTGTGTTTCCTCTGTAGATGTTCTGGTTGAGGAAAGTCCGGCTCCGTGCCAGATACTGCATTTATTAGAAGAGGGCGGACCCCGACCTCTGACATTTGTTCTGAACGCTAACCTGCTGGTCAACGTCAAACTGGTCTCATGTGAGTAGAATATATCCAATCTGTCATATACTGGATAGAAAGGAGTGTTTCCTGGATGTCCTTACATGCTCTCCCACAGACCTGGTCCCTGCTAACACTGTGTTTTTGGTTTGATCTACCAGACGGCAGTCGGCAGTGCTGGTGTTTTGGCTCTAACGGGCTGCAGGCGCTCGGACAGAGAGAGCTGGTGTTTTTGTTGGAGTGTTTGCCAGAAGAAAAAGCTCTTCCAAAAGACCTCTTCACGCTCTATCTCAACATTTACCAAGAAGCCCAGAAAGGTAGAGGGCACATTCAGGCCCATTTGTTTGTCTTTTTGTGTTTCTGTTGACAGATTTTTTGGGGAAAAATCTAAGACTACGGAGTCATTATTTTCTGTTACAGGGAAGTTTTTGGAGGAGCTGGACAATGTGACGTTCACAAGCAGTTTTCTGGGCAGTAAGGACCACGCCGGGATGCTCTTCTTCTCACCCACCTGTCAGCCTCTAGATGGCCTCACTCTCCCCCCTCAGCCTTTTCTGTTTGGTCTGCTCATCCAGAAACTGGAGGTTCCCTGGGCCAAAGTCTTTCCACTCAGGCTGCTTCTACGGCTTGGAGCTGAATACAGTGGTGTGTAGTTTACTGTTATCCCTGTCTTTGTGGGCTGGTATAGTTTTATATTGAGCTCAATTCAATAAGAATCAGGTTTATTGCCAAGTAGGTTTTCACATACAAGGAAATTGTTTTGGTGTTATAAGCTCAGTAAGAGAAAATACATATAAAAAACAACCACAAAAGTCAAGAATCATGAATACAAAATACAGATTTACAATAAAAAATATGGAAAATATATAAAATATGTCAAATATATAAGGTCAATTTAACTTAGTTCACAGTAAAGTAAAACCGACAGCTGTAATCAAGTAACAGACATATATTTCCAGCTGTTAGCTCTTTTTTGTAGTAGTAGTAGTAGTAGTAGTATCATAGAGCATTACACATAAACTTAACTTGTGATTGCTTCTCAAAATTACCTGATGGCATCTGCTGACTGACTGTTGACTCCTCACTCGCCCTACTCTTCCTTTGATTGGCTCGTGTTCGTTAACTTTGTTGGTTTGGTTGGTTAGGTTAGGGTTAGGTATAGCCAATCAAAGAGATCTGCAGTCTTCTGAGTGAACTCTTGTAGTTCTGTTATGGTTTTTATTGTGATAACTATTATTAACGATTATCTTTTTAATGACTAAATATTTTCTCTTTTTCAGTGTATCCCACTACATTGACAAGCGTCCGTTTTCGGGACTCTGTATATCGAGAGACAGGACACACCATCATGAATTTACTGGCTGTAAGTACTGGAACACAAGCAGTTAGATGTCATCAGTCTGTTGTCACATCTAAAGCCAAGTACTTTAGTTCTTAATCCCACTGAAACCACGTTTTTTTAAAGTGGTTTTAATTAAGTGGCCGAGGAGGTTCTGTCTGCTGTTAATCATTCCTTTACAATTAGGTTATTTCCCCAAGTGACACTGAGGACTGTTGTGGTTAAATCTAGTTAAAAGACAATGAATTCAGACCATCTTCACTGTGTGATCGTAAACAAGTGAGAGGGCTTTCTGAAGCTCTGCTGCCACAGAAACATTCCTGTAACTTCTCTGGATCCACAAGAGCTATGAGACAGACTTACAGCGGGTAAGACCAGAATGGATCTGAATGCTGAAACTTTCACGGTGCAGCTCGAATTGAGGACATTTGCTGCAGCTGATCACACGATTGTCCTGAAGAGATAAATACGTCGGCCTCTGGCGATGTCCGTGTCAGCTGGCTCGACTTGTGCATCACCTCGCAGGAAGAGAGAGTTTGTGGCTTTGGATGAAAGCGCTTTCAAGTAGTGTGACATTTCCTGTTTGTCTCAAGGGTCAGGGTGTTGAGTTCCTTGTTTTGTTGTTGTTATAGTTTTAAAGCACAAAAGTTTTCCTACGTTTGCACCAATCATCGAGACTACTCCGACATTTTAAAGCCCCTTAAAACGGAGATGTTTGAGAACGCTGCTGACCCTGTTTCAGTTTTAAAACTCTGGTGTCCCGCAGATGCACGTGTTATGTCAGTGACAAAGGAAGACTCTGGCGAGTAAATGGCTAATGCATTCAGACTATCCCGGCCATATCTTGTGTCCAGAGTGCAGAGCCCGAAGTGAAGGATATTGTCGCCAACTTCTACCAAACACACTGTATGTCACAATGCACAGCAAAGTAAAACAAATCCCAGCTTCACAGGCGTACGTGCCCTTATTGATTGACTCCAGATCTGTGCACTAAAATTAGTAGTGATGATCGGATGAAGCTTTTTGAAGTTTTAGGGTTTTCTTTCTATATTTGTGCCAGAAAGAAAGATTCAAAGCTTCTGGGCTTCAAACGCAGCAAGAACAGAAACATCTGGTGACTTTCTAAACTTAACAGCAGCTGACACCACCTCTCTGATTTTAATAGAGTTTGAGTCTCATATGTGAGCAATAACAGTCAGAGAGGCCTCAGTGTTCTTATTAAATCTGTACTACTACTTGTCAGAAGTACTGCAGTGAATATTGATGATACAGTAAAATAATGAATAAATGCATCGTCCAATTTCATGAAAACTTGCAGTAAAAATAGTTCAATAGAAATCCGACAGTACTCTGAACTGTTTCCCCACAGGACCTGAGGAACTACCAGTACAGTCTGTCAGTCGTGGAGGGCCTGAGGATCCACATGGAGATGGGCCACAGCTACATTGACATCCCCAAATGTAGCTTCAATGAGGTGAGACACCTGTAAAGGAATAATCCGACAATTTGGGAAGTAAACTCATTCGCTTTCTTGCCGAGAGTTAGAAGAGGCGATGTGACTCTTGTGTCGACATATTTACTGTACAGACACGAGGCAGTTGTCGATCCTTTAACATCGGCAAGAAAGTAAATAATTCCCCCAATTTCTTTTATTTATGTCTGGCTTTTATTCATTTTCTTTTTGTATTTATTTATATTGTATTTATTGTTGTTCTTTTATTAGCAATCGCTTTCCCCGTCTTTGTTTCTCATTATCATTGTTTTTTTTTCTTTGTTTTCTTGTTTTATATATATATATATATATATCATCAGTATTGAGGGATGTCACCTGCTGCGTTGAACGCCCGGTGAATCATAGTGCTATGATGTAAATAGGAAAACAAAACAGATGCAAGCAGAGAGTTGAAACTAGCAAAACAGTGAACAAGCTTTGGCTTTAGAGCCGACACCTTAAAAGAGGAGAGAGAGAGTGGAGCCAAACACGATCAAACAAAAGACATAAACATTAGAAAGATAAATATTTCTTTTAGCAGTAGCATTACGCTTGCTCGTTTTGTGTGTTTTTCAGATGCAGAAGGTCGTAAACGCGTCCAACGAACACGTCATCAGCATCGGAGCGCGTTTCAGCTCGGAGGCCGACTCTCACCTGGTGTGCTTCCAGAACGAGGAGGGAAACTATCAGACTCAGGCCAACAGCATGCCTGGGAAGACCCGCACAGGTGAGCGCTCAGTAATTCTGCCCACTCGTCTTTTATTCTGTTTGTATCAAAATAAAGAAGATGAGTGAGCAAAACGATGTGAAGGTCATTGTTTGTCATATAAATGAACCCTGTGGTGGTTCTGTGTGTCGTTACAGTGACCGGGGCCAGTTTCGTGGTGTTCAACGGAGCCCTGAAAGCCTCCTCAGGCTTCATTGCCAAGTCCAGCATCGTTGAAGGTAACGCCACTGATTCGTTGACTAAAGGAATAAAGAAAGAACGTAGTCGCTCGCCTCGTACTTCTACAATGCGTGACTGCTTTTTGAACCCTGACTGGAATTTGTGTTTGTGTGTCAGATGGATTGATGGTGCAAATCCCTCCAGAGACTATGGAGTCTCTGCGCGCCGCCCTGAGGGAGCAGACAGACTTTAACATACCGTGCGGCAGGAACGACGGAGCAGAGGTCCGAGAGAACGTCACCGTCCGCTGGGTTGACTGGAGTTCACCTGTTAACGCAGGGTAACTGTTTACACACTCTTTGTGCAATCTGTCCACCGCTGCACTGCGATCATACGACACACACACACAAGTCTTTGTGCTGCAAGGTTTCTAGTAGTAGTCTGAGTTTACATAACCACCGTGGAGGTGCTGATAAGGTTGGAACAAAAGAAATAATACTATAAAGAAAGAAAAGTCTGTTTCCAAACAATAGTCAAGTGATTTTTATGTATATAGCCCCTTTATCACAAATCACAGTTAGCTTCAGAGTCTAACCGTGCCTCGGTGACTTCCAATACCAATATAAACATATGGAACAACCCTTTTTAACATTTTACCTCAGGAAGAGAGAGAATGAATCATAGTATTCAGTAAGAGATCTCTTTGTAACAGGCATCCAGTGGTAGAGATCCACAGTCCTCCTTCTGTGTAAGAATACATGCCACATTTTATTTAAAGCTTATATTAGTTATTCAAAGTCTTTTTAGTTTCCCCACAGTGATTCTGTGCTCAGCTGCAGTGTAGGAGTTAACACAAAGAAGGAATTTTGTATTTAAAAGTCAACCTATTGTTTAAAGTTCACATAAAAAAAAATAAGAGAGCTGTAAATCTTTAAAGCAACATTATGCAAGAACACTGCTTCACAACGTCATCAAACTTTGTCTTTTGTTGTTTGGATTGAGAGACCTCCTTGCGGTAGCAGTGACAGACTGTGAGTTTAAGTGTCAGTTTATCTGCAATGTGATTTTTGCTCGTCTGCAGCAAAACCAGCGGCGTTGACGGGAGACCTCTGGATGGAGTCCGCAGCGTGAGGGTGCTGCAGGACACGGAGTTTGAGTCAGACGGACGCACCATCAAATGCACTGAGGTGAATCTTCCTTTTAATGAACTGGTGACTGTGTGTGCGCTTTAGAGCCGGTCGACAGTCCAGTTGTGTGAACGTGTGAATGTCTTCCAGGTCTTCTACCAGCTCAAGACTCCAGAGAGCAGCCTGGCGTCAGTGCTGTCGTCCTGCAGCGTGTTCCAGAAGGAGATGGCTTTGGCCGCCTGCAGCGCTCTGACTCCTCACCTCTCTGTTCTCACCTCCAGTGGCATCAACTCGCTCTCTCTTCGCATCTCTACACAGGCTGATATGGTAAACACAATCTGTCTTTGTAACTGCTGTAAGGGCGAAACAATTGTGCAGTTTGTTTATAACGTTTGAATTCTGAATTTGAATGCTGCACAGCTTGGAATCAGCTGACCTCCATTGAGGCTATGAGCCGCTCCAACACTAGTAGAGTTTAAACTCCTGCTGTCCTTCCAGCTCCCAGTCCGGGTACAGACAGCAGTGCACCGGAGACTTCTTTTGTTACAAGAGAAAAGGTGTGATGAGTGTTTCTCTGTGTGCGTTTGCTCTCAGGTGGAGTACCAGGCCGGCTGCGGAGGCCGCCTCCTCCCTCAGCGCTACATGAACGAGCTGGACAGCGCTCTGATCCCCGTCATCCACGGAGGTAGCGCTAGCGTACCACAGACTGCCATGGACATGGAGTTCATCTTCTACATCACACACACCATCTAATGCACACGCAGACCATGACACACTCAAAAGTATTGAAATAAATCCACTGAACAGAAGGTGGCTGAGCACAGAAAGAGGATTGTGGCACGACGTGCTCGTATTTTGCACATGCGGACGTGCAGCCGGTCACAGAGGACGAGCAGCTGCTGGCACAACGTCCCCCCGCTCTGAGGTCGGGGGCGTAAACTGACATGATCTATTGGTTTTCTGTGAAGGAACCGTTGTGTGTTTTGTTTGTTTCGTGCTCACCAAAGCTGCTTTAATACAAGAAGCCAAACACTAAACAAGGAATACGACAACATGACCAAAAACAACCAAACTATTCAAAACGGTTTTCTTCTGCTCTGCCTTCCAAGGCTCCCCGCCGGCCTCCGTCGGCCCGGAGCACCTCAGTGAATGTTTCCCACAGACACTCTTATCGAAATGTCTCTCATTTGGATGTATTTATTATATTTTAATATGGGCTTATTGAATGAAATGATATTAAAGCAAGGGGACGTTACTGACTGCAGTGTTCAGTACTTCAGAGGTGATCAGGTGCTACTGTACAGTCGCTTACGTAGCCGGCCCGTTCTAAAAAAAACCCCCGAAAACACGCAGGGATGAAAAGAAATCTAATTTCCTCTCAAGGTACTATGCTTTCATTTCATTTGCTGGTTGATGTTGATACTGCACAGGAAAGACATCGGGCCTCATGCAAGAACCCTTTTGTATTCCCAACCTAAACTTTGGACTTTATTTCCTGTGAGATTCCCTTAAAGTCCCCAAACTCTGCACAAATTCGACTCGTTTCAACCCGGTGATTCAGGGTATTTGTGGCATGTGGCAATTAGCAAAATGCCCCCAAAATGTCTATATAAGGCAACTTGTTCTGCTCTATTTGTTTTATTTATGAAGACCAAAGAATAAAGAGAACTTCTGAAATCAGCAGCTGAAAACACAAAGGTCAGTGGTTCCCAACCTTTTCCCTTAAGGGACTCTTTTTCTACCATTGAGTAGATTATTTTAGTCATTTTATGGATATTTAATTTTATATTCAATAATAACAATAACAGCAGAGAACAGCTGATAAACTGCACAATGAGCCCAAACAGGGAACTCAGTAACTGCAGGAAGTTTGAGTAAAACCAGAGATTTGAGCAGATTATTATTATTATTATTATTATTATTATTATTAGTTTATGAAATGCTGAGATATCGACCTACTCTGTAAACATTTCTTACACTCTTTAAAATCAGGAAGGCCTCACGACGCCCTGTGAAGCTTTGGCGACCCCTAGTGAGGGTCCCGGCCCCCAGGTTGGGAACCACTGTATTGGGGAACTTGAGTCGAGCTGCGCTGTGACAGAAATAAAGAAGGTTGAGGAAGTGAATAAATGTGCATGAAGTTAGATGCTGTAAAATGTCTGCTGGGAGCGTCGACAGTGATGGAGATGGATGAGAGAATGTTACACAGGTGTGTTTTAGAGAGTTTTCATCCAAAATGTGCCAATAAAATATACGAAATGTCAAAACTTACAGTAAATTGGCATCCAGGATGGTGAAACGGGGAAAAGAAGCTTATTTTTAGTTGTTTGTAGTTTTTAGAAACATTTAAACTCCAAAATCGAATCTGAGTCTGGATTTCTCGTGAATTTCATTGGAGAAAATTCCATGTTGGTGATTGAAACAAATTCTGTTTCCTGCATGAGGCCCGTTGTTTGTTCGCCGCCGGCTCGTCGCTACCGGAGGACAAATGTGGAGAGCTTCTTCTTCATTCACAAGTTATTTAGCTAAAAGGTGAAGCTGACGAGTGTATTTTGTTCAGGTGTGTACGTGTTGGACGAAGCGTTTCACCGTTAATCTCACGTTCATTACCGCTGATCTCCGCCTGGATGCTCTTGATATTCTTCCTTTAACATTCGTACGTTTTTGATCACCAGTGATTTTTCTTTACTCCAGTTAAACGAACGTATTTTGCACAACCAGAAAATGTCTTTACGTCATCTCACACCTTTCTTTAAGAGTTAGCGAGTATTAATGTACAGGCTTTTTGAGAACTTTTAAACTTAATAGTTTCGACATTTTGGGAAATGCGATCATTTGCTTTCTCTCCTATCTGTTGGTTAAATATGCAGCCAGCAGCTAGTTAGCTTAGCATAAAGACTGGAAGCAGGGGGGGAAACAGCTCGCCTGGCTCGGTCCAAAGGTCCATCTGTCTGCCTGCACTTAAAGCTCACTAATGTTTGATTTGTACAAAAACTGAAGTGTTAAAAAGGACAAGTTACAGTTAAGCAAATAAGCGTATTTCCCAAAATACTGTACAGGTATGTAAAACCCCTCCGCAGTGGGTGCTCGGAGCTCAGCAGCCTCCTCAGATGCTGTTCGGAGCAGAAAGTATTTAACCACGCAGTGAGAAGCATCAGACCGGTTTCATGTTTCGAATTTATTTAATGTATTTCCACAGCAGCTTTAAGGCACTTTAGAACCATTAAAACAGCTCTGAGGTGTTTCGCCGTGCGGCTGTACAGTTTTTAAACAGGTTCCTTTTGGTTTGTTTTCTTCCTCACCAGCTTCTCTTCTTTGCCACAAAATGTACAGAACTGCCAATTTCCCCTCGTATGAGTGCTGTGGTCAATAAATGACTGATTACAGTGGGAATATAAGAGCGCTGAGAGGCTCCAGTTCCTGTAAAAATGCAACCAGGATTAGCATGCACCGTGTAAAGTAGCTCCGTGTTTTACATCTCACGTTTCAGTCAGGAATTTTTTCAGTCGGCTTTGTCCAAATGTATAAAATATAAAACTGTATGCATAGAGATTTTTGTTTTTTCTTTTTCTTTTTTTAAATAATGAAGAGTTATTTTTGGAATCATTGGTATAAAAGTTTTAACAAACAGAATAAGAGTTCATATTTTTGATAGGACATTAAGGCTACATTCATTTTGCAGTTTGTGTAGCAAGTTCCTTGAAGCACTGAGAGGAAACTAATTAAAAACAACACTAATTACACAGTTAATTCCAGAAATAAACACTATATCGTTTTGTCATGATGTGGAAAAAAAACCATATATATATCTTAATCCCACAATGCAATGCATAAAGGTGAATGTGCAGGTGAAAGGTGTAAAAATCTGAAGACAAAATAAAAGCAGCTTTACACTCTCCATCAGCTCTCAACTCATTTAAACCAGCACAGATTATTTACTGGTTTTAATGCTCCATAATGAACATCAACTAGACCACTCATCATATAAACCAGTCGTTCCCAACCTTTTTCCTGAAGGGATCCCTTTCCTATCATTCACTACATGACTTATTTTATGGATGTTTCATATTATATTCAATGTATAACAGTAACAGTAGAGAACAGCTGATAATCTGAACACAATAACTGCAGGAAGTTTGTGTAAAACCAGAGATTTGGAGGAATTTTGAGCAGATCATTATTATTTGAGTGGATATTGATCAGTTTTCCTGTTATTTTTATACAATTTTCTGTCTGTATTATGAATTATGCAACAATCACAGACATAATAGGCTTCTTTTTTGACAAATTCAGTGTTTTCTTCCCTTTGTTCGATCAGCTCTTTGGTTGTTTTCTAACACAGGACGAGGCTGTTTATCAGAGTGAAGCTCTGTCAGTAATATGAGCTTTAAATAACAATTTTATTTAAACAAATGTCACAGAAATGAACAAAATACTGAGATACAGGCCAACTGTGTATAGGTTTTAAGTTTTCTTACACCCCTTAAAATCAAGAAGGCCTCACGACCCCCCTGTGAAGCTTCGGCGACCCCTAGTGGGGGTCCCGACCCGCAGGTTGGAAACCACTGATATGTTCAGCTGCTAACACAGGAGGAGGAGGAGGAAGAGGAGCTGTGTTTGTGACTCTTAAACCTCCACATTGATTAGTTAAGTGGCTCATTCAGTCAGTTTTTGATTGATTTGCGATGACGTCGGGTCATTACCGTCATTTTACATTAGAATTGGTTTTCAGTTAACTTATAAAGGTAAAATAAAATAAAGCAGGAAGAAGTTCCATTTAAATTTATAATTTATCAGGTGTCCTGGAAAATATTAATTGTTGTTAAGAAAATAAGTCCATACTCTGCTTTTTGGTAAATTAAATGAGTGTTTGAGAGGAAATGCTGTCCTGTATTGTCAAGAAAACAAATAGAGTACCAATACAGACGTTCACGATCCCCAGAGGATGAAGTCTGCTGACTTTTCCTCTAGCGCCACCAGCAGGTCAAAGTCTTTGTACAGACATTGGTAGTAGTTTGCTTAAATATTTAGCTTTTATTAGCAGTATATAAACATTTAAGGCCCTGCCCACATCAAACTAGTGAGAAGATTCATGTGGTTTGTTACACAGAACCATCTGGGAAGTTGTTGTTGGACAAGGGTCATGAATGAACCACATAACGTAGTCAAACTCGTTTCCATAAAGAAAAACCTTCAGTGACGGTTTTTATGCTCCAGTTCCGATATAACTGTTACTAGCTAAGTTAATCTCTGTTGTTTAAAGGTTCAGTATGTAATTTCTGCCACTCTCACATCAAAACAATAACAAAAGACTAGTGTGATGAGGTGGTGAAGCAGCGTGGGATCATGGGAGTTGTTGTCTCCCGGTTAGGATTCCTTCAGTGTTCATGGTTCAGGAGGTTTCTACCGGGAGCCCAATGATCCACAGAGGTCTCCTCCTCTCCAAAACAAACAGACCCGCTGATTAAAACCACTAAACACACTGAATAAAGCAGTTCCACCTTAACAATCACTGCTTCTCCCACGCTGTTGGACAGACAAAGGACGTCCCGGAGGGGCTGCGAGCCGAGCTGCTGCTAACGTTAACTCAGCTTGTTTCTCTGATAACTTAAGATCCAGACGTCCGATGACTAAAATCCTTCATCCGGTTCAAATCTAGAGTTAAAAAGCACCAAGATCTAAACAGTGGATGGTAACAATGTGGCTTCAGACTGGTTTGTTTCCTCACAGGAAGCTGATCCGGTACCACTTTACCGGCCACATACTCATCGATTTAAAGTCCGACCTCGCAAAGGTTAGCTGGACCACGTCTCTCATATCAAGGAGCTGATTTAATCTTTAAATGTTAAAAGACGTTAAATCATGTTCTGATTTATTTTGGTAGTTTTTAGAGAAGTCTATAGAAACAGATTCACCTTTAGAGCGTTGGAAACAGTTTAATTAGGTTAATATTTTGGGAGTCAGATTATTATTTATGATCTAAACAACAACGTAGTTTTATGCTTTTATTGTTTTTGTGTAAATCGTCTATTTACTCATGAGCTTTATTTGGTGAACCTGGTATCTGGGTCCTGATCAGTTTCATGTATGTAAAGAATAAAATAAGTTTTATGAAAACATTTTCTCTTCTTGTCTCCATTACATTTAATTCAGTTGCATAACATGCAACAATACAGATAGTAATAGAAAATAGATTAAAAACACAGGAAACAAACATGACACGTGTGCTGAAATAAAAAAAAAAGTAAAATAAAAGGATACATGGGAATGGGAGGGTGAAACGAGTGAGTTGCAATCTGTAACTTCACCACAAGATGCCACTAAATCCTGCACACTGGTCCTTTAAACCTCCACTGCTTTAAAGGACCGCCTGAGCTTCATCGAGCGGTCGCAAGCCCTTCTTGATTTTAAGCTGTGTAAGAAAACTAAAGACTAAAGAAATTTAAATTTTTTGTTTAATTTCTTTAAATTTAGATTATCATTTAAGATCAAAACTTTAAAGATCTGAACACAAACTATATTCACAGAGCTTCAGTCTCTGTGAACAGCCTCGTCCTGCTGTAGAAAACAACCAAAGAGCTGATAGAAAACACTTTAATTTGTCAAGAAGAGATTCATTTGTATAGATTGTTTAGAATAAAAAAAACAACAAAAACAAACAGAGAATTGTTTAAAAAGATCATGAAAACTCATCTCTGATGTAATATTCACAGGAAATAATAAAAATGTATCCAGAACTCTGGTTTTACACAAACTTTCTGCAGTTATTGCGTTCATTGTTCAGTTTATCAGCTGTTCTCTACTGTTGTTGTTATTATTGAATCTAATATGAAATATACATAAAATATAGTCAGTTTACTCTCTATAAATATTATATTATATTTCTGACTATAAATAAATCCTCAATGTTTCACACTGAAGCTTTAATCTGAGTTTTGAACGCAGGAATGTCGCAATAATAATCCTTTGAATGGGTTTAAAGTCCACCTCTGTGTGTGTGTGTGTGTGTGTGTGTGTGTGTGTGTGTGTAAGGAGGCGTGGTGTTTAGTCTACCCGCTCTTCCTTCCACTTCACCTCATTCACTGTTAGAGCGACACAATGAGCGGACGGGTTGGAGACTTGAGCCGACAGCAGGATGAAATCTTAACTGAGGTAAAAAGAAATCTATTTAATTTAATCAATATGATTCCAATGGGTGATTGATTGAAGGCATTGATTAGTTCATAGTAGTGAATAGTTGTGTCTCTGGTTGCTTTTGTTGTGGTAACACACTGATCCTATGGCAACTCCAACGTCTGCTGTTTATAGTGACATTGTTCTTATTTTTCAGATTAATATTTTACATTTAAAAAACAATATAAAGTTTATAAAACACATTAAAGATTAAACCAGAGTGTGTAGTTGGTGCCTTTTGTTGTCTTTGACACCCAAAGATAAAATAAAAGTCCTAAAGATTAAAGCTTTTTACTCCACAGTATTTTTCAGATTCTTGTTTTAATCAGATTTTATGAAATATTTTTACAGTATTAAATATAAGTATTTATAATTACCTCCAACTCAACACCCTACTTTAAATTCTTCTGTAACAATAATCAATAATATAGATTATATGATAATATAAAACTCAAGTCATTTTATGTAACAAATACTTTTATGTTTGATACTTCAATATCTACTTTTATTTAAGTAAACTTTTTAATGCAGGACCTTTTATATTGTTGTATTTCCACCACTGTGGATCCCTGAGGGCAATATGACTCAAATATTCCTATAAAATATATAAATGTCAGCAGTATTTGGCTCTTATATATTTATATTATACAGAATATACTATATTTATAGTATATAGAATATACTATATTTATATTATACAGAATATACTATATATATATTATACAGAGTATACTGACTATATGTAGGATTACAAGCTTAAAGTGGGACACTATAATAAAACATTAGTTTAACTTATTATCTGTTGTGGATAATGTGCCACAATTATTTTTATTATCTATTAAATCTGTTGATTAGTTTATCAATTAATTGTTGAATAATTTCCTCAATAAAAATATATAGTAAATTACCAATCAACTTAACTTTATTATCATTTAAGACTTAAGAAAAGCAATAAAACCTTTTCTAAAACAACATTAATGTGAATAATTAATATAATTAATAGCTATGCTTGTTTGGGTAATGTTAGCTGACCAACAACTACATAGCTAGCTGGAAATTTTATTGAAAAGGATTTAAATGTTTAATTAATTATCAAAATAGTCTCAGATTATTTCTACTAATTGATGAACAGACTAATCGTTTTAGCTCTTAAACCTCTTAGGCTAGCTGTTTCCCCCTGTTTCCAGTCTTTATGCTAAGCTAAGCTAACAGTAGTTTTATATTTTACCGCACGTACACAAGTGTGGTATCAATATTCTCATTCAACATGTGACTCAAACTGTATCTTTAAATAATAAAACTGTGTGTTTATCTTCAGCATTGTGATATAAATGATTCTCTGCCTCCAGTTTCGGGGGAGGATCCAGGACATCCTCCCCAACCTGCCGGCGCAGCACGACCACTACCTCCTGCGCTGGCTCAGAGGTGAGACCTGCAGCCGATCTCACTGTTTAATATTCCCTCAGTGCGGGTACGATGCTGGCACAACAACACACACACAACCATCCAGGTACAAGGTGACTTCTTTCATACACAAAGGTCAACTGCTAAAGATAGAAAATATAAAGAACTGACGAATAATTACAGTAAAAACAAATGGAAAAGGGTATTTATAAGGCTATAAATTGAAGAAATTAAACTATAAATCACAATTTTCTTGTGTGTTTGAGGAAAGACTTTCAGCCTTTTATCTCTTATATGATTCCTTTATTATCTCCTTCCAGCTTTTGTCCATTTTCAGTCTAATCAGAACATCAAATACAACATTTGCACAGATTTATATTCTAAACTCAACACAGTTTACCATTCAGAGCCGATATATAAATACTTAAAACTGTCCTGAAATATTAGTTTGAGGCAAAATATTGTATTTTTTACTTAATTTGGCAGCTTTTGTTTCTTCTCAGATTAAGAATTTACAATAATATTATGAAATAAGAACCTATTTTGCAGGTAAATCAGTGTTTCCTGTCATATTTTAGATGTCTATGAGTTGTTAACAGTTCCAACATAGTCACAGTTTCATTTAAATAACTGTTTTGAGGCTCAAAGAGGAAAAATTATAAAATATTTTAGGGGAAAGAGCAAAAACATTTACTAAATGAACATCATGCTGTATGGAGGAAGACTGAAACTAGAGATTGAGACCATAAACTCATCAGGAAACTGAGGGAATAAATCAACTGAGAAGTCGACTCATTTCCCCATAAGACTCAATACTATTGTTGTATTAGTACTTTTACATTTAAAGGCTGCAGAACAACAAATTTCTACCACCTAAAATGTGTTTTTCCATCAGATTTTCCTCTAATTTTAATTATTAAACAATTTCAATCTGGGTTGAGGGGTCACAAGTACACATATCTTTAAAGGTAAACAAGGTAAAAGGTCGAGACACACTGAGTTAATCACACTAGGATCAGATCAACTTGACGCACTGTGACAGACGTCGATACCGAAGCCTCCGTTGAAACTAAAACATGAGAACAGGTTTGTCTTAAAGCAGCGTCACAGAGAGCGAGCGTAGCCTCGGGCGTCTGAAACTCTCTGAATAATGACGAGAGGGGAAGCTGTCTGTTGTGTTTCCTCTCATCGGTTGGTATGTTACTCTGTTTACACAAGGTTAAATACTCTATGGAAGCCTAAAGTGATTGTATAAGTTATTATAATGAGAAACTTTCTCTAAATAATGACTTTGTGATACAAAAGTCAATATTTAAAATCAATGAGAAAGTTTCTCAATATTTCGAGATTTCGCTCTTCTGATGGATTTGAGCTTGCTCTTTCTGCAAATGGGTCTCCATGCTGTGTACCTAGATGAGCCTCCTGAATTTGCACCCAAAATGCTGTCAAAACTTTCATTTATAATTGCAGCTTCCATAATTCTTGACCGGGAAAAAGGCAGAAAAAAGGCGCGGAAAACACAAAAAACCTTAAAAAATAAAAAATAAAAAATCACAGAGATGCTGATTCGCACGGGACTAATACTATCACATGACCTCCGTGTTTGGCGAAATATGGTAGGTAATTTGCGGTGTAATTTTTACTTTACAAATTACGGACATGGCAGATTAGCACAGGATTAAGATCACAGACGATATTAAGTCATTATTTTCAGATATTAAGTCAAAAGAATGAAAAGTTTCTTATTATTTCGAGATAGTAAGTCAAAATCAATAAACTCACAAACTAATTCCTGAGTTCAGTCACATTGGCAGAAATGAGCTTCCATATTTCTCACCTCATGCTGTAGCTTCATATTTCACAGACTGACTGTTGTCAATATTTCCATCTAAATCTGCAACTAAGCAAATGAGCGTTTCCTAAAATAGCAGCTACCGTGTCCACAAGGGACATTTACAGGATAATGATAACGGCTGAAACAGTCCCCAGACTAAATCATGCTGCTGCAGTCAAAGCTGTTTTATTTCTCATTAATTCAACTTTTAATTTTTAAAGGAGAACAATTTATCATTTATTCTTTCAAAAGTTACCTAATTGATGAACTTTCCAGCCTCCTCTTGGTTAATCAGTAACTTATTCCCTATAACATTCATCCCTCTGACCCCGCGGCCGTGACAGCGTATAGTATTTACTCGGCCTGGAGGGTTTGACCCACCTGAACTCGGTGGTCTTATCCGACAGTAAATGTTTGCCTTACGCTGAATTCAACCTTCGAGAAAAAGCTGCAGAGATCAGACAGCTGATGAGACAAATATTAATAGAATAAGATAATAAAATACAGAGGAACTCTATCAGTCATAGTGATATTAGCAGAATATTTGAGGTGATTTATGTTGAGTTTCTCATGTAATCTGTTACCTCCACTGTTGTTGAGCTGGTTTTAAGCAACAGGACATTGTGTCTGTTTAGGGGTCCATAGTTCAGGGAGGCTCAGATCAATAAGGGACTCTGTGACTGGTTCAATATTTACATTAGCTGTTAACCTCAGACGGCATCAGGTTTCCTATTGTACGATTGTTGTTAGTCCTGAGCAGCTTAAATCGCTTTGTATTTAATGTTTAATATGTCGTACTTATACAATAATCCCTTAAAGTAGCCCTTAATGGACTCGAGCTACAACGATTTGTTGTATCTTCTGGTTTCTTTAGTCCTCTATGACAATAAACTGAATAATTCTGGGCACAACAAGACATTTGAGGGCGTCATTTTGGGCAGTTTTCTATATTTTTCACCATTTTCTGACAAACTTAATCGTCTAAATGAAGTTTGTGTTGATACAACCGCCATCAGAGAGGCAGAAACTGGACATTTCGAACATTTTCCACGTGTTCACGTTGTTGTTGTTGTTGTTGTGTATTCTGCATATCGTTTATCTGTTGTTTTGGCTCATAAATGTACTAAAGTAGAGTTTGTACTAATTGTTTCAGCTCAACTTGTATTCACAGCTGTTCATTTTATTACAAAACAACATATTTTATAAGCTAAATACTTCGTTCTGTTTCCAAAATCTTAATTTGTAAGAAGTCAGATAAAGTCAAAAACTGCTGAAATTAAATCGTATCTCTACCTAATTAATCAGGATGTTTTCTTTCTGTTTGCAGCCCGAAGCTTCAACGTGCAGAAAGCTGAGATTATGATCAGAAAGGTGAGATCTTTAGTGGAACGTTTTTATTGATCAGCGATGTTTATCTGTGTTACTGACCGCTGCCTCTCTCTCTCTCTCTCTCTCTCTCTCTCTCTCTCTCTCTCTCTCTCTCTCTCTGCAGCACGTGGAGTTCAGGAGGAAGATGAAAGTAGACAGCATCATATCTGACTGGAAACCTCCAGAGGTTAGAATATATATTTATATTAAAATAGAGAACAATTAAACACTTTTGTTGTTGTTGATTATTATCCTTTGTTTTTGTGTGTTCAGGTGATTGAGAAGTACGTGTCTGGAGGGATGTGCGGGTACGACAGAGAGGGAAGTCCGATCTGGTACGATGTGATCGGTCCTCTGGACCCTAAAGGTCTCCTGCTGTCCGCCACCAAGCAGGACTTCCTGAAGACGAAGATCAGACACACTGAGATGCTGCAGAGGGAGTGTCGGAGGCAGTCTGAGAAGGTCGGGATCAAACTCTCCTCCTCTTTCTCCTCTTCTTTCTCCTCCTCTGGTCAGAAGTCCTCCCTGACTTGTTTTCTCTCCTGTTCTCTTTTGTTTCCTCCTCTCCTCTCGTTCTATTTCCTCTCTTTTTGCTTCATTCTCTCCTGTTTCCTCTCTCTACTTGTCTCCTCAACCTCTTGTTTTATCCTCTCTTTTATTCTCCTTCCTCACCTTTCCTCCTCCTCACCTTGTTAACTTTCCTCTCCGCTCCTTTTATTCCCTCTCTTCTCCTCTCATCACATCTCCTCTCCTTGTTACTTGTCCTTACCTTTCATCTCGTCTCGTCTCATCTCCTCCTCTTATTTCCTCTCACCTCCTCTACCTTGTTACCTTTCCTTTCCCCTTATTTCCTCTCCTCTCTCTTCCTCTCCTCCTATTATTTCCTGTCCTCTCCTCCCCTGAAACGCCTCCCTCTGTGTCTCAGTTGGGGAAGAACATTGAAGCCATCACTCTGATCTACGACTGTGAAGGACTTGGACTCAAACACATTTGGAAACCTGCTATTGAAGCTTATGGAGAGGTTTGTTTGTCAGATACTCCGGTTTAATCTGTCCATTGATACACTTACATTATATTTAATATATAACATTAAATCGCTGTATATCATACTGACTCTGTTCCTCTGCTGCAGATCCTCACCATGTTTGAAGAGAACTATCCAGAGGGGCTGAAGAGAGTGTTTCTTATCAAAGGTACGTCTGCATATTGAGCTTGTCTGACGTGTTTGTCTCTTCTTCCTTTTTCCTGATTTTCCGTCTTTTGCTGCAGCTCCCAAGATGTTCCCGATGGCCTACAACCTCATCAAACACTTCCTGTGTGAGGAAACGCGGCGCAAGATCATCGTTTTAGGAAGTAAGCCGACTTTTTTTAACCCAGAGTGTAAAAACAAGATTTTTTATACATTCAAAGAACTTCTGATTGCCTAATTGACCAAAAGAGGTCTCAGAAGAGAACTGAAGTCTTACAGTATTTCATGGTGATCCATCCAATAGTTGTTTGGATATCAGTCTGGACCAAAGTGGTTGACCGTTTACCTAAATTATACCTCAAATATACACATTCCTCTGTTTACAGGTAACTGGCAGGAGGTGTTACGTAACCATATTGACCCGGATCAGCTTCCTGTGGTGTACGGAGGAACCCTGACTGATCCTGATGGAGACCCTCGCTGCAGAACGATGGTGAGAAAACCACTGGTGGAGGAGGAAGTGAGAGTTTTCTGAATGATCTGGATGGAAATAATGGATGTTTTGTTGTTGTTGTTGTTGTTGTTGTTGTAGCTGAAGTACGGCGGTACAGTGCCCAGGTCGTACTACGTTCAGGACTCGGTGAAAGTTCAGTACGACAACAGTGTGACCATCAGCCGTGGATCGATCTTCCAGCTAGAATATGATGTTTCAGCCCCCAGCAGCCTCCTGAGGTACAAGACGACCACTAGTGACCTTTTATAGCTTAATTTTTAAATTTAAAACACATTTAACCTGCACTTTCTGTTAGCGACCTCAAAACACACCTAACATTGTTTGATCAGCTGGATATTTCACAGATTTGCTGAGTTTGAGCTGATGGGCGGAAATCTTCACTTCTGTTTGAGATCTGAGACTCCACCTGTAAAACATTGTTAAATAGATTTTCATACTCTTCTGTATGTCTGTACGACAGCAACTAGTCATTATTTTCATTATGGATTCTTCTGCTGATTATTTTCTCCATTAATCAAAATCAAATGTTTGATTTCTAAAAAGTTCTGAAAATAGTGAGAAGTGTTGTTACAGCGAATGGTGCTAGAGCCTCCAAATTATTTCAAATACGTTCAAATTATTCAAATAAAAAGCAGCAAAAAAAACAAAACTGAAAGCTTACATGAAAAATTACAATTATCACAATAGTTGCTGATTAATTTTGTGTTAATCGAATAATTTTGGGTAGTTTAATTTATAGCAAAAGATCATATTTATAAACTCTTCATATGTTTTGTGTAAAGTAACTAAAATTGCTCAGATATGCCAGCTGCTAGGCTCTTTGAAAAGACACATTTTTGACACAACTTTGCCTCTGTTTCTCTCCAGGTGGCAGTTTGCCAGCGATGGAGCAGATATCGGGTTCGGGGTCTACAGACGGACCAAAGAGGGCCTCCAGAAAGTGGCTGAGATGCTGCAGGTTCTGCCCAGCGAACGCTACAATGCACACCTGGTCCCCGAAGACAGCTGCCTCACCTGCCCCGAGGCCGGAGTCTGTGAGTCAACTATTGAAAACTGTAGAGAACTAATTATAAAACGTTGAGCTCTAGATGAATAAACTCTAGTTTAATTCCAAAGAGGAGGATAACTGAGGTTACCTGGGTTTACCTCCCACTGCACCCCCGCTCCGTAGCTCTCTCACAGTCAAACAGCTGGCTAGCTAGTTAACCTATTTACCTGCAAGAGAAGGAAACAGTGGTTTTACAGGTGACAGGTGATCGGCCCCTGTAGATGAGAAGATCAATACCACTCGCGTTTGTACTGTAAATGTGAAGATACAGCCAGGAGACAGCTAGCTAGGATCTGTTGATTTTCTCATCTAACTCTGCAAGAAAGCTCATTTTATTTCCTGAAATGAAGTATTCATGTGAAACCCTGCAGGATGGTTAGACGTTGCTGACTTTGTCCTTCGTTTCGTGCAGACGTGCTGTGTTTCGACAACAGCTACAGCATCCTTCAGTCCAAGAAGGTGAGCTACAACGTCGAGGTTCTTCCTCCGTCGGACGGACAGACGCAGAGTCCACACAGGCGAGGAGACTAATCCTCCACCCGGATTACAGAAACCAGATTTCTTGTTTACGTCATGTTCAAGCAGAGGTGGTAGAAGTACACACATTCTCTATGCAAATAAAAGCACAGATGCTTCTTTACTCAAGTAAAACTGAGAAATAACAGGTTACTCAGAGTGTAAAAGTACTCTGTTGGTGTCTCTGAAGGACGTTTATGTGCAGACTGAAACTACAAATAGGGTCGAGTCTCCTTCTTTTTTGTCTTGTTACCAGTCTTAATGTTAGGAAGATGTGCAAAGATGCCAAAAAAACAAACAAATAAAAGTTCAGTAATTCCCCTAAACATTCATCGACATTAAAGTAACAAGCCTGTTTCTTTTTTGTAAAAAGTTATTTTATTTGATCTGTTTTTTTGGTATTTTTATTTTGCCACCTGGTTCCATTATATTGGCTATATTGACTGATTTTGGGGTGAACTGGAGAAGTTAAACCACCAGAGGTCAGCGAAAACAAGAATTTGAAATGTTAAGTTACTCATTTATTTAGGAAAACACAAGATAAACTGAATCAATCGATTAGGGCCCTGTCAGTGGTGCATACAGTATCTGACACACCATGGATGGACCTTGTACACCAACAAGGAACCGGCTCCGTGGGGAGAAGTGCGGGTACTGACTAATGCAGGTGTGGCGTGAGGTTCGGGTCTCAGCTTTAAGAAGTCCAGCACAGTTTCTGGACCCCAGTGTGCAGAAATATTCAAATATACTCGGAGAAAATAACTTTTATACCACATGCAAAACGCTACGCTGGATTAGCATGAAGTGTCTGCAAAGGGGAGACTCGTGGGTTCCCATAGGACCCATTTTCATTCAGATATATATTGAGGTCAGAGGTCAAGGGTATGCCTTTGGGCATTCCAGTTTTTCCATCACCAAAATGTAGCCTAATTCTGGAGCGTTATTTAGCTTCTCTTTCCCAACATGCTATCAAAGCACTGTTGGTACCGATGGATGCGTTTGGTCTTCTAGTTTCATATGATATCACTTTAATTAAGATTATTTAAAAAATAACGTGTCAAAAAATGTATTTACTGATCTGTTACGTCCAAACAAATATTGATACATGTGATCGTTTGCAATTAAATCATTTATTTATTAAACTTCTGGCCACCAAGTGAATGCGTCTCTAGATCCGAACCACTGCGACAACAAAGACATAAAGATTATTTTACATTTCAAACCAGAACCACTTGAAATGTTTAAGCTCCTCATTTAATGTTGAAGCTTTATCATGTTTTTTATAATTGAATCTAAAGACTGTATCACTGAATAATCGACAGAATCGCTGACAGAAGGAGCGACGTTACTCTCTGAGGTCATTTATCAGAGTGTGTTCGATGTTAATTACGCTGCTCGTGTTGTTCGATTCGGCCTGAAAATGAGCGTTAACGTGCTGAAATGAAGGATGTTGATAATAATCTGATATGAAACCATTATGAAGTCATTATGATGACAGACTTGATGTCGTAAAAACAAGATGATTTATTTTTAATTTATGAAAACTCTTCAGTTACATGTTTGTATATTAATGTTACTCGTAATAAAGGCGGAAATTGTGTCAATAATTGTCTTTATTGTATCACAGGAAACAATAATCTGCCTCACAGCTGTATTTATTGCATCATAGTACAACAAAATCACAATATCAGACATTAGAGGAGATAATTGATCCCTTAAACACACAGTAAAACACACATTTACACACAATCAGATGTATTTATGACGTGTGTTACTCCCCACTAGGGGTCGCCAAAGCTTCACAGGGTGTCGCAACACCTTCTTGATTTTAAAGGACGTAAGAAAACTTTAATATTCTCTCCATAAAATCTGATCCAGTTTCACCCAATCACTGATAAAGTTGTGTGTTTGTACAGTAATCAGTGAGCTTTTCATTACGCTTACGTGTCTCCTCGCTTCCATTCCCTGTTCCTCGTCTCCTCCAGGTGCATTTAAAGGAGTGTTTCCCAACCTTTTTCCTTGAGGGACTCATTTCTGTAGTAAACTGTCAACCTCTGTTTAGGTGACATATTTGATGGATATTTCTATATTTATATTAAAAACTGATCAATGAACCCAAACAGTGAACTCAGTAACTGCAGGAAGTTTGTGTAAAATTTGTGATTTGGATGAATTTTGAGCAGATTATTTCCTGTTTAGGGAACTTTTTATATAATTCTGTCTGTATTATGTGTTTTTTAATCATTTTTAACAATCATACAGACTTAAAGGCTTCTTTTATAATACATTATGTGTTTTTATTGTCCCTGACGTTTCACCGTTGTTCTGTTAGATAATTTACTTCACCAAAACCTGAGATATCGGCCGACTGTGTATATATTAGCTCTGAGTGGTTCACTCACGCTGTAACCTCCCAGGGGCCCTGTCGTCAGTCACTGTGTGCACTGAGGGCCCCCCGGTGTTCAACCTTCTCCAAGGTCACTCGTCACACTGAGACTCTGAGGCCTCACTGGGCCGTAATCCACCTTCAGTCCTTCACAGTGGCAGCAGAAGGTGATGGAGGAGGTGTGTCTGGAATAATAAACAACAACCAGCACAAGGAAATAAAAGTAAATCAGTATGAAAGGTTCTGAATCCACGTATCTCCTCCCTCTCTGTTCCAACACGCTCCAGTTCTCTGATCAATACCTCGGCTGACAGTTATTCTAAAGATAAACCGATCAGATCTCCAGATTTTATTGTTCTTATCGTTTGTTTCTTGTTTTGTTTGTGAACTGAAATGTGCTTTATAAATAAATGTGCCGATAGATAGAAAGAAACATTCAGCATCGACACATCTGGAGTTACACGTTGTAATTTAATCTTATTTAGTAACTAAAGCTTTAATTGTATTAAGATGTAGTAAAAAAAGTTATATCTTTACTAATATTTACTGTTGGAGTAGAAATATAAAGTAGCAGAAAGTTGTGCTTGAGTTAGTTTAAAGTTGGGATATGTACATTACATAGAATAATATTATTATTAATAATAATGATAATAATAACTTAATAAATAAAGTTGTATAAAGTGTAAATATATGTATGAAGTCATTTAATGAAACCTTTTGACCACCAGGTGTCAGTGTAAGCGAGGACAGAGGGAAATGTTGTTATTGGCTGAATTACATAACCACTAATCACTGAATATTAGGACCTAATAATAATAAATATAGACGGTTAATTAACAGTGTAAATACATCTGTTTAATTAAATGGTCAAACTGCTGCTTTAAAGAGGATATCGCTCCCATTTAAAGCAGCAATTTAATTAAAAGTAAAATAAATTCCTTCACAGAGACATGCAACTTATATTATTATTGTTGTTGTTGTTGTTGTTGTTGTTGTTGTTGTTCAATCCAGCTGCAGAGCTCTGTGGAGAAAGTGCTGAGTATGTGCAGCCTGCAGGTCGGGCTCGGTGCCAGAGGGATGCTGCAGGATGAGGATGAGGGGAGGAGGGGGGAGGATGAGGGGAGGATGGGGGAGGAAGAGGAGGAGGATGGGGGTGCACAGAGGCCATGTGCCTTTACATAACAGCTGCTGGCTCCGGATACAATTGGATGAGAAACCGCTGTCCACAGCAGCAGCAGCAGCATCCCTCCGCTGTGTGCCGCATTGCCCCGAGCATACAATAACAAGGCCACCGAGGGAGGGAGGGAGGGAGGGATGGGGGGGAGTGCAGGGTGACGCAGGGTGCATGCGTAATGTGGAGACTTCACTTACTGCAGCGTTCAGCATCAAAACATCAGCTGTTTGTGAGGAGAGTGTGTTTATTAGCTCTACCTGTCGCTGTCCGGTAGGCGGTGATAACGGAGGGGGGTGGGGGGGTGTGCGGTGGGGGAGGAGGGAGGGAGGGAGGAGAGGAGGGAGAGAGGGAGGGGGGGCGGAGCCGCTCGGACAGGAGTAAATGACGTCAGCCCCCAGGTCGCCGAGCAGTGAAACAAACATGGCGACAGAATGGAGCGGGCAGCAGGGTTACATTCTCACTGTCATTATCTTCCTGTGGAGCGCCGTCGGTGGCCGCACCGAGACGGCGGCGGCGGCGGCGGCTGCGGGGAGCGGGGTCGGCGGCGGCGGGGGCGGCGGCGGCCGGGGCAGCGGCGGCGGGAGCCAGGTGCTCGGCATGCGGCTGGAGAGGAGCGACAAGCCGTCCAGCACCAATGACGACGGTGTCATCCAGGTGACAGAGGAGAGCACCGTGCAGCTCCGGTTTTACGGGGTGCAGCTCCACTCGGGCGCCTGGACTCAGATCCGCTTCACGGAGCTGGCGGACGGCGGCGGCGGCGGCGGGGAGGAAGCGGAGGATGAGGAGGAGGCGGCGGCGGCGGTGAGAGGCGGCAGCGGCATGATGGAAGCACCGGACAGGACTTGTGTTGACTTCACGAAGGACATCAGCGTCGGGACCTTCATGAACGTGAGCAGTCGGGGCACGTCGGGGCTGCTCACGGTGCACATTAAGCCGCTGCGCAAGAGCGAACTGCGGAAGGAGTACGCGCTGTGCACGCCGAGCGCGGAGGGCGGCGGGTGGCTGCTGCTGGGGGACAGTGATGGCAGGTTGCTGGTGGTGGAGGAGAAGAAGTCCCTGCTGCCCATGTGGCTGCAGATCATCCTCATCGGCTTCCTGCTGGTGCTCTCCGGGATGTTCAGCGGCCTGAACCTGGGGCTGATGGCGTTGGACCCCATGGAGCTGCGCATCGTCCAGAGCTGTGGCACCGACAAGGAGAAGAACGACGCGAGGAAGATCGAACCCATCCGGAGCAAAGGGAACTATCTGCTGTGCTCTCTGCTGCTGGGGAACGTCCTGGTGAACACCACCCTCACCATACTCCTGGACGACCTCATCGGCTCGGGTCTGGGCGCCGTGGTGGCCTCCACCATTGGGATCGTGATCTTCGGTGAGATCGTCCCGCAGGCGCTGTGCTCCCGCCACGGCCTGGCCGTGGGCGCCAACACCATCATGGTGACCAAGTTCTTCATGTTCCTCACCTTCCCGGTGTCCTTCCCCGTCAGCAAGCTGCTGGACGTCCTGCTGGGCCAGGAGATCGGCACCGTGTACAACCGGGAGAAGCTGGTGGAGATGCTGAAGGTGACAGAACCCTACAACGACCTGGTCAAAGAGGAGATGAACATGATCCAGGGCGCCCTGGAGCTACGCACCAAAACCGTGGAGGACGTGATGACGCCGCTGGGCAACTGCTTCATGATCCAAGCGGACGCCGTGCTGGACTTCAACACCATGTCCGAGATCATGGAGAGCGGGTACACCAGGATCCCGGTGTACGACGACGAGAGGTCCAACATCGTGGACATCCTCTACGTGAAGGACCTGGCCTTCGTGGACCCGGACGACTGCACCACCCTGAAGACCATCACCAAGTTCTACAACCACCCGGTCCACTTTGTGTTTCACGACACGAAGCTGGACGCCATGCTGGAGGAGTTCAAGAAAGGTGTGTTTGTTATGATGTAACAGCTGATTCCTCTGCAGGTTCCTCAGAGGAATCAGCTGCTGCTCTCTGGTCTGTCTGAGTCCTGCAGCCATCACCCTCTCTCCCTCCCTCCCTCTCTCCCTCCCTCCCTCCCCCCGGCAGCTCTGTCTGCATCGACCGGCATCGGCGGGTGGAACACTGCAACCTACATTTACACATTAATGCAAAAACAAATGTGATGCAAAGTGGAGCAAACATCCAGTCTGAGCACATTTCACATCGTCGGCGGAGGATTTTTCTTCTGTGTGCTGATTCTAAAATCCACTACGAGTAAAAAAAATACTGCATCACAGATGTGGAGACGCTTCATAATAAAGGTTCATATTCTTCAGTCATAGTTAATGGAGGTGGCACCATATGATAAAAACAGGCAGGGAAGTTTATGAATAAAGCATGTTTCAACAGGTCAAAGATAAAACAACAGAATTTAAAGAACCCACTTATAAACATCTAAACAAGCCTTATATTAGGAACATTGGGGATGCAGGATATTGATAACCGATAATTATCTGCTCCTCACGGCCGATACCGATGAGAGTCAGACAATTTTGTATTATATGGATGTTTCTTAACTGTGTTCTAATCAAATCTAACATCAACAAAGTTCATTAAACTAAACATCAAACTTTTATAGAACATAAATCCATTGTTTTGCACAAGACTTCAAAATAAATAAATTATTATTATCACGGGCAGATAATTTAATTATCCTGATCATTTATGATAATATATTACATTTCCTATTATCTGTACTGATAATTATTGTTTATCTCTGCTAATTTTAAGCGTTTTGTGCTTAATTAAGTAGAAATGTTGAATTCAGGATTTATTATTTCTACCCTAAAGATACAACTACTTTTACTTTAAGTAAAATATCTGAGTATTTTCTGTGTGAAGGCCTCGTGAGCGTCTGTAGTTTTTGCAGTGTGTTCCTCACATGGACGCATTAAGGACTGGATACAGCGTTGGAGGCGGGGCTACGTATACTGGTATGGAAGCACGAATCCAGAAAAGATCTCAGAGAGAAAGAGCACGAGAGGCTTCGGCTGGTCGAGCCGCTAACCTCCGGTTTAGTCCTCCGTTAACTTGAATGGGGATAAAACCTTCTTGACTTGACTTTCACAGCCGCTTCTTTCACTGATCATAGACATAATGCTGCTTTTGTTTTTATCTGCAGGACTTCCTTTGTTGTTCTTTGAATGTCGAACGCAGACCGCCGCCCCCTGCTGGTATATGGTATTATTACCTCGCTGCCGCAGTCGGTGCGGCGTGTTCTAGTTTCACTGTTTGCCCGAGACACAAAGCTTCTGTCGCTGTTCTTTGACGTCGGTTCGGTGTCTCAGGGCCTTTATAGGAGGAGGAGGATGTTGAAGTACTCTCGGATTTTGTGAGTTTCATGTCTTCCCAGACCCCGAGGTGGTGGTTTCAGATGTCTTGTTTTGTCCGACCAAGAGTCTCAAACTGAAAAAAATCCGGTTTATAAACTAATGTGACAAAGAAAAGCATCTGAACTTCACATTTTAAAAGCTGGATAGTTAAATATTTGGTATTTTGGCTTGAAATTACTGGTGGAGTATCAAACTAATCACAGATTGTTTCAGCTCTACAGTGAAACAGTGAAACGTTTCCCTCAATTCAAGGTTGAAGCTCTGATGTTTGACCTGCTGCTGCGGGGCGGCTGACCGTGACCTCCGACCCTCCCGTGGAGGGACTGAGAGAGTTCAGTGTGTTCTGATGATGATGATGATGATGATGATGATGATGAGACGTGACTCATCATATGGCTGTTGGCTGCAGCGCCAGCAGGCCTGGTTCTGTGTTTGGTGGCGACAGTGTTGCAGCTGATGTTTGCATGGAGGATGAATCATAACACGGCTCAACATTTGCCAGCCAAAAGAGCCTCGATGTGAACACGGAAACGTTGAGTGCTCCTAAGTTTTGTGTTTGAAATGTTCAGTTCGGGTCCTCGGCATCTAGCATTAGCATTAACACCTATATGGACAATATTTTAGCAACTGATTGGCCGATTTGGACAATATAGGAGTGGTTTTTGGGATTATTGAAGATGCTGAATCCATTTCTGATGAACTCTGAGTCTGTTTCGAGGTTATTTATATACATAATACATAACAACAGCAGCAAAGACACAGCTCAGTGACAAAATGCTGCAGACAATCGACAAGAAATTTAAAGAAATATTACGTCTGAACATTCACACCAATGACGTTGAGCTTTCAGCTTCAGTGTATTGATCTCGTAAATAACCTTAAAATGAATCACAATCAGCCCACTGGGAGTTAAAATATGACCACTCCTGGTTTAAACTGCAGTTTCAGCATCCTCAGTAACCCGAAACCACTCCTATATTGTCCAAACCAGCCGAAAAGTTGCTGAAATATTGTCCATATAGATGGTTATTAATGCTAATAATGCTGATTGCTGGCAGTTTCTATATGCTGAGGACCCAAACTGTACATAACAACATAAAACCCAACATTTCTGGGTTCACTTTGCTGTCAGGTCGACTTATTGCACCGATTCTGGAGTCAAAGTCTTCTTCTATTCTCCAGCTTCTGTAGCTCGGTGCAATCTCTGATTCAGCTTTTTACTTACAGTTTCATGAGGTTTAATTCATATAATGTAAAACAAATCAGAATCCACATCAGTAAATGAAATTAAAACATTTGTTAAAGGTTGAATTTGTGAGATTTTGAACAAAATACAGCAACAGAGGACTATTTGCTGTGTAAAGATATCAGAGAAGAATAATAATTGTTTTGTTGCTCTGGCTGCGCTGCATGTTGTTGTGTGTGAGTCTGCCTGTTTGTTAGCAGTGTAACTTAAAGCAGTGGTTCCCAACCTGGGGGTCGGGGGTCGCTAAAGCTTCACAGGGGGTTGTGAGAAAACTTCAGCATTTTATTCATTTCTGTGAAAGAAAACTAAATAAAGTTGTATTTTTCTTTTAAGTTTAGATAGTTTAGATAGTATGTATGATTTTTATAAAATATAAAATACACAATACAAACAAAGAATTGTATAAAAAGTCCCTAAAAATATCAGGAAAACTCATCTCTGATCGATATTCACAGGAAATAATCGGCTCAAATTCATCCAAATCACAAACTTCCTGCAGTTACTGAGTTCACTGTTTGGGTTCATTGTACATTATATCAGCTGTTATTGTTATTATTGAATATAATATGAAATATACATAAAATATAGTCACTTAAAGCATATTTTACTTTTGTAGCGTTTGTAGCATGTATTGTAAAGTTCTTACCACTTTTATTATTATTTGTGTAGTCAAACAAATAAATAGAGCTTCACCAATCTAACTGACACATTAACTGCTTTCCTTCAGAAGAGCATTTGTTGACATTGTTGGTTATTTTTGGACACATGAACACATCACACATAACTGCAGACACACCAGCATCCCCCAAAAACAAACCGATGATGTCGAGTAACGGTGACGGGTTCGCGTCCCGGCAGCCTCTCTCCTGTTCACCAGATAACGTGCTTTTACTCGGCAGTGCTCGTGAACGTCGAGTCGGGTTTGTTACCGCAGACCTGAACGGCGTGCACACTAAGCCTGAACACAACAGTGTTTTTTAATGAGGAGCGCTCAGGAGAAACGGAGCCAGGAGAGGATTAATCTGTTGTTTCTCTTTTTTTTTTTATTTGTCCTCCCTCTTTCTTCTCCGTCTCTCTCCGTTATCTGGGTGTTGGCAGTTCTTCCAGCTCTTTTCTCTCCCAAGCTCTTAGTCCACTCTGGGCTATATTAAGGCATCAATCAGTGCTCCCAGCAGTCGGCATAAATCCACTGACAGATCGAACCGCAGCGAAGCTCTGCCGCCGCCCAAATAAAAACAAGAAAGGATGTTTTCATCTCACACGCGCCGAGTGCGTTTGAAGGCCAGCTGCTATAGTTTGGGAGGCAGCAGCGTGTTTGATGCTGTCCTACTTTCCTCACAGTCAATTTCTTAACAGCCCAGTTCGTGGAGAGTGTAAAAAACACAGTAAAAATACAGTAAAAACACAGTAAAATACTGTAAAACACAGTAAAAAAACACAGTAAAAACACAGTAAAATACAAAAAACCCACTGTAAAACAAAACAAAACACTGTAAAAACAAAACAATCTGTAAGTTTACATGTGTTTTTACATTTATTTTCTAATTTTATTTCTATATTTTTTAATTACATGGATATATTCATCAAATGACCAAGATAGCCTGTGAATTTACCTGTAAAATAACATAAAAATCTGTTAATAATCATAAAAACTACTGTTTATTTAAAGAAAACCTTTTTTTTCACATAATCAGTTAAAATACATTTGCAAATCTGATCAAAATCAAAAGTTTTTATGTAAAATTAAAGCTAAAAACTGTGTTTTAACTGTAGAAAATGACTTTTTATGAGTCAGTTATTTTATGCTATTTAGATTATTTCATTTTTTTCCCTGTATTTTACAAATACATAGAAATATTAATCAAATTACAACAATAGTCTGTGAATTCACATGTCTTATGTAAAATAACATCTGTAACTGTAAATAATCATAAAATTACTGCTTATTTAAAGAAAGACAGTTAAAATACATTTGCAAATCTCTAGTTTTTTCTCAGATATTTACTGTTTATTTAATAGATTAAACTGTTAAATTCAAGTTTATTGTTAATACATGATTTTTAAAATTATGTAAAATTAGCAACAATTAACAGTAAAGAAAAGTGTTTGTTTTGTAATTTTACTTGGATTTGTTTGTTAGATATCTTAATAATTATGTTTATATTAAGTTTTCACAACAGAAATGTTATATAATTGTTGTTTATCAGTGTATACGCATTGGGCAACTGTCAAAATACAGTTTTTATCAGTGTAAACAACAATAATTACTGTAATTTTACAGATAACGACTTTTATTACAGTTCTATAACTTTTCAAATTCAATCAAATAATAACAGCACTCTGCTGTAAGCCTGATTATTTGTATTATAGCAGTGTTTACCTGTATTTGTAGCTCATTTCATTGTTTTTACAATGTAAATATATTTAATTTAACATTAAAAAGCCCAAAAATTAGATTTTATGTCAAATTAAAGCTAAAAACTGTAAATTAATCATCGTTTCTGTTATTTTACTGTATTTTTTTGGCGCTCCCGCTGTTGGATTATTACCGTTTTTAATGTTATACGCCTTCAGCAGCGCAGTCATGGTTGGTTGTAACCTTCAGGTGATCTCTGTCCTCTGCAGGTAAATCCCACCTGGCCATCGTCCAGAAGGTGAACAACGAGGGGGAGGGAGATCCTTTCTACGAGGTGCTGGGATTGGTCACCTTAGAGGACGTCATCGAGGAGATCATCAAATCAGAGATCCTGGACGAGTCTGACCTTTACAGTGAGTCAGCGCTGGTCTGGCTGCCGGCCACGGCACAGATACGACTGTCCTTGTCACACACGCACACAAACGCGCACACACACACACACACACACACACACACACACACACACGCACACACACACACACTGGATGGTAAACACACTGGTATCTTCATTTACGCCTCTCATAGCTACAAGTTCCTCACAGATATTCTGCCTTTCTGCACAGAAAATCTGCATTTTTCAGGCTCTGTGTTTGTGCTTTTGTGAACACTTTGTATTGATCACACTGTAACAACTACACAACGAAACCAACATGGAACCACTTCTGATTTTCCTTAATTTCCTTCATACTTTTATCCAGTTTCGACATTAAATTTGGTACAAAATTGTCTTAAAAAGTTTTAAATTTAACCTGCAGAAACCCTCTTTTTGTTTACGTGTAAAAACACCAATTTGTAGTTTTACATAAATCCCTGTAACACTCAAAATTGTAGTTTTTGTCCAGATTAAACAAACCAGATATAATATGTGAGTGTTAGAGGTGCAGGTAGGACAGAGCCAAGGCTAGCTGTTTCCCTCTGCTTCCAGTCTTTATGCTAAGCTAAACGTCCGGCTGTAGCTTAATATTAAGCCAACACAGAGTCTTCTCAAACATGTATGACTTAAAATCCCTCTCCAGACCTCCAAAGCTCATTAATTAACATGTTAATGTTGTCACCATGAACAGTCAGCAGAGGCTAGATTTGTTTTAACTTTAGCTCTGCGGTGCTGATCTTTCTCTCTCTCTGCAGCTGACAACAGAAACAGGAAAAAGGTTGACTCGAATAAAAACAAGCCCGACTTCTCAGCCTTCAAGCCCGACGCTGACAGTAAAGTGAAGATCTCTCCTCAGCTCATGCTGGCGGCTCATCGTTTCCTGGCTACAGGTGAGCTCTCAGGTGGCGGTGGCGGCGGCGGCTAATCTCCCAGCGAGCTGCCGTCATTCAGCACACTCTGGTGGATTAACACTGTGCGACTGATACCTGCTGACATTCACTCATTTTGATGGTCGACTGTATTTGAGACTAAAAGGAGTTTTTAACTGTAAACAGTATCAGTTTAATTCTGATGCCTCTGTATGAGCTACAGAAACAAACACGGCCATCAGAGAGAAGATGTTTTCTATATTGTTATTCTTAGCGGTAGAAGCACTACCGCGGTTGTCCACAGGGGGCGTCAGAATCAACACAAAGCTACACCTGGATCAGGTATTAACGTGGCACAATCTGACCTGCAGAAGCAAGTCGATCCCACCAGTTGCAGGTCGAGAGCAGCACGGAGACAGGAAAACATTCAGTTGAAAAACAGTAATATGGAAAGGCTTTGTCAGCGTATTTCATGATGTCGCACATCCTGTTGTGTTCAGTGCTACGTACAGGAAGTTGTTCTTTCATAACTTGGGCATTTTTCTACGTATCAAATTCCTTTATTCAACATTTGATTGGGACCGTCTGTAACGTGCAAAGTTTCATGCAGATCAGAGTCACCGCCTAGGACGAGTTAAAGAAAGTAGCTTTAGGGGAAAAGATTGTGTTATTATATCTGATTATATTATATGTAAATGGGCGTGGCTTATGTCACGAGATGCAGCTCCATTCAGGGAACGCGTGGATATAAAGTTTTTGAATGTGCGATGTACTGTGTGGGAGTTATGTTACGTACACCACGTAGTTCAAAAAGATCGATTCGTTTATGAAATTCCAACTGAATGAAAGCGTTGTGTAGAAGAAGAAGAATATTTATCAGTAGATGGTAATAAAATCATGTCAGTATGTGTTCTTTATAAAATACAAAACTCCTGGATTGACGTCTTTCTTTTCTTCTGATCCCTCCCCCCCCTCTGGTGTCACCCCTTCCTCCCCCCCTCAGAGGTGACCCTGTTCAGCCCGTTCCAGATCACAGAGAAAGTCTTGCTGAGGGTCCTCAGACACCCCGACGTCGTCCATGAACTCAAGTTCGACGAAAATGACAAACGCTCGCTGCAGCACTACCTTTACCAGCGGGGCAAACCTGTCGACTACTTCATCCTCATTCTGCAGGTACGCACACACACACACACACACACACACACACACACACACACACACACACACACACACACACACACAGGTTAGGATTCCTTCAGTGTTCATGGTTCAGGAGGTTTCTACCGGGAGCCCAATGATCCACAGAGGTCTCCTCCTCTCCAACACAAACAGACCCGCTGATTAAAACCACTAAACACACTGAATAAAGCAGTTCCACCTTAAAAATCACTGCTTCTCCCACGCTGTTGGACAGAAAAAGGACGTCCTGGAGGGGCTGCGAGCCGAGCTGAAAAGTCTCTGAAAATAGAGAATTCAATAGGAAAGATGTGTTTGTTTTGCTGACTTATGGGGTTCAAATATGAGTTGTGCTTATATATTATAAACGTCATTAACGTTGATGGTAGAAACACTTTGAGCAGCTCTGGCGGGTTGAAGGATCATAGTGGAGTCAGATTAGACGACGCAGGTTGACCCGTTTTTAAACAGGTTTATCCCGGGTCACTGCGTCAGTCTGGAGGCGTATTAGCACACATGCTGGTCGACCTTTTAAGACTCGCCTGACTTAAAGAAGTTAAGTGGATTTTTTTTTTAACTTAAACAACTGTGATGCTTTTATTCTTTGTCTTTGTTGACAGTCGTATCAGGTGAATACTGGCAGTGATATTACTCCATTATTCACACGTTTTTTCTTTATTACCTTCATGTAACTAATAATAATCCAACTAACAGTCGATAACCAAAAGATATTCAATTTACAATAACAGGAAACAGAGTAAATCAGTAAATATTTACTTTATTTCAGTTCATTTACTGTTAATTTTCTGTCAGTTAACCAACTGGTTTTGTTCATTTTGGTGCTAAAAATAATCAACATTTATATTAACCTTTAAATAAACAATATTATATATTATATTCCTTCTGAAAACAGTTTTTTCACATAATCTTTCTAAAAGACTTTGTTTTGTCGTATAAATTAGTTTTTTTTAAATTTGACTTAAAGCTGCAGCTAGCAGCGACTTTAACTATCAATTAATCTACTAATTATTCTCTCAATTAACCAATACGTTGTTTGGTCCCTAAAATGTCCGGAAACTGACAGTTACAGACTTCAGGTGTCGGGTTTTGTCCAACTAACCGTCCAAAAAACACAGAAATATTTCGTTTTTTATGATTTAAGACAAAGAAAAGCAGGAAATCTGCACATTAGAGAAGCTGGAACGGTGAACTAACAACTAATTAGTTAATCAGTTAATTGTTTCAGCTCTAATTACATTGTAGGTTTTAATAACCAGTGAGAGAATACAAACATTTTTGTATTGGAACATGTTTACGTGTCGTTATATTGTAAATATTGTCTCCAATATTTGCGCAAAATAAAACCCCCCTGTTGGTTTTGAGCTATAAAGTTTTAATAACCATCCATTATAGTGGAGATACGCTCCTCCGGGGACACGAGTACTCCTTGATCTATGCGGTGTGTCGGAGGGGGCTCCTCGCTCTGCACGACCTTCACTAATAGATCCTCTTACGTAAGAGGGAGACAAATCGAGGGGATTGAAGGGTTAAGGAGGATGGAAAAGAAGAAAAGTAGATGAGAGGAGACGGCGAGCGGCGTTGAAAATCAACAGCGGAGCATATGGAGGGTGAAATAAACCGCAGAGAGGAGGACGAACTGTCAGTAAATCCCTCCTCTGCACCACAACACAGAGGGAAAGACTGCTTTACACTGTACGGAGGATCGACACCGACAAAAATAAATCAATTAATATGTTATTAAATGCACCAAAAATAATATTAAAAATAGATGCAGGCATTCATTAATTTATATAATGTGTTTTAATTTGCTTCTGTTTTTATTAACCTTAAAACCTTTAAATTCCAGGAATCGTTGTTTTCGTTAGTTCAGTGGTTCCCAACCGTTTCTATCGAGTTAACTGACGACATATTTTATGATTATTTGATTTTATGTATAATGCAAAACAATAACAGTAGAGAACAACAGATAAACAAAATAGTTTATGTTAAACAAGCGATTTTAAAGCAGATTATTTCCTGTCAATACTGATCAGAGATAAGTTTTCCTTCTATTTTTATACAATTATTTGTCTGTATTTTGTATTTTAAAAATGTTTAACAATCAAATATATTTAATAGGCTTCTGGTTTTGGAGAAATTCAATGTTTTCTTCTCCTTTGTGTACTTTACACATTACAATTTAATCAAATTAATTCTATTATCCTCACAGGAATGAATATAATGTTGAGATATCGGCTCGACTGTGTGTATTTTTAAAGTTTTCTTACACCTCTTAAATTTAGGAAGGCCTCTCAACCCCCCTGTGAAGTTTGGGGCGACCACTAGTGGGGGTCCCGACCTCCAGGTTGGGAACCACTATCTTAGAATGAGACGTTTTTAATCTATGTCCTCTTCGACGGAGTGTTTCTACAGTAGCCCAGAACAGACAAACACTGGCTCTAAAGAGGGCTTTCATGATGTTGGCTCATTTCATGGACACTGTAGTTCCTCCTTCCTGCGGGGAACTGGCTGTGAAGCGACGGATTAAACCGCGAGCTGCCCCAAACACCTCCAGACTGGACCTTTTAAGTTCTATTTATTTACTTCAGTTTGTTGTGTTGGGTCGTGTTTGAAAGTGTGTGTTTGTACATGGAGGCTTTGTTGTTGACACCTGAGGTGTGGATAAAGTGACTTCAGACACTCAGCGTGCAACCTGAGTGCCGCTGCTCCTCTTCCAGCACTGAAATACATACATACGTGTGTGTGTGTGTGTGTGTGTGTGTGTGTGTGTGTGTGTGTGTGTGTGTGTGTGTGTGTGTGTGGTGTGTGTGTGTGTGTGTGTGTGTGTGTGTGTGTGTGTGTGTGAGGTAAAGAGACACTGGTCCAGAGCACCTGTGGAAGAATGTAATATTTATGGGGCATCAAAGTGTTTCTGTTACCTGCCACAGGAGCTGACTCCAGGGTTTTGCACAGCAGTCGAACTCGAGTGAACACTGTCAGATAAAAGGGCTTATTAGACTAAATGTGTGTGTGTGTGTGTGTGTGTGTGTGTGTGTGTGTGTGTGTGTGTGTGTGTGTGTGTGTGTGTGTGTGTGTGTGTGTGTGTGTGTGTGTGTGTGTGTGTGTGTGTGTGTGTGTGTGTGTGTGTTTCAGGGCCGAGTGGAGGTGGAAGCTGGAAACGAAAACATGAAGTTTGAAACCGGCCCGTTCTCCTACTATGGAGTCATGGCTCTGAGCTCGCCATCACTGGGTGAGACAACACAACAGCACCGTACATACACACTAGCCCCCCCCATTGAAGGTAGTTGTGACACGTTTACGATATTAATTTAATTATTTTAATATATATTTAATATATATAACAGCCGCCTAAACCATTAATATATATTTTGTCAATAATTATTATTTTAACAGCTTATTGTTGTATAACAAAGATGTGTTTATACATTATAGGCCGCCCCCGCACCAAATAAACTTGTGTTTACTACTACATTATAGTGTTATATAAATTCTAAACAGAGGATATTAAATTTAAAAATGGTTGTTATTACACAAAATTAATGCTAAAATTAGAAACTTTTCTCGTAATGACATAAGTTATATGTTGTTCTAGAAATAAACTAAAGGAGAGGATGTTCATCAACTAGAAAAATAGACTTTAGTTTCATACTTTTACATTTATATATATATATATATATATATATATATATTTATCTTGTGGAGGGTCACAGGTGACACATAGACAGTCAATGCAGGGAATTTTTATATCTTATAATTTGAAAAGGAATTTAGAGAGTAATTTTCCCGTCAAGGAAACACCTGGAAATTTATTAAAATGACGAAAAAGCTTTTAATATTTTATGTTGTTCTGGAAAATGAGTTAACTGTATTTTCCCTCAGATTGCCTACATAAAAACCTGTATTTTGTTTGAAACTCGACTGTTTGAAAGTTAAATGCATCAATACTCGGCCGACTGGTGAATTATATGACCTTTTCTGAGCCAGTACTGTCCTGTATTGTTAAGAAAACCTCTGGAATTGGACTGAAATGAGAAATAATCTGAATTAATCGCAATAATCTGAGACGTTCTCTCTCCGTTTTTCACAAAGTGCTGCGTCATGAGTTGGTAATAAAGCTTTGTGTTTGAAGAGAGGAGTGGAAAAGTCAATAGGCTTAGTCCAAATAGGGAAACACTTAACTGAAGACCGAGCTCTGTTTCTCTTTTCCCGTCCGAGCCGACGGGTGACGCCTGACGGATCGACTGCAGAGACTAAACACACATTGACCCGTTTCATCAGGATACTTTTATCCTGGGGTTGAATTTATGAGAGATTGTAAACACACAAACAGCACATTTCTATTTATTTTCTTTTGTTAAACATCAATCTGACTTTTTATTAGAGGTCGTTATTATTGGATGTTAAAGGGATAGTTTGGGTATTTTGAAGTGCGCCGATTGGAAAATTCTAAGCCGATATTGATGTTTTTTTGTTGTTATTTATTTGCTCTTTTGTGCCGGGAAACATAGAAATCTGCATCTGGATACAGACAGGATGGTAAACTTAGGTGAGGCTAAAAAAGTCCTCAAAAAATAAATAAAAAAACATTAAAAAAGACCTTGGTGTCAGACAACCCTTTCTGTAACATCGGCCACCAGACTCCTTTAACAAAAACAGTAATTTTACCGAGCAGGACACAGGAGTTCCTGGTCTACCACTGCCTCAGTCTGCAGCAGCTAAAACACCAAAGTCAGACAGAAACACAAACAATCAGACAGAAACACAAACAATCAGACAGAAACACAAACAATCAGACAGAAACACAAACAAACTAAACGATGGAGGCAGCAGTAGTTTAGGCGTTCTGCCAGGTAAAATTATTGTTTTTGTGAATGGAGTCTGGTGGCGTTGAAGAGAGCAGTCTGAGTCTGTCTGAAAGATAAAGTGGTGAAAATACTCTCAATAAATCGTATTGATTTTTCTTTCTAAGTAACTAAAATACATTTTAATGCTTCTCCAACCTGACTATTGATAAGTACCTTCCATAACTTCAACTCCTATTTCAAAAAAACCCAAACTATTCCTTTAATTCTGTCTTTTTTTTTTAACCACACACTCTGAGGACCCGTGGAGGATTAGCTTCACTCTGCAGGTGTAAAATGAGGCAGGTGTTGGATGATGTAAGCCTACCTGAGAAGGCCTCAGTGGTGTCATCCTCACACTGTAACCCTGCTGCTGTGTTACCGACTCACTGTAACACCGGTGACTCCTAGTGGTTCAGCGTCGTAACTGCATAACTCTTCTTCTTTTTCTGTCCTGTCTTCCTTCCTGTTTCTGTCTCTGATGAACTGCTGTCTGTACTTTATGTGCACATTATGCAGCTCTGTGTGTGTGTGTGTGTGTGTGTGTGTGTGTGTGTGTGTGTGTGTGTGTGTGTGTGTGTGTGTGTGTGTGTGTGTGTGTGCAGTGTCAAACATTTCTCATCCTGAACGCCCCCGTTTATAATTTCTGTCTCTGTTGGAAAAATCAATCCGATTTTCTTTGATATTTTAAAACCACCAATGTGATGGATGAGATATAGAGACAGACAGTAAGATGTGTTATTATTGTTATTATTAGAGATTTTTGGGTTATTTTTTGCTTCCATAACATGTTGTTTGTTTTTGTTTTTCAGATTAATGGAAAGAAAACACCTAAAAATACATATTTATTTATTGTTTAACCAAAAGTTAGCGTTGGATAATTGTCTTGAGTGTCATGTTGATATCGATCAGTTATACTTTTGACTTATAATGACTCTAATACGTCAACAAAATCAAACAATATTCAGGTTTCTGTACGTAAATTACTGCATTTTTAATGAGATAATGTATCATTTGTATTCTTGTAATACAAACAAACTATTGTCTTAATGTAATTAATCCACTAATGGTAATTTATTTATTAAATTATAGATAAATGTCAGTTTTCTGCTTACTGTGCAGCTCGTCTGCCTCAGTTAGGACAGCAATTACCTGAAGATAATTATTGGAAGTTTATCAATTATTACCTTCCTGCTAATTTTTATTATTGTCATTTCCTTTTGTTTAGGAAAATGTGGGAATAAAATAACATTTTACTATAAAACTAATACACATTTAAAGCTTTAAAAGCCTTTAATAACCAAATATTAGGGATCTTTTTCAAAGATTTTAGATTTTAGATGTTTAAACTTTCAAAGATTGATATTTGTATCAGGATTAATGATCCAGTATCAGGATTAATGATCCAGTATCAGTCTGAACTCCAGCTGTTACCAGTAAAATAAGCTCACAAGTCAGATTTCTTGCAGAAAGTTGCATTTTTAATGACCCAGAACTTTTTATGAACACTGAATTTTTCATGTCAGAAGTCCCATTGAGAACTGGACGATATATAGAGCTGGCTCTGCTTTTTGTCTGCTGGTTTAATTCCTGCATCATCATCATCAACATACAAACAAAACTCAAAGTGTTACATGTTCGCATCGTATTTGGCACTTGGATCTATTTTGGAAAACACTGAGATGAGAGAATTTGATTGTTTTTGTGCAGAAGATGCAGACGTAGAATCGCTTAAAATGTCAATGAGGTTTTGAATGGAATCACGAGCCGAGCGCCTTTTTCTCCCTAGAGTCAGCCCCAGAGGTTCATTCTGCAGGTTGTTTTGTTGAAGTTAGACAATTAGAAGAATCAGCTGTTGTGTCTTTTGAGTAAAAAATAAAAACCTCCTTTTGATTTTTAAAGTTTGACTCCTGAAGGGAATAAAAAGCTCGGCGGCGCAGTGGGACTCCGGCAGGTTAAAACTGAAAGGAAAAACAAATAAAACCAGCTCATCTCTCTCTCTTTGCCTCTTCCTCCTCCCCTCGTCCTCCTCCTCTCTCTCAGCCGTCACCCCTCCTCTCTCCCCATCAGTGGCGTCCCCCCCTCCACGACGCCTCTCTCTTAAGAGGTTTTCTCTGTTCACTCGTTTCCCAGGTAAACACTCGCATGGGCCAGAGGAGGGAGGGAGCGGGTTCCCTTTAAAAGCCAATGTCACCATTTCCCTTTTTTGTTTTCATCATCTTCAGAGCCCTGATCCAGCAAGTACAGACCCGGAGTAAATACAAGAAGTTCAGGCTTTTGGCAGTTTTACAGTTCAATTAGATTTTCGGCACTTTTTTCTGCTATTTGAGGAAAAAACACTGCAACTTTTGACCCTTAAAATGTATTTAAATTGATAGTTTGAGCTGTTTGACAGGTATAATCATTGGAAATTGTTCAATAATAATGCTGATATGATACCTGAGTTTCAGTACATTGATCAAAACTACAGTTTTTTCTCTTTTTTTGCAAAAAGCAGTCAAATATTGTATAAAAACAAACTTTTTTTTTTGCCTAAAACTGTTGATTTAAACCAGAATCATCTGAGAATTTTCACTGTAAATTTACAGTAATTAAAATTCTGTATTTTTTACAGTTTCTTCTAGAAATAAAATGGCAGTCCAATACTTTAGTCTTGTACATTTACAACAGTACTGGTCACAGTTTTGACAGTAATTTACTGTATTAGTTTCAGTTTAATTAGTGTTTATACACTCTGGTCCTTTAAATTGATAATTGTATGAAAGAGGAGAAAAGAACGAAACAAAGAAAATAAAAATAAGTTTATTCAGGTCTAGTTTTCTGTTGTGTTGTGAAATATTTCTATTTTAATAATTATTTTAAATGGAACTGCAGAAGGAATATTTAATGTAATTATTATTATTATTATTACAGTAACATTCATTACACTGTAATAAACAGTAATCTACTGACAAAAGTGACATCAAAATATTTATCGATTAACGTTCCATCGATCAACTGTTTGATTATTATTATTGATAGTTTCAGCTCAGGTTTGACGGTCTGTCATGTGACCCGTTGGATCACGGCGTCCTCTGTCAGCAGACATCAGACTTGCTGGACGGGGCTCTCGGCGTGCCCCCCCGATTTCTAACCGCCTCCTCCCCTTTAACCACGGATCTGCCGATCTGACCGCAGACCTCTGGTTGAAGGAAGAGTTTGACCTTTTGAGAAAAATTACTTATTTTTGTTTTCTTTCTTTCTGAGAGTCAGATGAGAAGATCGATTGGTTGCACAAAGAAGCCGATAGTATTGATTGTTATGGAGAAATTAGCCGACTTCTCAGTTGATTTATGAGCTCAGTAAACAGTTTCATCATCATGCTGTATGGAAGAAGACTGAAACTAGAGACTGAGACCAGAAACTCATCAGGAAACTGTTTACTGAGGGCATAAATCAACTGAGAAGTCGACTCATTTCTCCATAAGACTGAATGGTAACGGAGCCGCCCCTGCTGGCCGTTACAGAGATTGCAGGTTTAAGACACTTCAGCGTTGGCTTCACTTCCTTAACGCCGAACGGTTCTCCACAAACCAATATGTGACGTCACGATACTCAGTACGGACGTGAGAGCGACATCGATCTTCTCGTTTAACTCTCAGAAAGAAAGAAAAACAAACAAGAGTTTCCCCCAAAAGGTTGAACTATTCCTTTAAACACAGATGTTTCTCGCACTTTAATCTCCTCCGACTGAAGTTTCTCTGATCATCACCGACTCTCTCTCTCTCTCTCTCGCTCTCCCCCACCTTTTCACACAACCCATAATAGGATGCTCCTCCCACCCTCCATGACATCCCTTAAAAACCCGGCCAATGAGAAGCAGGTTCTTTCCTCCGAGCTTCGGGGGCAGCCCCCCCCCCCCGCCACGGCCACGAAAATGCCTCAAACGATGCACTTTGCCTCATCGCATGGCATGTTTGTCGCATTCTTTGCATAACGAACACAGCCTCACCTCACCTCATCGATCATAGTCGATCTATGATGCCGACATTAATATACGTGTTTGTGTGGCGTGTTGCGGTGTGTTCTTGCTCTCACTCATCCACCATCATTCACATTTCTCATGTTTTCATATTTATCCTGTTGTTTCTCGCTGTGTTTTCTGCTTCTGTTAATGTTTAAGAGAGAGTGTGTGTGTGTCCTCTCTCTCTCTCTCTTTCACTCACTCTCTTTCTCTGTCGACCCCCCCCCCCAACCTTTTAGAGTTTCGTTCCCCGTCACATGCGGGCAACCTCAACCGCTCGGCGTCCCTGAGCTGCACTGAGCGCGCTCCAGAAAGTGGCTCTGTCGGTGGGAGTGTCACTCAGATCCCGGGCACACCCTTCCAGTACATACCAGACTTCTGCGTACGTGCTGTCACAGACCTCCAGTTCGTCAAGGTAACGCTCAGTTTCACTAAAGTACCAGTTGGCCAACTCCACTGCATTCAGACAGGGCGGGAGAGGTACTCAGATACTTTGATTAAGTAAAAGAACCAATAGATTTATGTAAAAATACTCCAGAAAGCACCAAAAAGTTCTTAAAGTATCAGGAGTAAAAGTACTTATTGTGCAGTTAAATGTCTCTGTGACTGATATCTGACTCTATGTGACATTATTAGATCGTGTTTCTAGAGTTACCTGTTTTTATGGACACGTTGGGAATTGTTAAAATTTAATATTTCTTAAAGGGAGTTTGGTGCAGGGAGATTTTAGTTCAATTCAAACTGATAATATGTGTCATTGTTTACATTTTGTCTCCACTAATCAAACATTAGGTAACTGTTAAAGTCTGATAATGTTGTCTGACTGTTAGTTAGTACTTTGATTAATGGTTTAATAATTAATGTGTGTATTGATTACTGATGCTGGCTGATCAGGCTAATTGTCAACTTATTGGACTTAAATGGTTTCCCTTTGTGCTTGTTTCCAAGCTACTTCCCTAATTAAACGCGATGTGGTTGTTATTAATGACTGCTGATGTAGTTTTTCACAATGACTTCAAGACTCCCAGTTAAAAGACTGACAGTACCAGGTTCTCAGACCAGAACACTACAGCCAGACCAGACTCCACTGACAAAACCAGTAACTTTACATTGCAGATAATCATAAAACTCACTAAAACTGTCTTTGTTAGTCTTTCCAACTCTGGTTAATTGAGAATAAAACCTTAATTCACTGAGTTAGATGAGGAAAGAGCTTCAGTACGTCCACTAAAAGACCAATCAATGTTTTGCTCCTCAGATCACGCGTGCTCAGTACCAGAACGGCCTCCTGGCGTCCAGGCTGGACAGCTCACCGCAGTCTCCAGACGGCAGTCACACTCGCCTGGACACGTCTGTCTCTTTGCCCCCTGTGACGCCACCGGGGACCCGCAACCCACTGCCGCTGGCCACGCCTCCCGTGAGGCGCCAGCTGTCTAACACTCAGCCGCCGCCGCCGAGCAGCCGTACCTCTCTGCCCCCGACCTCCTCTGGCCGCAGACCGAGCCAGTCTTTGCCACAAGCCACCCCCCCTCCGAGCAACCACAACCCGCTCTCCCAAACCTCTCCGTCCTCCATGAGTGCAGGCGCCTTTAACCCCCACCCACCTCAGACCGCCTCCTCCAAGCCCCAGCAGCCCCCGCCCTCTCCCAGCCCCGAGAACGGGCCAGGAGAGACCACCACTCTGCTCAGTGAGCAGCAGAACTGTGTGGGTCCACGCAAGCCCAGCCACACCCAGGCGCACCCCCACCCTCACGTTCACACCATCAGTCACGCACACACTGAAAGCACCATCTAACAGAAAAGGGGGGGGGTTAAACTACCTGTGCACTCACTCACATAACACACACACTCTCGCACTACTTCTTGTTTGCTCGTTGTCTCGTCCGAGGGATCAACGGAGATCCTCCATGATCCCTTCCTGCATGTCCCCCCTCCCCACACTGAGAGCGATGGAGACTGCACAGAGGAAGAGGAGGGAGCACCAGAGGGTGTACACGGGGGTTGTGTGTGTGTGTGTGTGTGTGTGTGTGTGTGTGTGTGTGTGTGTGTGTGTGTGTGTGTGTGTGTGTGTGTGTGTGTGTGTGTGCTCTTATAGGATCGGTTCATTCACATTACATTCACCTCGACTGGTGTCTCGCCTTGCAGATGGTTTTAGTTTTACAGGTTTGGAGATTTCTGCCTTCTGCTCAGAGATTAATTCACTAAAGCAGCAGAAACAACTTTCTGTCTGTGAAACAGGTTGCAGAGGAACTACTTTATACCATAACAGTGCCGTCTGTGGATTGTCCAGGTTCACTGGGACCCTGTGGGTAGCTTAAACAGTAGTTGTGCGTTTACGACCTGTAAATAAAGTTCACATCAACTTTCAGCTTAATTGGGAAAAGCTCCAAAATGTCCAACTTGACTCTAACTAATACAGAAGTGCCTGAAAATGAATCAAACATCAGCCAAAGACCGTAACATAAATCCAAATTGAAAGGATAGTGTGTTACACTACGACCATACAGTCATCGATCACAATACGACCACTCGCTAACTGATTACAATAATCTTTAAATAAGGTAAAAGAACAGTAACATCTATGTTACATGCTACAGTACACAACCAACGCTGTGTGTGCTTGTTTAAAAAAAGGGAAGTCCTGTATTTAAGCTTGTTGGCTAACTACAGGATGTAGTAGTGATATTTTAAATGTTCTGAGCACATAAAACTGAAGCTATCTGCAAGGTGTTTTTATTTATTTATGTAATTAATGTGAATTAACCCTTTAAGTCATCACTGGTGAGACATTAACAGATCAGTGTCCCCCTCAACCCTCTTACACAGGCTGCTTTATTTACTTTGCCTCTTACTTTCCATTTATTTGTCCCAAAGAATGAAACTTCCCAAAAAAACTATAAAGTTTAACAAGTCAAGGTTTTTATTTTAATGTGATTAGTCAGTTTGTTTGTGTTTTTTTGGAGTTGGGGCTTTTTATTAAGGCAGAGTGGTGACAGATGAATGAATGAATGAATGAATTGATCTGTCAGTCAATCAGTTCAATTACCAGCAAATGGACCAGATTCACTGTTCTGAGTGAAAGTTAAACAACCATACCAGTGATTTTTTTTAGCCCATTAAATACAAATCGTGGATATTTTAGACTATTTTTGCAAAAAACATGCAGCAGTTTTCTATATTTTTGGACGTATTTTAGCAACTTAAAGCCAAATTTCAGTTTTAATTCCTTTCTGATTGGCATAAAATTCAGTGACACACAATAATGAACATCACGCCATGTCAAAATAACAATAACTGCACATATATGAATAAATTAATGCAGATTTTATGTTTACACAACTTAAACAGATTTATATGGAGTCTGGATTGTACAGTTTCTATTTCATGACTTTCATTTCTTCCTTTAATTTAAAGCTAAAAACTTACTGGAGCTCTGATTGGTTAGTGTCCCAAGAGAGACATCGTTAAATTAAACACAAAATGTAAAAATTAATTATGAAATGATTGATTATGCTATTCCTTTTTTTAAAACACGGTTATTATTAGTTAATCATTTCAAGAATAAGGGAAAATAACTATTAATTGGCTAGTTTCATTATCTTTTTAGCCTATTTGTGCACAGTTTAAATGCATATTTAATTAAAGGAATATCTTTTTTGCATTCATGAATTTATTAACTGATAATAATTCAACTCTGTAGTAAGTCCACTAATTGATTTTCGTGCCCGGCTGCCAGAAAAGTAGAAAATGTATGCATGTGATGGAAAATAATCAGCATTAATATGAACGATTTGTATTTAAGAGGCTAAAATAAAAACACCGGTATGGTCCTATAAGTCAATGTTAGTAGTTAAGGTGGGTGTCTTCCTGACCAAGGCAATATGTTTTAATTTAATTTCCAAGAGTGAAATATTTATTACATTAATTTATATATATATTTATATATATATATATCTGACAATTTGTTTTATATTTTAGAGATTTTATTTATTATTTGCTCTCTTTGGTTCTTGAGAACGCTGCAGTTTGAGTTGAAGGACACGCTGCATGCTTCAGATGACACTAAGTTGCACAGACACTGTTTTATTGTTTGATCCTCACTGTGAACGGAGCTCGCTGCGACGCCGGCTCCTCTTCAACACGAAGGAGCTGGATCTGAAGTTGTGGCAACACTGTGGACTCATTTCAAATCTCTTGGTTGGAAGTTACTCTGGGGTTTTATTTATTTTTTGTTATTGTACGTCTTGGTGCAGGAAGTTGGGTTCATACGTGACATGAAGACCAAATAACCCAGAGAAACGAGCAGTTCAGCTTTCAGCAAGTGTGTTCACAGCACAGTTGGCTGTATTTTTAATTAAATATAATCCGCTTAATGAGGGCATTTCTACATATTCTCTGCACATGACTCCGATTAGTCTGGTGATTTAAAAAAAAACAGACCAAACTCTTTCTGTCGGGGGTTCTGGGCTGTTTTGGTTCTGAGCCGGAGTTTAGAAATACCATAAAAATAAAAGTTGACCGATACCAATCTTATATAATGGAGCAATTTCGGGAAGTTAGCTTATCCACTTTTTGCTGAGAGTTAGACGAGAAGATTAATACTTTTCGTGTTTTGTTAAATATGAAGCTAGAGCTACCAGCCAGTTAGCTTAGCTTAGCATAAAGACTGGAAACGGAGGGAAACAGCTAGCCTGTCTCTGTCTGTGCGCCTCTAAATCTCACTTATTAGCACGTATCTTGTTTAAACTGTACACAAAGAGAAATGTAATTCAGGGTGCATGAGGCCACGTCGTCGTCAGAAATTGTAGCTTTATAAGGTCTTTATGTGTCCGTTCGTGCTGGTATGTTGATATTTAAAACTTTGAACAGAGTTAGCTGGCTTCATATTTAACGTGCAGATATGATATCGCGGTGTCAGATTTAACTCTCTGCAAGAAAACCAACCAAAAACAAACAAACAGATTCTTTAGATAAAGTCTAAAACGACTAAAAATGTGTTTAAAGTCTTTTGAATGTGAACTCCTCCGAGACCAAAGCATTAAATAAAACACCACAAATTGTTGTTTTCACATGTTTTTTAGCATTTTTGTTAGTTTTGTTATCTCTACCTTTGGACAGCTTTAGGCTATACTCTGTTAATTCATGAGCTTAGAGGTAGAGGCTAGCTGTTTCCCCCTGTTTCCAGTCTTTGTGCTAAGCTAAGCTACCTTAAAAGAATATGTTTGGCAAATTCACATTCTTAAACAAGAGTTGGACGAAAGGATTGATGCCACTCGGTTAAATATAGAGCTATAGCTCCAAAACCATTAGCTGAAAATGAGGAGAAAGCTTTGTCCAAACTTTAAAAGTATGCATACAAGTACAAAGTGAAGTTGGCGTATAACCTCCCGTAAAAACACCACAACTTAATCTAAAACTAATCTCCTACCTGTGAGAGTGGAATTAATCTTCTCAGCAAAGAAAACGTATTTCCCCCCCAAAAAAATGTCGAGCTGTTTTCTTTAACCTGTAGCTGTTTGTTAACCTTTGAGCTGGCAGCAAGACCCCGGGGGTTAAAGTCCGACACTTGAATACTGAAAACACTCACAGCACAATAACTTATGAGATTTAATGGACAACAAACATTCCACTGCATGTCTTCACCCTGTTAACTGTCCAACCCCAGGCCTGAACGTGGTTTCCTCTGCCTGGGTTCCTCACTATATGTACGTATTGTGTGTAAATGTCCAAGAGTCCAGAGTTTGGTTGCGTTCCCGCGGACTGACGACGCAGCGATAAAGAGATTAAAGACGATTGTAGCGGCTCCCTCCTCGCTGCTGGCATGTAATCTACCTGTTCCCCCCCTCCTGTGTATGCAGTGAAACATTTTACTGTAAAGACGAATTATTTTGTCGACGATATAGTGATTTATTTGAAAAGATAAAAAAAAAAAGAACTGTCGTATAAGCTAGCACTGATTTGAAAACACTTTTAAGCTTGTGAGATACGTAGCGTTTAAAATATATATATATATATATTCCAAAGCATTTTCTCCTTTTTGTGGAACGATTTCCGAAGTGAGATCAAAAGCTGGATTAACAAGCAGGTTCTCTTGCGTGTACAGCTGGTTTGTGGTAAATTTGTTTTATTTAAAAACTAAAGAGGGCATATGCACCACTAAAGCCCAACTGTTCGGGGTACCTTGAGGTCTTGAGGTGTCAAAATCTTTCCTTTTTTTTTTTTTTTTTAAAGACCTCCATTGTTTTCAGTTGTGTGCGTACTTGTTGCATGTTGCTACATTTATTTGTGCTTTACCAAATTACCACACAGCAAACCGGGAGGCCTGAGGCAATATTCCAGCATAGGAATACCACACACAATGCACAGAGAGTGGGAGGGATGTGGCGGGTTAATGTGGGGGGCGGTGGGGGCCCCAGCAGCTCATATTTTTTACCCTGTGGGAGAGGTAGCCCCCTCTAAAAGGTAAATCCGGCCATGGAGACGATCGGCACTGTGTAAAAACTCAGATGAAGGAGCAACCTGCAGATATATAGCGGATATAGCCTTACTCTCTATTTGAAGGAAGTTTAGACCTGCCTGCTGGTTCATATAGGTCTCGTGTAGCAATTGGTCTTATACTGGTTCTCCAGTGGAGCCACTGGTTGGCTGTGTGACTACCAGTTTGTGTACTGAGAAATGTGAAAACAAATGTTCTACTTATTAATGTTGTATTTATTGTAAACATTGTATTTATTGTTGGGGTTTGTTTGTTTTTTTGTTATAGGCGTGCACCTGAAGGTGTGGTTCTGTGAAACGGGCTTCCAGCTTTTATTGGGTCAATTCACCCAGAAACACTGTGTTCAGCTCCCTGATTGCTGTTTGAGTTATATTACTGTAAATACTCTGTACATGAAGACACAAAGGGGCGTTTATGTGATGAAAAGAGATGAAAATGGCTCTATTTATAACGAGAGATATGTTTTATGTTCCATTGTTTTTGCTAGGAACGCATTAAATAGCAATAAACATTGCACAGAGTTGACCTCAAATAATAATTCCTCCCATCTTCTGTAGCTTCTGTTTTTATTTCATTAGATAACCAAAAGCTTTATTTCTCAGCCAAAATCCTCGTCTATCTTTCTCTTTCCCATCCTCCCCCGTTCCTGTCATCCTTTGCCATCCTGTATCTTCCCCCCTTTTTTCTCTCCGCTCCTCCCACGCTTCCGTCTTCCTTTTCCCCTCATCTATTTTTCACCCTGCCCTTATCTCGAACTCCTCTCCCACCGCTCACAAGTATTGAAATTCCTCCGGCTGCCTTTGACTGCCGGTTCCCAAACTAAGCCTATTTTATTGTTCAGACCTTTTCTTTTCTTTTTTCTACCATGGGACTGGAAGCAGAGGAGGAGGCGGTGGAGGGGAGGGGAGGGGGGAGCCAGGGCTTATCAGCAACTCCTGCGGTGTTGTTTTTAGCCCTGCGGCGGTGTGATGATTAGACCTGTACGAAGGTTAAATATTTTCTGGTGCAGGGCTCTCGTTGGCCGGGGAGGTTTCCACACTGTATCATTCACAAGTCAGATTGTTTGAATTGTTTTGGATGTGGATGCGATGCAGAAACAAACAGGAGAGGGAAGAGTAAAGCCCCGCAACATGTTTTTACATCTACTATCATCATTCTCAGATGTATTTAAGGTTAGAATTGATTGCGTACAAAGAGATCAGGAGGTAATTATCGAGTTTTTACGATCATTTAAGGACCTGGAATACAAAATAAATTACTTTTCATGAACTTGAGATAAAGTTCTTTTCCCCAGGGCTCGTTCAGTAGAGGTGTAAATCCTGTTTGTCAGGTTTTAACATTCAGATTCAGACGGCTTGTGACTCTGTTTGACTTTGTTGTGAGTTATTTATTTTCTTTCTTTTATTGAAATGGTTGAAGACAGATGGAGGAGCACTTCCAATAATGGATTTAAAGCAATGTGTACATACTGTTTTGTAACTACTGTAAGGCATTTGAAGAAATCTACGAGGTTAATAAACCTGAGATATATTTCTCTACAGAAAATCTGTCTCTTTGATTCACACACACACACAGTTTTCTGTACGTTGTCTCTTTGTTCTCTACCTGTCCTGCTTACGTCCTGTCAATCATTGAGTGTATTTTGTCTTGGAGATGTCGGAGGAGGTGATTTCCACTCGGGGACCGTTCAGCTTCCACCTTTTACTTTAGTTTTGACTTGGATCTGACACTGTTTATGGACCCCAGTGTGCAGCAATATTTAAATACACTCTGAGAAAATAACACATTTATACCACATGCAAATGGATATATGGGATTCGCATAAAGTATCTTTAAAGAGGAGACTCGTGGGTTCCCTTGGAGCACATTTTCATTCAGATATCTTGAGGTCAGAGGCCCTTTTAAGAATGTCACCAAAATGTCGCCTAACTTTGGAGCATTATTTGGACACGCTAGCATTACACGGTTGACACCAATGGATGCGTTAGGTCGTCTAGTTTCAAATGATACCACTATCTTACCTCTAGCTTTAAAACGGAGTCTGCTACAGCCTCTGAGAGACAGTGCAGAGGGGACGAGGTAAAGGTAACGAGGAGGCCAGATTTCAGATCCCCTCTGGAAGAAAGTCGTGAAATAATTAACCTAAAAATAATTATTTTAATGCTCTGATGCCCCAAACCAAAATGTTCTACTGCAGTCTGGGATCAAATTAACATATTAATGGAGATTGACACATATTTTATTGTCTGTTATGGACACATTTTATACTAAGAATAATAACAACAATAAAACAATGTGTTGATTTCTAATGCTAACTTTACATATTTCTATCCAATGCTTTAAGAATGTGTCACAATAATGTTTTTGAGTTCAAATAGTGATATATGTGATCCAGTCACATGTGCACATTTAAAAGAGACTTTAAAAAAAAAAAAGAAGGTGTTTGTTCCTGTAACTGTTGTTTATTAAATGATTCATTAATGGAGTGAGTGTGTCTAACAGAGGAGTGATGAATGATTGTTGTTATGAAATCTAACAAAGATGGGTGTGAGCTGCTGGTTGTTTTCTGCTGTTTTATTGGCTGTGAGCACACAGTTGGGGGGGGCTCAAAATGGCACCCTCATCAGGCCAATTTATGTGTTCAAAACTAAAATATATATTATTATAAAATTGTTTTTTTAAGCTTCCCGGCTCTATTTTTAATAAGTTTTATGTAAATGTGAAGTTTAATATCGTTTAACGGACCCAGAATGTCCGGAAACCCCAGCTGTGTGTGTGTGTGTGTGTGTGTGTGTGTGTGAGAGGATCCAAAATGGGCGCCACGCAGTTCAGTTGCAGGGCTTCGCTCTGATTGGCTGGCTCTTCCCTCCTGGTGGGCGGGGCCGCTGCGTGTAGGGAGAGAGGGGCGGGGGGAATGGGCAGTCACATGACCTCGCGCAGAGCCCAGGCTGACCAATTCCAATATGGTGGCCAGCCTGGCAGGTCTACGGTTCCTGTTGATGATATTGTTGTTCTGCGGGTTCAGGTTCGGCGCCTGCGGCCGGGAGGCTCCGCCGGTTCTCGGGCTGCGACTGGAGGACCCGGCGGGTCCGGTGTGCATGAAGGATCGGATCCTCTCGGCGCCAGAAGGAGCCTCGTTCGAGCTGCGGCTCTTCTTTGGGACCCGGACGGATCTGAATGGAAGCTGGCCGTGGGTGGCGTTCGCTGGGGCGGCTGGAGGGGCCGCCGGGGCGGTCGGGGATGCGCCCGACCCGTGCGGGGAGGAGTCCAACCGTCACGAGTCCGCTTTCCAGGTGACGGGTGAGTTAGTCCTGGATGAGGAGTACAGCGGGTTGGTACCGGTGGAGGTCCGGCAGAGGAGCATCTCTGCGGGAGCGACCTTCCACCACCTGTGCGTGCTGAGCGGAGGCAGCTGGGCGTCGGTGGGCCCGGACAGACTGCGGGTCGACCCGGACCCCGCACCGCCCGCAGACTACATCCCGCCGTGGGGTCTGGCCGTCCTGATTGTGGTGCTGCTCCTGGTCTGCGGGACGCTGAGGACCGTGAACCTGAGCCTGCTGTGGCTGGACCCCGTGGAGCTGTACGTCCTCCACAGCTGCGGTTCCGAGGAGGAGAAGCGGGCCGCCAAGCGCCTGGAGCCCATCAGGAGGAGGGGGAACTTCCTGGTGAGTCCGGAAACTGCTTTTATTAAACTCATTATTACCTGTAAGAGTTCTACTTTGTGCGCAGGGGCGGAAGGACACATTGCGGGGCTCTAGAAGGGGGTCCAGACTCTGGTACCGGGGGGCCCACTTACAGGATCTATATGTTATTATTAAAGATAATAGAAAGAATCTCTGGATAAACGTTTATCATTAAAGCTGCAGCAGGAACGTCAGACGCAGTCGGTCCAGTAGGTGGCGCTGTGTATAAGCATGTAGCTCGGTGCTGATTGGACCTCCTGTCCGTCCCCAGACGTGCTCCCTGCTGTTCCTGTGCGCCCTGGGTCACTCGGCGCTGGGCGTGCTCCTGTACCGGGCCCTGGGCTCCATCGTGTCCGCGGTCTTCGCCAGCGGCTTCCTGGTCTTCTTCCTCGCCGAGCTCGCCCCCCACATCCTGTGCTCCGGCTACGGGTTCCAGCTGGCGCCGGCTCTCACCTGGCTGGCCCAGGTGAGCATCGTGCTCACCTTCCCCCTGTCCTGCCCCGTGGGGCTGATCCTGGACCTGGCTCTGAGGAGGGACGTCAGCACCTGCGGGATACGGGAGAGGGCGATGGAGATGATCCGCACCAGCGTCAACGACCCATACAGGTAACCACGGTTACCATGGCGATGGTGCTGATGTTGGTGATGGTGATGCTGATGTTGGTGATGATGATGTGGTGCTGACCCGCTTCCTGTCCTCGCAGCGAGTTCGTGAAGGAGGAGTTCAGCCGCGGGATGCTGCGCAGTAAGACGGTGGAGGACATCCTGACCCCGCTGAAGGACTGCTTCATGCTGCAGAGCTCCGTCCTCCTCGACTTCTCCACCATGTCTGAGATCATGCAGAGCGGCTACACCCGAGTGCCCATCTACGAGGAGGAGAGGTAACAGACAGACAGACAGACAGGGAGGGAGACAGACAGACAGGGAGAGAGACAGACAGACACAGACAGACAGACAGGGAGACATTTTTTTCAGGTCTTTTTATCTCAGAATTTTGACTTTTTAACTCATAATTTGAGTTTTAATCTCATTATTTTTGCTTTTTATCCCAGAATTTTGTGGTTTTATTTAATACTTTTGACTTTTTATCTCAGAATTTTGATTACCAAATTTGAGTGGTAATCTCATTATTTTAACTTTTTATCCCAGAATTTTTGGTTTTATTTAATAATTTTGCCTTTTATCTCAGAATTTTGAATTTTTAACTCATAATTTGACCTTTAACCTCATTATTTTAACTTTTTATCCCAGAATTTTGAGGTTTTATTTAATACTTTACTTTTTATCAATTTGAGTGGTAATCTCATTATTTTAACTTTTTATCCCAGAATTTTTAGGTTTTATTTAATAATTTTGACCTTTTATCTCAGAATTTTGAATTTTTAACTCATAATTTGAGTTTTAACCTCATTATTTTAACTTTTTATCCCAGAATTTTGTGGTTTTATTTAATACTTTTGACTTTTTATCTCAGAATTTGAGTGGTAATCTCATTATTTTAACTTTTTATCCCAGAATTTTTAGGTTTTATTTAATAATTTTGACCTTTTATCTCAGAATTTTGAATTTTTAACTCATAATTTGAGTGGTAATCTCATTATTTTAACTTTTTATCCCAGAATTTTTAGGTTTTATTTAATAATTTTGACCTTTTATCTCAGAATTTTGAATTTTTAACTCATAATTTGAGTGGTAATCTCATTATTTTAACTTTTTATCCCAGAATTTTTAGGTTTTATTTAATAATTTTGACCTTTTATCTCAGAATTTTGAATTTTTAACTCATAATTTGAGTGGTAATCTCATTATTTTAACTTTTTATTTCAGAATTTCGACTTTTATTATGTTTGTCAAGTTTTTTATGAACTCTAAAACAGAAATGAGCGTTTGAAGGATCAGAACTGTTTGTTGAGATAAATAAGTTCCTTTATTGATCCCGTTAGAGGGATCGTAGTGTTGTATGATAAAATAAAAAATATAGAATATGAAAAATGTACACAATAAAGTGGAATAAAGTCCAGATCATCAATCATCCATCTTTCTAACACTTCAGGTTATTTTATCGGTTTCATGCCTCCATAATAATTTCAACTTTTTATCTCATTATTTTGCTTTAACACAAACATTTATTTTATTTTAGGGCAGAAACGAGTTTCCATAACGGCGCCTTTAACTCATCCGACCTCCGGCAGCTTTAACCAGAAGAACATTAATGTTTCACAGCGAGCAGTTCACTGTTTAAACTTTATATAATGATCACAGAGAAAGATCCTGTTACTGTTTAAACCTCCTCACATTTCTCTTGTTGTTGGTTCAGTGAGCTACAATAACAGAGAGATACATAAAGTATGTGTGTGTGCCAGTATGTACTTTTATCTCTTATACTTCTTATCTCATAATTGTGACTTTTTTAACTCATAATTATGACTTTTTATCCAATAACTGTAACTTTTAACCCATAATTGTGACTTTTTATCCAATAATTATGACTTTTTATCCAATAACTGTGATTTTTATCCCATAATTGTGACTTTTTTACTCATAATTATGACTTTTTATCCAATAACTGTAACTTTTAACCCAAAATTGTGACTTTTTAATTCATAATTATGACCTTTTATCCAATAACTGTAACTTTTATCTAATAATTGTGACTTTTTTACTCATAATTGTGACTTTTTATCCAATAATTATGACTTTTTATCCAATAACTGTGATTTTTATCCCATAATTGTGACTTTTTATCCCATAATTGTGACTTTTTTACTCCTAATTATGACTTTTTATCCAATAACTGTAACTTTTTACTCATAATTATGACTTTTAACCCAAAATTGTTACTTTTTTACTCGTAATTTTGACTTTTTATCCAATAACTGTAACTTTTAACCCATAATTGTGACTTTTTAATTCATAATTATGACCTTTTATCCAATAACTGTAACTTTTATCTAATAATTGTGACTTTTTTACTCATAATTGTGACTTTTTATCCAATAATTATGACTTTTTATCCAATAACTGTGATTTTTATCCCATAATTGTGACTTTTTATCCCATAACTGTGACTTTTTTACTCCTAATTATGACTTTTTATCCAATAACTGTAACTTTTTACTCATAATTATGACTTTTAACCCAAAATTGTTACTTTTTTACCCGTAATTTTGACTTAACATTACTATGTTTGAATCAAGGCTTAACTTTAATTATAAAAGTACCTACAACCACGACCAACAAACAGCGTATTAATTAGGTTTCTCTCTCATTAACATGCGTTTGACTCTCCAGGTCCAACATTGTGGAGATCCTGTATGTGAAGGACTTGGCTCTGGTGGACCCCGACGACTGCACCCCGATGACGACCATCACCAAGTTCTACAACCACCCGCTGCACTACGTCTTCAACGACACCAAACTGGACGCCATGCTGGAGGAGTTCAAGAAAGGTGCGCTCACATTCGCAAAGCACACACATAGATAATAGACAATAATAGATCATTTACACTTTTTATTTCATCATTATGACTTTTAAAAACGTGTTTTATGTCTGTTCACATAACGCTGAATCAGTCACAGTTTGAAGAGTTCTGACCCTTTAGTGAAGAGTTTGACCTCTGACCTTTCTCCTCGCTCCGTCAGGAAACTCTCACATGGCCATCGTCCAGAAGGTGAACAACGAGGGGGAGGGAGACCCTTTCTACGAGGTGCTGGGATTGGTCACGTTAGAGGACGTCATCGAGGAGATCATCAAATCGGAGATCCTGGACGAGTCTGATGGCTACTGTAATTATTACTTCTTACTTCTGATTTTGACGTAATGTCATAAATATAATTTTTATCTCTTAATTTTGACTTTTAATTTCATTATTAGGACTTTTTATATCGTGATTATCACTTTATATATTAGAATTATGACATTTTGTATCATGATTTTGATGTTTTATTTAATAATTTCACCTTTTTATCTCTTAATTCTTTTTATTTGATTTTTTTTACCTTTTCTCTCATAATTTTAACTCAATCTGATAATTATTACTTTTTATCTCATAATTATGACTTTTAATCCATTAGTTTTGACCTAATCTCATAAATATATATATATTTTTTAAATCTCATAATATCATAATTCTGACTTTTTACATTATAATTTTGAGTTAACATGAACATTTTTTATTATTACGGCTGTTTCGATCTTATTGTTTTATTTTACTGGCAGATTTGAGCTTCCATAATTAACCCTTTAACTTAGAGAACCCGTCGACTTCCAGCTGAATGAAGTGAAAATATCAGACACACATTTCCAGCTGGTGCGCTCTCTACAGAAAGTCTTTATATCCAGGTTGAGTCCGACGGCGTCCGTAAGTTCCCGTGTTTATAAGTGTCCTGATCTCCGCAGTGGACCGGAAGGTGAAGCGTCCTCTCGCTCAGCTGGAGATTCCTCTGGAGCCTCGCAGCGTCCACGAGGAGTTCTCGCTCTTCAAGCCTCCCGAAGGAGAACCCAAGATCCGAACGTCGCCGCAGCTCCTGCTGGCAACGCACCGCTTCCTGTCCAGAGGTGTGTGTGTGTGTGTGTGTGTGTGTGTGTGTGTGTGTGTGTGTGTGTGTGTGTGTGTGTGGTTGAAATCAGTCACAGTTTAACACCACACATGTACTTATTGTGTTACTGTTGTTTATCAGACCCTCCAGGAAGCTGCGATGTTGTGATCACAACAGTTAATGCAAATTCAACCCCCGTGAATTAACTTTATCTCATAAATTTCACTTCTTATCTCATAATTTAGTTTTTGTGTCATAATTTTTACTCAATCTCATAATTAGGACTTCTTATCTCATAGTTTTGACTTTGTGTCTTATCATTTTCACCTTTTTATTTCATCATTTTTACTCTTTATCTCATAATTTTGACTTTTTATGTCATAATTTCAATTTTTTAATCTCATAATTTTTTGTGTGAAGTTGTGAATTGATTCAGGATTGTAAGGATTTTTCCTACAAACATCTAGAGCTTTATAAGTTAGGTTTGATTTTAATTCTACAAATTATACAACCAAAAACAATAAAAAGGCCTAAAAATACAGAAATCAGACATTTTAATCTGCAACAATCCCAAAGTAAGTCCTGTGAAACCCTGGAGGAGCTGATGTATTATCACTGTTATCAGAGTTTTATTAGAGGTCGACAGTCTGTGTGACATCAGACAGAGAGTTAACGTGTAACTGTGTCTCTGTGACCTTTAACCCCTGCAGAGGTGGAGCACTTCAGCCCGGGACGCGTGTCCGAGAAGGTCCTGTTCCACCTGCTCCGTCACCCCAGCGTGAACCAGGAAGTGCACTTCGACCCAAACAACCGGCTGAGCGCGGGTCACTACCTGTACACCCGGAACCACCCGGTGGATTATTTCATCCTGCTGCTGCAGGTAGGGGCTGCTGCACCGAGGGGGGGGGGCAGAGGTTTTCTTTCTGTACTGATCTTTCTCTAATGACTACAAAACTGATTGTGCTTCAAATCTTTTGTAGTTTTTAAGCAGCGTGGACGTAAAATAAGTCTTTAATTACATTTAAAAAGGACTTAAAATAAACCTGATGAAAGTTAAAGAGACCTTGATACAATAAGTTATTTTTTTATTCATCTTCGAAATAAATAAATGTAAAAGGAACTGTTTCACTGCAATAACAGCCCTTCTAGAATCTGTAATTTATTCACATTTTATTGGTTATTAATGGTGTAAATTGAGTAAAACTAGTGTAAAAATCTACTGAAATATTGTAATGAGCCTTAAAACTACAAATAAATGTCAAAAATCTCATCAATCTGTGTTTATTACAAACAATGAAAACTCAAAATAAGTATTTTGGTCACTTTGAGTTGAATTTAAGAAGATTTGTACCTGTATCTTAAATTTGATATGAATAATTAGTAAATACAATCTTACAATAAGACACAATTTCTTTCAAACAGCTGAATAAAAATCAGTGACTTTTGCATCCGAAACATTATGTTCAGTATTTTTTATTAAAACAATAAATAAAAAAACTAAGCTGCTTCGTTTCCAACACTGGGACCAGACGACTTTCTGTTAAACTGAGAAGTTGTGCGAGTGCTCTTATTCTGAAAATAAGTACTATAATCTTGTTCCTCTGCTGGAATATTTGCAACCAGTGTTGCAACCAGATTACTACTCTAATGCAAAATGTGCTTGATAAGATCATTTCTCCTTTTAGACAATAAATATGGTCTCATTTCCCAAAAACAAGTCTTTTTCTGCAGAACTTTATAAACTCCAGGTTTGTTTGACTGGTTTCAACCACAGAAGATCAGAAACTACAACGGATCAACTTCCAGTTTCAGAAATATGCTCATGTGGTTCATTTAATTCAGCTGTACACAACTCAACGACAGGTCTAGTGTTTCTAGACATTTTAATGGCTTTAAATATAAAGAACAAACAAAAAGAGATTAAAATAAAATCTGCCTTTATATAAAACGTCAATAACTACAAGAACTGCAGAATGAGGATAAATATTGTGGGTGAATAAAGTTTTAATGAAGAATCTGTAGCAGTTTTACATCGTCTTTATTGAACAGAAGCTATTTGAAGTAAAGAACGACACTGTTTGTCCTTTAGGGTCGCGTGGAGGTGGAGATCGGCAAAGAGGGGCTGAAGTTTGAGAACGGGGCGTTTACGTACTACGGCGTCTCCGCTCTGACGCTGCCATCTTCAGGTGAGATCAGGAACAACAGGAACACGACTGCTTCACATTGGGGATGTAACTCGGTGGTTCCCAACCTGGGGGTCGGGGTCCCCACTAGCGGTCGCCAAAGCTTCACAGAACTTTACAAATACACACAGTAGACCGATATCTCACCGTCCTGCAATAGGAACGTAAATAACAATCAGAGAGTTAATAGAACAAGAGTCAGGGAGAAGAAAACACTGAAAGAAGACTATTAAGTCTGTATGATCGTTAATAAATAAATAAATACATCAAACAGACAGATAATTGTATAAAAAGATCCTAAAAATATAAAGAAAATGGATCTCTAAAGCAATATTGACAGGAAGTGAACTGCAGTGTCACTTATTCAGAGGTCTGCAGTTGAGTCAGTGATAGTATGTATGTATGATGTTTATTAGACCTATGTAATCTGAATTGGAAGGGCGCGTTGTCATGAGCTGTATCTTGTATATTTATTATTAGCTATGTGGTATGTGTATGCACCTTTATGTAATCTGGTGGAAAAACATTAACATTTAAAACCGGATCACACCAAACAAATATTTGCTTGCGTGCCCCCGTGTATGCAAAGTGTCCTCCTTTTTGATGTGAAGGAAGTGGCCACCCTAGTCAGTGATAGGAAAAGGTTTGGAGCCGCTGCTGTAAATGTGACGCAGCGTTAATGTTTTGTATAATATTAAATAATACACGCTGAGTGAACTTTCATCATCGTGCAGTTACAACATGAACCAAACAAAAGAAAGATTTTCTACCGAATTCTGATGCAGTTTTCCACCATGTTTACAGAACTGAGGTAGATATGAGTCGGCACGTGGCTATAAAAAGACCGCGGCTGCAGATATTGTGCTGACTCAGAGAGTGTGTGTGTGTGTGTGTGTGTGTGTGTGTGTGTGTGTGTGTGTCTCTCTGTGTGTGTGTGTGTGTTTGCAGTGCACCAGTCTCCAGTGTCGACCCAGCGTCACTCCCCCAGGGATCCCTTTGAGTCAGCAGAAGCTACGAGCCCGTCCAGCTATTGTCCCGACTACACCGTCCGAGCTCTCACTGACCTGCAGCTCATACGGGTGAGTGTGTGTGAGAGTGTGTGTGTGTGAGAGTGTGTGTGTGTGTGTGTGTGTGTGTGTGTGTCAGTGAGTGTGTGTCAGTGAGTGTGTGTGTGAGTGTGTGTGTGTGTGTGTGTGTGTGTGTCATACACTGTGTGATTTTAGGGCTGTCTCAGGTTGTGTCAGATTAAATTTGTCCGACTATAACGTCTGTGAGGATGTGTTATATCAGCAGTGGTGGAATGTAACTAAGTATATTTACTCAGATACTTAAAGGTCCAGAGTGTCACACTGAGGAGGATCTATTGTCAGAAATATAATATTAATAGGTATGTTTTCATTAGTTTATAATCACCTGAACATAAGGACTATTGTGTTTTCGTTACCTTAGAATAAGACGTTTTTATCTACAGAGGAAGCGCGTCCTCTTCTGGTGGCGGAGTCCGCAATGTTTCTACAGTAGCCCAGAACAGACAAACAACATAATGAAAACATACCTATGAACATTATATTCCATTTAGCTTTTTCTCCAACTTCTTAAGCTGAATAATGTGTTTAAAAACCCTCTTGGATGAGCTGTAAGACGCATCGTCACAGAGCTGAAAACCGGCTGATTTACGTGGTTCTCAGAGGACAAACATACGACGATCTTACAGGATACGACACGTTGTTGTAGATTATAAAGTATTTAAAATGAGCTCAACCTTTAACGTCTACAGCAGTTATATTAATATAATAATAAAACACTGACGGCTCTATGAGAACTTACATTTATCTGCTAACACTTGAACTTCAGTAATGTGCTGATTGAATCTCAGGTGACACGTCTGCAGTATCTGAACGCTCTCATGGCGTCGCGGGTCGGCCAGAGTCCAGATCCTCCTGAGATCAAGATCCTGCCCAACAGCCAGACCAAGCTGCTGAACGAGAGAAACACCACACAAGGTAGCTTTGCTCCCGGCGCTGTTTGACTTCCAGGGTCTGCCCCCCCCCCCCCCTTCGCACTAAAACTCTGCTTTGGATTCTTTACTAACTTTACTTTGTAGTGTTTCTACACTGTGCTTTCCTGTTTTTGCCTTCAGCTGAACTAAAATAATTTTCTCTCTTTCTCTTTCTTTTCCCTCCTCGCGTGCCTCCACGTCTCCTCTCTCCTCTGGCCCGTCCAGAGTTCCCTGTAAACTTTTCATTCTTTGATACCATTGAGAACTACTGTTAGTACTTTGTAGTGCATGAGGTCGATGAGACGCAGGCTGCCTGTGGCATGACAGCAGACCGCACACAGTCTCTCACACACACTGACTGTTTGTACCCTTTACCCTGTGAGATCAGTGGTCCCTGTGGGTTTATGTTCATGAGACAGATCTCTTGAATCAGGATGTGTGTGTGTTAGTGTAAATGTGTGTGTTTCTTCATCCTGTGGCGTCCCTCCTCTCTGCTCTCCCCTGAAATCTCCTCTGTTGGCTACGTCAGATCTGATTCAGCTCTTCGCTTTTTAACATCTTTTTAAATAAGAGACGGCGGGAAGAAGACGCAAAAGTGACGAGAGACTCTGAAAGAAGCACAATCAGTGAAAAATGAACTATTAGATGCGAGTATTTTGGTATCGGAAGCGTTCTGGTTTCCAGTTATAGTGGATAAAGTAGTATTTTAACTAATTCTTTTATTTTCGCGTCATGCACACAAAGTGCCGAACCCTCGTGGGTTTTACAAGACACCAAAAATACAGCTGCAGTCATCAAACATTTCATTTCATTACAAAGTTACAGATTATAGATTATTATACAGCTTAAACTAAATATTCTGCCTTCTCTCCCAAACTTGGTACAGAAAGTTTGCTACATAAAGGCCCCCGACTAAAGATTTCACTAGTCGACTGGTAGTAGTTGTTAGATTAGGTCAATAGCCGACTATAGGATTTTAATTGAATGATTTAAGTGTCTATATTTTATCAGCGGCCCGTTAAACGCTAACAGAAACAGCGGTAATGATTGTGAATGTGTCAGAACAACCAGCGAGGAGACAAACTAGCTAATAGCAGCTAGCACAGTTCGCATATGCAAAGAAGAAATGTCTCAGTTGAATATATTTTTTTAGTGATTCTGAGTCTCGCAGTGCTGAGCAGGTTTTGGTAGCATGTAGGAGGAACTGTAATCTGAAAAGTAACTAAAGTTGTGGAACATTAAGTTACCAAAGCCTGCTAACCGATTATCGGATCGATATTCAGCAATTGTACCATTATCGGTATTTTCTTCAACAGACTGCCGATAAAATTCATTTAAAAATGCTGAAATCTGTCTGATCAGTACCTGATACCCCGAGTAATACTAGAGTAATTAATATCTGAACATGAGCTGAGAAAGAGTCTGTTTAGTTAGAATTGGTAAAAATGTCAATGAGGTTTTGAATGAGATTTTCTTCCTCTGGTTTCTCTATGCACCAACAGCGACTTCTTCTTGATCTAAAGAACCTTCTTCGTCTCTCTTGCGTCGTCTTCCACGCCAGCGGTCGGCGCCACCTCCTCTGTTTTTATTCCCTCCGTCACTCTCTGTGTGTGTGTTTGTGTTTGACTCACCTCGGCGTGACGTCCCCGCCTGCCCTTCACTCACCCCAGCTCTCCTCTCATTGGTCGGGTTTCCACAGGTGGCAGTAGTAGGAGCCAGGAGAGCTCCACAGAAGAGGAGGCTCATGGGTAGTGCGGTCCTGCTGTTACAGACCTGCTCCAAAACAAGTAGAGATTATTAGTTTTTGTTTGTTTTTATTGACGGATCATCTATGGCTGGAACGTAGTTATTGGACAAGACTGGAGTGAGAGTGATTTTATTTGTCTGTTATGTTCTCATCTCCATCCTCATTCCTTTAAAATTATTATTTGATGTTGTTTTATACACTTTGGACTATATATGTGTGTGTGTGTGTGTGTGTGTGTGTGTATGTATGTATATATATATATATATATATATATATATATATATACACACACATACACACATTTTATTATAATTTGGCAGTGCCTTTCTTCCAGGTTTAGCCTTTCGTACTAAACTCTGCATTGTCATTCCTCACTATTGCTGTCTGGGTGCCAAAGCTACGTGTCTGTCTGTCTGTCTGTCTGTCTGTCTGTCTGTCTGTCTGTCTGTACTGAAGCATCCGTCCGTTTGAGACACTAAAGATAAAAAATAAACACACACAAGCTGGTTAAAAGCAGGTTTGCACATTAAATTTGTGCACTGTTGACAGAGTTAAGCTATTTTTTACAAGCCGTAAAAGGTACGTCCAGATTTTTTACGCCATCACGTAACGCCAACGCCAAAATATGAAAGATTCAAGTTAGAAAGGGACGCAGGTCGTAACCAAAGTAAAAAAGGATTAAAGGCTCAAGATGAACGAGTGGTTGTAAAAAAGTGAATGATTATTCAATTGTCAGAAAAATAACTATTTTGATAATCAATGATTTGCAGTTATGAGTATTTGCTGCTTTTCTTTGTCTTGTGTGATAATAAACTGAATATATTGGTTTTTCAGACAAAACAGGACATCTGAACACGTCATATGTGGCAATTCTTCCCCATTTTCTGACATTTTATACACCAAAATAGAAATAAAATAATAAAATAATGGTTGTAATCCAACATGTTTGAGCGTATATACAGTGCTGACGTTTGCGTGCGAGTAAAGACGGGAGAGTTGTGTATTTTAGCCAAACAGTATCTGTAAGAGAAACAAGCCATTTGCCTCCTATATTCCTTTTAGCAAACTTTCACCTGCAGGTGGTGCTGCGTTCAACAGTATCTCAGAATCAGCTTCATTAATCTGGTTCTGGTTTCCATTATCTGTCAACCTGTCAAATATCTGCTCAGATTCATAATATAGTTGTTTTATTTTATGATTTAAATGTTTTTGTAAAAGCTGCTCGTGTTTAAACAATATTTAACATCTGAGAACTTTTGATTTCTTAGTTTTAAAAGTTCAGATAAGACAAAAGAAAATAATAATCAGACTCATCCATCCATCAGCTCTAACTAATTATCTTTAATAATAAAAATAGTGTTAGTTGTAAGTTTGGTATCAAAACTCAGGTATCAGCACTAGTATTTTAAAATGTCAAACTATATGCAGCATTACTACTCACTGCAGTTGGGCTCAAACTAAAATCATAATGATCTTTAATCAATTAGTCTAATTCACATTCACATTTTCCAGCTTCAGGATCTGCTGCTTTATACGACTGTAACCTGAATAACTTTGTGTTTGTCGGACAAAAAGAGACGTTTGAAGACGCCGATATCTGCCTTTTACTTTATTCCTACGTTTTATGGACTTAACAGCTAATCAGTTAAGCAAATAAAAGAAGCAATGATTTGTTACTCTGTGGCGTATTCTTATCCGCAGATAGTTTAAAGTTAAGGTTGAAGATATTCTACAACTTTGTTTAAACAAATCCCATTAAATGTCTGTCCGTCTTCCTGTCTGTTGCTCTCAGCTTCAAGCTATGGAGGCTCATTTCAGCCAATGTGACGAGAAAAAATAGGATTTCTGCAAATTATTTTAATGAGAAATGTTCTCAAAATACTGACTTACTATCACAAAGTCAGTATTTTGAGATACTAAGTCAAAATACTGAGAAACTTTCTTAATATTTTGAGATAATAAGTCATTATTTTGAGGAAGTTTCTCATAATTACTTACAGAATCTTTTACGTCACATTGACAGAAATGAGCTTTACATACCAAGCCCATTGGTTCCTACTGAAGATATAAATCTTTAAAAACACCTTACAAATATATATTTACATGGTTAAAAAAGGTTCAGTAATTTCCTAAATCATCTGCAGTTTTTAATCAAACAAAGAGGGAACAGTGCATTTGTTGGGGACTATTTTAAGCGGCGGATTAAATCCACAGTTAGTGAGTATTTGGGGCAGCAGGATGGTGCATGTGAGACTGAGTCAAAATAAATTACATGATCTCACTCTGTGTGTGTGTGTGTGTGTGTGTGTGGCGTGTGTGAGAGAGCAATATTTCCCTAGTACATGTCAGCAAACGAGCATCCAGCCTCCACCTGAACTCCATTACCCATCATGTCTGTATGTCGATGAGCTTTTAAAAACATCCGTCATTGTTGCATGAGTGTAAAAGAAGCGGGAAAATGTCAGCAACGGCCTCTAAACGTGTTTCTGTGTGTTTGTAGATTAATATATATTAACGATGAGGAGGGATGTTTGCGAGGCCAACTCTCTCCGTGAGCTGTAAAACTAAAATCAGTGTTTTGGGGTTTTTTTTAAAAAAGGAAACGGTTTGGATTTATTCCATTACGATGTGACGGAGTATTGGGGCCATACTAAGAGGAAAAATAAATAAATAATAAATTAAATTTTGGAAATTACGAGAATAAAGTCGTAAAATTCATTCGCACAATTGTTTCAAAGTCCTGATACTGATGATAATTTGATGCTGATGATCCAAAAGATTAAGTATTTCCTCATTTGTGAAACCGATATCAAAGTATAACTTCACAAGATGCTCAACATTCCTCATTTTAACGCAGCTGGAAGAGTTCTCGCAATATTACGACTTTTTCCTGTAATTCCCCCCAAAAAGTCTGGCCCTAACACTCCGAGGTAAATACTCACGTGCCCAGATGTACTTTGAGAAAGTGATGTGTGCAGTAATTTCCTCGTGTCCATACCCGCCCGAGGGGATTCCCTCATAGTGCGACACTGTAAAACATACGGGACAAACAACACATGCTCAGAGTCAGATACTGGCTCCACTTTGGTCTGGAGTTTAGAATAATCTGCAATATTGTGTTGTTCCCCTCACCTTTACCAACAGTGGCACTAACTCCAACTAGTCATCTAACAACCGTAACTCAATCTGACCCATAACCACAACCACGGAGGGGTGTCGGTATGACAACCGCTACTGGAGGTGGGAGGGAAGAGCAGAAATGAAAGTTCATCTAGATCAGATTCTGAGTTCACTGTTCGGTTTTCATTGTTAAGTTTTGAATACAATCCATAAAATATGTCACTTAGTTTACAAAATAATAGAAAAGGGAAATGAGAAAAAGTTTAGAAACCGCTGTCCAACAGTAAGAAGCGCTGTCATTGTTTAAATCTTTTTACCTACAGTTTCTACGGTAGCTCAGAAAGGACAAACCAAATGTTTAACAAATTTAAAATAAATATTATTTATAAATATCTCCAAAATTCAGTTGTCCCGCTTTTCTTACAGCGTAATCACAGCCCGATGGGAGTTTCCTCGCAGCCGGTATGAAGAGAGGAGTAATTACTCTCTCCACGTATTAACAGTATTTGCACGCGAGTTTTGTATTTATACGACAAAAACCGTAAAAGAAATCCGAACTTTTCCTCTCTGCACCGGCCGTGTTACGTTAGCGCCGTTCGTCTCTTTGATTCCATTTGTGTGTTTTATTTTTTGTTTTGATTCATTCAGTGTTATCACTCCATATTCCAGGAGAAATCTTTAAATCTGTGTGATTCTGAGTACATATTGTTCAGCTGTTTTTTACTTCATATGTTTGTTCTGTTGTAATGATTTTAAATTTCTTTGGGTATCAGAAGAATGTAAAAAGATAATCATTGTTTGTGCTACTCGTACTGATTGAGAGAGATGTCTGGGGGTTGATGACGATGATGATGTGGAGAACTGTGTGTTGATATACGAGGATGTAGTTTATAGATTATTGGTCTCAGTTTTCAGGTACAACACGGAGTAGTGGAACTATTTGGTTTCTGTCCAGGTTACATTTGTATAGAACTTCTCAGTCTTATTTTATTATAATTTTTTTGGGAATGCTTCCAGTTTTGGGGACATTGAGAGTCCATTGCATTTAACACTTTCAATAATCAAGTTTCTTAGGAAATAAACTCAATCCTGTTCTAAATGTGCTGTTTTTGTTTGTCTCTTCTGTTCCAACACAAAGTAAAGCAATAATATAATAATAATAAAATGTCTATAAACATGTATTTGAGTTGTGTTCTTACATTATCCCAAATGTTTCCAACAATGTTGAAACTTTAAGTTGAGGTTTCACCGGTCGCCTGTCGATGGCGTCATATCCCCTTTGTGCCTGCGTCAGCGTTGTGGTTGTCTGCCAGAAGCTGTCATACATTGACTGTTGATCCAGTCTGAAGCCACATTGTTACCATCCACTGTTTAGATCTTGGTGCTTTTTAACTCTAGATTTGAACCGGATGAAGGATTTTAGTCATCGGACGTCTGGATCTTAAGTTATCAGAGAAACAAGCTGAGCTAACGTTAGCAGCAGCTCGGCTCGCAGCCCCTCCGGGACGTCCTTTGTCTGTCCAACAGCGTGGGAGAAGCAGTGATTGTTAAGGTGGAACTGCTTTATTCAGTGTGTTTAGTGGTTTTAATCAGCGGGTCTGTTTGTGTTGGAGAGGAGGAGACCTCTGTGGATCATTGGGCTCCCGGTAGAAACCTCCTGAACCATGAACACTGAAGGAATCCTAACCGGGAGAAACTGACTGCAATGACGCCAATGGTGGTGAAGACAACAACTCCCATGATCCCACGCTGCTTCACCACCTCATTGAACTAGTCTTTTGTTATTGTTCTGATGTGAGAAACGCCCTTGTGGCAGAAATTATATAGTTGCTCATGAACACACCAAAGTCGGAAGAATGACTTCTCGGGAAAAATAGAAGTCTGATAGTATCGAGTTTTCTCGAGAAATTAGCCGACTACTCAGTTGATTTATCAGCTCGGTTAATTATTAATTAATAATTTATTATACGGTTCCTCATCAGTTTATGGTCTTCTTCCATACAGCATGATGCACAGTCAGTAAATGATCAGTGCTGATCAGATATGGATCCAGATTCTGTTGTTGACTATTTCTCTCCTCAAATCTGTTCACAAACATATTTTACTGTTTATCTGGAATACGAGACTGTGTGACCAGAGGAGCCGCCACTGTTCCCCGCTACGGACGCGTTTAAAACTGAACAGCTCAACTCGCAGTACGTTACCTCGACGGGCTTCAAAAAACCAACATGGCGACGACTGTAATGCCAAACTGGAGGCTCAACGGTTCTCCACAAAACGATGGGTGACGAGAGGTTCACACACCTCAACAGAAGAGTAACGGAAAACTGGGACTGAATAGAGCGGCTCTATTGGTACCATCCCCTACTGACAACTGACTTTGACAATGGAAACACTAAAATAAACAGTTTATATGTGTAACAAACTGAACTGAACTTCATAAACAACCTCACTATAAAAGGCGAAGGAATTATTCAACCTTTAATTTGCAGAACAACGGTGGTTTTAACCTTAAATAAACAGTTTTTACTGCAATTTAACGTCAATAAACGGGTCGAAGTGATGCTGAAATAACTACATCATAATGGCGACTCATCGGTTCACGACCACGACCCCTTTCAGAGAAGTTGACCTTTCGTGTACAAAACACTGATAACGCTGCACATGTTTCCTCCTGCTGTAATATCTGTGCATGTTTCATCCATCTTTCAAGGCAATCAACACTTTTATTTTATTATTCTCACACGCACTATAAATATGAAGGTTTGAGGGAATATTAATTGACGATTCATCAGTTACAAAGTCGGTCTTGCTTTGTTTCTAACTCCTTTCTTGGTTAACTAATTGTTCACAAGCAGTTCCTCATTTCACTATTCTGAAGTGTACGTGCCTCGGGTCGCACAGACCTCACTGTGCTTCCCACGCCAACCATTGTGCAGAGGTGCTTGTTGGGTAATCTCAGGAACCGATAAGGACACACTGCATTGTTCTTACATCCTTGCTGGCAGGTAGCACTGTCTTCGAGTGTACTCTTACATGAGTGTGTTCTTCGACTGACCTCAGCTCTGAAGTCATTAAATATGCTTTTTATTATTCAAAGATTAATATTATTATTGCAGAAGTGCAACAATTTCTCTCTCTGAGTGACACAGAGAAACTAATGCATGCTTTTATCTCTATATAAGATATATATATATATGTGTTTTATCCAGCTTATTGTTTTTCTATTTATTTTAATACGTTTTTGGTATAACTTTTATTAAATACTGTCGTTATACCTGTAAAATGTATTGTATTTTTGATTTTATTGTAATTTTTATCATTATATTCTATCTTTAAATGTACTTTATTTAATTTTTATTCCATTCTGTCTTATTATCTTAGCATCAGTCACTTGTGAATCACTTTGAGCTGCACTAAACTGTCTGAAAGATGCTGTACAAATAAAGTTTGATTGATTCACTAGTGTTACTTTATGATTATATATCTACACTACATGCAACAGAATATTTTCTATTCACCATCCAGCACCGTTATAGTTATTTATTCCACCTCAACTCACTGAATCATTGCACATTTCTGGTTGATTTAACAGTTTTCTACAAATGCGTAGCTCAGCCTAACCATAGTCTAAACAACCACGCCCTGAATTATGCTAGAGGTTGAATTATGGGTGAGTTTTATAAAAAATTCACCCACCTGCAGAACGGGGAAATTAGCTATAGAGACCGAAACTATGTTTTATACCAGACTGCAAACATCTTTCTGCTGTAATGTTTCAATATTAGTAATGCGGTTTATACCCCTAACTTAACTTAACGACATGAAACTCATCATTAACATCAGATCATTATTGCCTCTGTTTAGGTGGCAGCAGTAAAAACATTTGTGGTTTCAGAATGATGAAGACGTTTGGAGAGCCCCGAACATTTACAACATCTTCGTTTTTACCATCTGCTGTTAATACTAAGAACCCTGTATGATTCCAATCATCGTTGTATGTCTTAGCTCAGGTTAAACCCGTCGGAGTCAGAGTAGGGCAGGACGTGACTTTGCAATCCTACAAAAAAAGAAAAGGGGAATGGGACACTTCTGGGGCTAATAAATGACCTGATATCTGATCGGTGCCACTCGTGCTCGCCGATACGGCACTTTAAAGCAGTAGTGGAGGACCAACTCTAGTTTCCTGCTGCTGAAATAGTCACTCTGTATTACAGCCGCTTTTAGCCACGCTGACACATTCACATAGTTTCACAAACAACACAACACCAACCAAAACCCACACACTGATAACTCTCTGTTACCCGAGGCCTGAACCTTTGAGCCCGGCAACAATTTCATGCTCACTTTATTACTTTTGAATATTTAATTATTCGTAAAGGGACAAGTATGTAGCATAAACATTTATAGTCTAAGGTCACTGGCAATGCCCGACACTAGATGGGCCTTTAAAATACATAAAAACACACAAGAGACGGTACAATCTTTACAAACCAGGTCAGCAGCGGAAACAATTACATCATCTTTATTCACTCGTTAGTGGTTGAACGTAGCTTGAGACAACAACGCAGCCAGGAAATGACCACACGCTCACCGTCAGGGAAGCAGCTATATGTGACATATCAGTTCATTTTCTTATCCCAGAACTGAGCTGGACATTTAATGATGGTCCCATTTAGAGTAAAACAGACCATAAAGCAGGGTATGCTTTAGGGCGGGGCCACCTTGTGATTGACAGCTCATTCTCAGTGAGTCCGTCCAGCTCAACGCACCAAACTCAGATCAAACTGTCAAACTAGGCAGTGCTGATCAGATATGGATCCAGATTCTGTTGTTCACTATTTCTCTCCTCGTGAGTGTTTAGAAAACTATACGACAGTCTTTGTGCTGATGAACCCTGAAGAACAACTGGAGACGGCGAGCACAACCACCAGCTGCAGGAGAGGAACCAGACAACTAGACAACTTTGTTGTGAACAATGTGGTTCTCAGATCCTTTTTTTTTTAATTTCTGTAAACTCTAAATTAAGCATGACCATGAAATGACCTTAATTACAACTACTTTATTTCTCTAAGTGATTTATCAGTCTGGTATTTGTTGGTTAACTCAAAGTCTGTTTGACGCTCACATTAGATTTTTAAAATAGCCAAAGCTTCACAGTGCGTGACCTTCTTGATTTTGATGCAGTTGGTCTATATCTCAGCATTTTGTTCATTACTGTGAAGAAGACTAAATGAAATTGTAATGTTAAGACAAAAGCCTTTAAAAAACAAGACCTGAACAGAAGCTACGCACCAAAGAGATAACAAATCTCAGAGCGTCACGGAGGAGAAAACACTAATGTCCAAAAAGAAGCCTATTAAGTCTGTGTGATTGTTAAAAGATTTAAAAAATATCCCATACAGACAGAAAATTATATAATAAAGTTCCCTAAAAAATATAAAACTCATCTCTGATCAACATTCACAGGAAATAATCTGCTCATAATTCATCAAAATCTCTCATTCAGTGTTCGGTTTGTCAGCTGTTCTCTACTGTTAGTTATTCATTGAATATAATATGAATATATAAATATAAATATCTATATATATCAATAAACTATGTCACTTAAATCAGTTTACTCAGTGATTAAATGAGTTTTAAGGGTTCCCTTAAGGAAAAAGGCCACTAACAACGACCTCAATAATAAACATATAATAGAATTTATATATTTCCAACTGTCACAAAAACAATGAACATTATAAACTCTGTAAAAGCACAACAGTTGTATTTCAACTGTATGCTGCCTCACCTGCCCAATATCTGTGTGTATATAATCTATTACTTGTTTGTCGTCTTCAGATTAATATCTACAGCGGGTAAAATAAGTATTGAACACGTCACCATTATTCTCAGTAAATATATTTCTAAAGGGGCTATTGACAAGAAATTTTCACCAGATGTCGGTAACAACCCATGCAAGAGAAAGAAATCAAACCATAGATAAATAAATTAAGTTATGTGTAATAACGTGAAATGACACAGGGAAAAAGTATTGAACACGTGACGAAAGGCAGGTGCAAAAAGGCATGGAAAACCAAGACACCAGCTGAAATCTATCAGTAATTAGAAAGCAATCCTGCCACTTGTCAGTGCAAATTAATATCAGCTGGTTCAGTCCCAACTGATGGCCTATAAAA